CTCGACGCGATCGGCCATGGATTGCGGCAGTCGACCCTGTGAATGACGGTATATCTTGCGATGGATCCGGCTGGCGTGACATTTTTTCTTTCCCTGTTTTTTTTTTTTTTTTTTTTGTTTCTATTTCCCTTATGTCTGCAGTGTTTGATCTAAAGAGGGAGACCACTGCGATTGGTGCGACAGATAGGATCATCAGTGACCAAGTTGACACCATCATGTTCAGGTACCTGGCTGACCTCCCAGGTACGTAAGAATCCAGACGGAGTCAGGACGGAGTGTGAGGGGTGGAGCCTTCATTAACCAGTCATGGATACTGATTCTTGTAATCCCTTGTCAAAGCAAATCAAAAAAGAAAGAAAAAAAGAAGAAAAAGAATGATTATTGTCGTCGTCGTAATAATAAAAATAAAAATAAAATATCCTGGAAGGATTCAAGGCAGAGCTCGATCCTGAGAATTAATTAAATCAATCAGTCAGAAAATAGAGTAAAATCTCCCCGTGTCTTTTTTCCCCTTCCATCTCTCTCTCTCTCTCTCCCTCTCCTTCTTTCTCCCCTTCAGGGCCAACATTCACTTGACTTTATCCACTTCCCTTATCTTGTACTACTATCGTCCTCTTCTTTTCTTCTCTTCTTCTTCTTCTTCTTCTCCTCCTACTCCCTCTTTCTTCTTCTCTCTCCCTCCCCACAATCCCCCTCCCTTGATTCATACCGCCCACTAGTCTTCCCACCTCTTATCTCTCGTTAACCATTACTCACTTGCCTCCCCCCTCCTTTTTTCCTTTTTCCCCCCCCCTATTTCCTGCCTATCCCAGACAGTAGTTGAGCAGTGCTCCTCCAGTCACACACGATGTCCTCTCACTCCAACGCCGGCAAGCGGAAGCGCGCTGCCGCCCAACAATCTCCCGCCAATGCCGCCAAATCCGCCAAACCCACCACCGCAGAGATCCTACAACCCTCCTCTCGCGATGCATCCGGTGAGGATGGCGATGATTCCACCGACGTTAACACCCCCTCCTCCACTAAGCACAACATGAACCCTCCCGTCGACGTCACCTCCGCCGGCAATGCCCCCGCCCCCAAGCGCGCCCGCAAGAGCACCTCCAGCGACAACCATGTGAATGGCAACAAGGAAGATCTCGGTGAACCCTCCGAGACTACCGTCGCCAGCAGTGATATCGAGGAGGCCCGTCGGGGCCGACCGGAATTGCACGTCGAGACCCTCGATCCCGAGGAGGAGGAAGACGAGGAGTTGATGGAACCCCCTGAGCGGGCCGGCCTGCAACACCCCGTGGGCTATCGCACCAACGACCCCCCAGTCGGTCGACCAATTCGCATCTATGCCGATGGTGTTTTTGATCTCTTCCATCTGGGGTACGCTCTCCCTCTCTCCTTCTCCTTCTCTCTGCCACGACCCGTGGGGAATTTAGAATACTAATCGTCGATTAGCCACATGCGTCAACTCGAACAGGCCAAGAAGGCTTTCCCCGATGTCCATCTCATGGTCGGCGTCACCGGTAATGCCGAAACCCACCTGCGCAAGGGTTTGACCGTCCTCAGTGGCGCCGAACGCGCCGAGAGCATCCGCCACTGCAAGTGGGTGGATGAGGTCATCCCGGATTGCCCCTGGATCGTCACCCCCGAATTTATCGACGAGCACCAGATCGACTACGTCGCCCACGACGATATTCCCTACGGCGCCGATGAGGGGGATGATATCTACGCCGCCATCAAGGCGCAGGGCAAGTTCCTCGTCACCCAGCGCACGGAGGGTGTCAGCACGACGGGGATCATCACACGGTATGTCGATCTCCACCAGTTGATCTCCAGCGACAGTCTCCCCCAAGAATTCAGACTAATAGAAACAGGGTCGTCCGCGACTATGATCAATACATCTCCCGACAGTTCAAGCGGGGCGCGTCGCGGCAGGAGTTGAACGTCTCGTGGATCAAGAAGAACGAGCTGGAGATCAAGCGTCACGTGGGCGAGATCCGGGACACCATCCGCACCAACTGGACGACCACCGGTCAGGAGCTGGGCCGCGAACTCCGCCAGTTCTGGCAGAACAGCCGTCCCGGCAGCCCGGCCCCGAGTGCCCGCAACAGCATGGACTATGGCAACGGCCGGAGCGGTCTGGTCAGCCCGACGGGCATCAAGTCGCATCTGTCCCGCGTGGAGTCGCGGGGTCGACCCGAGAGCCCGGGTCCGGGTGGACGCAACGAGCCGGATTTTGCGACGGGATATAGTCTGGGATTGTTCGGTGGTGTACGATCTTGGGTAGGCATTCTACTTACCCTCTTGACTCCTTTTATTCGACCTGGAAGCTAATATGAAATAGATGCGCAGCCGCCGCTCGTTGGTGGACAGCCGTGGCCACTCGCCGGCCAGCGAGGAAGAGCGGGAATCCGACCAGGAACACCGTAACGGACATGCCAGCCCGTCGGCGAAGCCGCAAGCCTCCGCGACGGCTGTCTAAGAAGCTTTCCTGTTAGCCCTTTGTTAACACTACGACCTTTCTTTTCTTTTCTTTTCTATTCTTTTTGGCTTTCTCACCCGTGTCTTAACCCATATTTCCTCGTATCGCCTTTTATTTTTACTCTTGGTTTTCATCCTTTTTTTTTTTTCTTTCCTTTTGATTCTTTGATTTTATCATTCTCCGTTGATATTATTACTCTTCCCCGTACCTATAATATACGATGATGTGAGTTGAACGGGGGAAATTTGGACGCGTCGCGAAAAGAGGGACGGACAGACGGACAGACGGACGGAACGAAACGGAAAACGGATTTGAATGGTGACCTCAGTTGGATGGTCAAATGGATGGAGCGAACGAGGGTATATCTTTATTATGGAATTGTCGATTGTCGCTGTTCTGGTTTTGTTTCTGGTGAATGGGTATGCATAGATTGATTTATCTCAAAATACTTTTACACATATAGGTATGAATGTGGGTATGGGTGGGTACCTATTATGGAGTATCTATATATGATGTGTAGGAGATATGATTATGCGACTGGTGGAGATGTGCATGAGTATCGTATGTAGTGTAGTGTAGTGTAGATGCAGCATAGTATGCAGTATGCAACTGAAACTAGACAAACGGAAACAGAATGCTAGATGCTGAGTGCTCAGGTAAAAGAACCAAAGAGATAAGAAAGAAACAAACAAACAAAGGGTATCGGTCGTTGATCGTGGAGGTAGGTAGGTAGTAGGTAGTAGGTAGGTAGGTAGTAGGTAGGTAGGTAGGTAGATAGGTAGATAGGGAAGATCAGGGATGAGGTAGTATGATAGCGAGGGACTCCGCTCTGCTTCTTCTCCTTCTCTTATACTCCGCCCCCCTGTATCAAAATGAGTGAAGTAAAATCAAAAGAAAAAAGAATATCAAGCAGCAGTAATAGCCAACCTCCTCCTCCTCCCCATATTCCCCTCAACCCTCCTACCATCCCTCCCCTCCCAAGAAGAAGCCGCAGCCGCAGCCTCAGCCTCAGCCTCAGCCGCGGCCGAAAGAATCTCCCTCACAGCCTTCGGCAGCGTCTGCAAAAGAGGGATCGGATCCGGCTCAGCACACAAAACAGCACGCAAATGCTCGCGCAGCGTCCCCGCCTCACGACACAAATCCGGCTCAAGCAGACGCTTCGCGACGGGATCACACCGCGCGGTGATGGCTAGATCGAAGTGTTGGATACCGCGGATAGCGAGGAGGGGTGTAACCCATGGTTCGTCGATGGATAGACGGAGGCGGGGGTTGAGGAGGGTGGCCCCCGCGGTAGCGGGGTTTGTAGTAGTGGTGGTGGTGGTGGTGGTGGTTGTTGTTGCTGTTGTTGGGGGAAGGGGAGGAGTGAAATTAGCAGCAGTAAACCGGCCAAGATCAATAGCCAGGAGAAGTTCCTTGAGATTCGAAAGCGAGGCAACGCGCGACCAGAACAGCGACCAGAGGTGGTCGTTGTGCGTGTGCGTGAAGATAGAGGCTGACGCTGCTGCGGAGGCGGGATTATCTGGGTTCGTCAACGGCGGGAAGATAGGCATCCAGTGGACGGTCAGACGGGTGATAGCGCGACGGCTGGATGGGCTGATTGCGCGGGAGAACGCGATAAAGGTGTGGAGGTCATCGACGTCGAAGACGCGGTCGCGGTAGAGGAGGTCTGCTGCTTCGGCGTAGATGGCGCGACAGGTGCGGAGGAGGGCGGGGGAGGAATTGCTTAGGTTGTTGGGGAGTTGGGCGTGGGAGTGTGGGTAGAGGACTGCGTCTGTGCGATGCGCCCCTGGGTGAGGGGGTTTGCCTTGCGAGAGTCGACTGTGTGGGGATGATAATGACGGCGATGGTGAAGGAGAGGCCGGATGATCGTGAATGCGCCAGCGAGCAGGTGTTACCGGACAGCAGCGCCGATTGCGAGCGAGCGACGAGCGAGTCTCGTGGCAGCGCACGTGGCGGATCTGGCCCTTAAGCTGGACGAGATGGACGACGACGTCTTGGCCGAAGACGTATTGGTAGATGAGGAGGCGGATCTCGAGGGGGAATCGCTGTAGGAAGGCGCAGGTGGATTGGGGATGGAGGGGGCGGGCGTATGGGTCGATCGTAGCATCGTCGTTCTCCCCTGGAGATGGGGGGGAGCAGATCTTGCGCTCTTGGATTAGGTCGCGGACGGTCTCTTGCCAGCGTCGGCCGGTGGAGTAGTAGTGGAAGATGGAGTAGGGGTCGCGGAGGAGCCAGGCGTCAAAGTGGCGCATTTTACTGATTGGGGTGTTGTATATAGAATATCAGATATACTATGTGATGTCGATCAGAGGAGTGGAGAGAAGAAGTGGAGCGATATACATCTCTATATATCTATCAATCTACTCCGTACTGTATAGCAAGTCGGAGGACTCTTCTCCATTCAACGATCTGCTGCACCTCTGGTTGGCTCGTGCGTGCCTGAGGTCTCTCCAGGCCCCTCCAGGCACCCAGGCAGCCAATCAGCACCGCCTCAGGCCCCGCTCGGCACGATCCGTCATCAATTTGCGGTCTTTCTTCCTCCCTTCCTCCTCGCTCTCGTCGTCTTTTTTGTCTCTCCTCGGGTCCTTCCGGTTCGTCGAAGTAACCGTCTGACGTCGACGGCGTCGTCGTGCATCTGGCCTGGTTTTCTTTGGCTTATTTCTCTCACCGGGTCCCCCTCTCCCGCGCCACTGCGACATACAGGGCACTCCCGATGATCAATCCCGATCCGATCCAGCTCACGATCGACAGTGTACTCCCCCACACCATCTTATCATACAACACCGCAAACACCATCTGCGTGTACAACATCGATGTCGCTCGGGATCCGGACGAAGTCGTCGACCGTTCTCTTGGGCTATCATCATCATCGGACTCGTCAACATTGGCGTCACCCTCCTCCCCAGTAGTCTTCTCCGATGCCCGCGACGGCGGCACGTAGGCCAACCCGGCCGTCAACAGAAACTGCAGCAAGAATCCACACACTCCCAACCCCACCAGCAGCGACCATTCCATCGGCGTCCCTGGCAGCTCCAGCGGCACCGACGGCAGCGTCAGCATGGCCACCAGCGACACCACCGTCGTGAACGACGAAAAGTACGTCACCGAGACCAACGGATGGCAGCGTTGCCCGATCATCCGGATCGCCGTGTAGGCGCAAGAAGCGCCCATCACCCCGACGAGGGCCATGATGGTGGCCGCCACGTGGTCCGCCTCGCTCCCTCTATGGCTGTTCTCAATGCCGGGTCCCGCCGGCGGGGTTTGCGGCGGCGATGCGGCGGAAAACGGCCGGGCGATGAGAACAACCCCGCCCAGGGACACCAGGCCGGCTAGCTGCTGCTTCCACGTAAATGTCTCATTGGGGATGAAGAACGAACAGGCGTAGCAGCTGAGGATGGGGGCCAGGAAGGTCAACACGGTCGCCTCGGATAGAGCGAGATACTGAACCGAGTAGTAGAGCCCGTAGACGCCCCAGAACCCGCCGGCAGCACGGAGCATTAGCAGGCCAAACACGGGACGCGTGCCGAAGGGATGCGGGACTCCCGCATACCACATGTAGAGGTAGCTCACCACGACAGTGATGGACATGCGGGCGAACAGGATCTACATAGCAGTCATGTCGTTAGTACGGCGTATATAGTCAGTATATAGCACATATAGGCAGTCTTATATGGTAATCGTGTGTGTAAGTGTATGTGTGGGGTATACCTGGAACGGATGCAACCCCTCACCATTCTTCCCCTTCCACTCCAACACCTGCGTCATAACATTCATCGAAGCCCCAAAGAACTGCGACAGCATCACCAATACCATGCCCTTGCTCTGGGCCCAGACAGTACTCCATGGAGCAGCCGGGGGTCGACCCTCTCTGGACTCTCCCAACAGCGGTGTGCGCTCATCATATTGATTCCCCGGATCGATGATGGGCGTGCTCCTGCCTGATGGATCCCGATCCTGATGGGGGGGTGAGATGGACATATCTATCTCTTCTATTGTGTACCTGTAAACACAGATATCAATGTATAATCCGGGGATGGGAGAAAGTGGGGATGAGGAGAAACTTGAGCAAGAAAAGGCAACGAGAAATGACTAATCCGATCGTCAGCTGGATATGTTTATTTTTTCTTGTTTTCTTTTTTTTTCTCTTTTTTTTTCCCTGTATTTTCATTGTTATTATTTTAATATGATATGGGACATTCTATTGTATCTGCTGATATTGTGGGATTAGTTTCCGATTCGTGGATCGTGGTTTGTATGGGATAATGGGAATACCTGGTTGAATCCCGCTATATCACTGGATCATATATCAACCCTAGTCTATGTATCTCTACTCACGTACTTGATTTTCTGGACACATTGATGACATTCCCTTTCTGTTTGAGTGCTCACTCTTTGCTGCGTTTTGCTCACTGAGTATGTCTGGGCTCTCCCAGAGCAGCCTGAGGCAATCACTGAGCATGGGCCAAACAGAAGACTGGGTGCCCTGTATGCCTAGTATATTTATGGCTCGCAAGTTGGGAGCTGTGTCCTGGGCTTTACTGAAACATGTGGCTGTCAAGACCCAAGCCCCAAAAAATCCCTTCGTGCTTCTGCTGTACTCATTATGGGTGACTTGTTATGAGACCCGAAGGTCGGACTGGGTATTGATGGGTGTTCACAAAACCCATGGCCTCACGTGGAGGCCATGCTAGTAAATGGGTGACTCGATGGTTCGCAAGTAACTGATGAAGTAAGGCCCTTTAAAGTACGCATACCTGTTAGTAGAAGAGTGTCGATGAGTATACACTGGGTTTCAAAGGTGTACTCTGCTTTGAACTGCGTAAATTGAACGTGACTAACTAGGCTGTAGATACAGGTAAATGAGTGTTCTTATAGTTCCTTGAATCCCTACCCCCATGGTGACTCCTGGCTGACCACTGGAGGAGCCGCCCCAATCAGTCCCTGTTCCCCCGGGTTTACTCCTTTGGCTACTCCCTGGCGTTATTCTGATTTGTCTCTGTGCAGGGATCTCAATCCTTCGGTCGTCTGGTAGGTATTTGGGATGCCGCCTGGCTGTGCCGCCTTCGTGGGGAAACGATCCAATCTCAGCAGCGTATAAACCATGTAGATCTAGTCATGATTATCAAATCAGATCGAATCGAACCTGCCTAGTCTTATAATCCAACTAACTGAATCTCAGGTCATATTTTGTAAATGTAAATGTATGGTCTACTGCACGAAGAACAGTACAGGTCATACATTAGAAGCAAGCAATGTGGGCTAGAGTGATTGAGTACGCGATTCCCCCAAGGGACAGGAAATCTTGCTTTACCCTGAGCGTTGATCTTACAAGGCGCCAAGTCTAAAGTGATTAGTCTTTCCCATCTGATGTTAGGGCAAGGGTTTATCTTTACCTTGATGTGTAGCTATCTAGGCAGCTCAAAGGTTGCAGTGACGCGGTGTCATGTGTCAATTGAGTGATAGATCAGAACTATCTTTCAACTCCCGTCTTAGGTGAAGGTGAACCGATGATAACACTTGACCATTGTACTTTGAGATCCGGGGACGTTTGGATTCATGCATGCTTCAGGCTTATCTGACATGGTGGATGCTGCGTGGACCTAGGTCATTGGTGGGTTGCTCATGGGTCTGGCGGTGATGCAGAGTACTCTCGTCTCGAGCATGTATGTGCTGCATCTCTTCTACAAATCAGGATGGGGTTGAGGTTTGAGAGGTCATTTATCCCAACTAGCTGCAGGAGATGGAGTCTATCAAGCCGACCGGAGTTGGGAAAGGCAATCTGCACATACGCAGAGCGTACGAAGTTATGTCCCGCTACACCTTTCATATAGTCTGTCTTCGCGTCTGCATCTTGACTGCGGGGATATTTGATATACACGTGCCGGGAGTGCGCCATTGGACTATGCTTAGAACCAGCCAGCCAGTCAAGGTAGCATGATGCATATGCAGCTAGAAATCAGTTTCTGGTCTCCAGATCATCCTATATGCTTTCGTAATGTGTGCTATTGACCGCTATTTGATTACGTCCATCTATAGTGGGGATCCCCTTCCTACAAAGAGCAAGGGTATTTAACCAGAGGAGAAGCAACCATCCAACATGAAACGGCTGATGATATAGACCTCGACGAAACACACCCTGAAAAAAAAAAAAAGTCCACTTTACTTTCCAGCAAGATGACTATTGAGACTTTGGACCTGAAGTCGTTACCGCTCATTCGTAAGGTGAGTTAATGGCACTTCGACAGCCCTAAATCGGAACTCACATTCCAAATGCAGGGCAAGGTCAGAGACATTTACGAAGTGAACGAGTCTACCCTCCTCCTGGTAGCTACCGACCGCATCTCCGCCTTCGACTTCCTCCTCGACAATACCGTCCGCGATAAAGGCAAGATCCTCACCTTGCTAACCCACCACTGGATCTTCAACATACTACCAACATACTTTCCCGACCTAAAGCACCACATCATGAGCCTGGGACTCCCCACTGGATCCAGTCCCACAAACGAGGCGACGTGCTTGATAGGTCGCACGATGGCAGTAAGGAAATACACTATGTTTCCGTTCGAGTGCATCGTTCGCGGGTATATCACCGGCAGTGCCTGGGCCGAGTATAAGCAGAGTGGGACTGTCCACGGAATAAAGCAGCCTGCAGCGCTACAACACGGCCAACCGTTCCCCAGTGGACCTATCTATACACCCGCCATCAAAGTCCCCTATGGGGGGAGGGATGAGAATATTCATCCGGCGAAGGCGAGAGAAATGGTTGGCGACCAGTGGGCGGATCAGATGGAGAACCTGGCTTTGGGGTTGTATAGAGCGGCGCATGATTGGGCTGTGAGTGGGTGAATTTCTCCAGTATCGGATGGCAATGCTGATGATCTGGGAAGTTACAGCGAGGGATTATAATTGCCGATACGAAGTTTGAGTTCGGTGAGTCGTACGCGATGCGAGTCGCTTAGCTGTGGGCGGACTGGTGATTGATGCTGATGGACGGTCGCAGGGCATGATGAGGACACCGGTGAGGTCATTCTGGCCGACGAGATCCTGTCAGTTTCTCTTCCTCCTTTATGCTCGCCCTTGGAAGTAGCTCATAATCTCTTGTCAGAACACCGGATTGCTCCCGTTTCTGGCCGGTCCAGGGCTACGCCGTTGGTCAAGTGCCAAAGAGTTTTGACAGTAAGGAGACCCTTCTCTTCATCGACGGACTTTTTTTGGAAGCGTCATGCGACGCCCGCATCAGTGGGAAAAAAAATACTTGGTCTGTACTGACATCCTGGAGAGCAGTACTTGTGCGATTGGCTGACGGAGAACGGCCTCGGGGCAAAGGCTGGGATCAAGGTGTGAAAAACTGCTGAACCACTTAGGTATGTAGGCTCGCGGCTAACAAACTAGGTACCGGATGAAATCATTGCCCAGACAAGAAGTAACTACCATGAGATATTCCAGAGACTTACAGGCCAGACGTTGGAGACTGCCTTGGCCTCCCTATAGAGATGACATCTCATGTACCATGATGCCAGGCGTCTATCATATCCACAACAGTGGTGAACTGAATAATGATAAATCTAGTCCACATCTTTCAGATAGCACAGAACAATCCACTGCGTCAAACTCACCATTCCCAATCCCCACCAGGGGATACCCACCAGATTAGACTTCAACCCCACATCCAATCCCCAGCTGCCAAGCACTGGCCCAATTGTGTTTGCCGCTGAGGTGACGCTCTGTCCCACACCATTTACTGTAGCTAGAGTACTCGGATCCGAAATGCAATAGTTCAGAATGATCGCCGATGCCGGACACGTGAAGGTGCGCGAAATCCCCATCAGAGACATGACAGCCCCCAGCGCCAGCCACACGGGGAGAACGTGATCTGGAACAAACACCAGGAAGGGCGTCACGATATACAGGATCAGGGCTAGGGAGAGGAAAATGCGGTACGACCGGAGAATCCCCAGTCGAGCAGAGGCAGTCGGGTACAAGGCGAGGGATAGCGGGATCAGGATGGCCCCTGAGATGGACATGGCGAGTCCCGTTTCTGCGGTTGATAGCCCCATCCCACCCCCAAAATAGACTCCGTGATGGACGAAGGGTGATGCTCGTGGGGTCGGGAAGAAGAGGGCGGAGAGGGAGATATAGGTAATATCATGGAAGCTGAATAGAAACCGGGAGCTTAAAGTCAGGAGTACGTTCCGCCCCAGGAGGACGCGAAATCCTGCCAATCTTCGAGGGTGTGGCGACTGGGGCCTCCTTAAGTCCTCAATGGGTGCACCCTCTACTCTAAGGATCGAAAAAGTCTCGCCTACAGGCTGATATTGATAGCTTTTCGGACGCCAGCAGAGGAATCGTGCAATCGCCTTTGCTGTTTGGCGTCCATAGTTGGTGCGCTGGCGAGCGCTGTGCAAGGTCTAGAATGGGAAGATCACTTAATAACAAGGAATGTGATAGGAGTTGGTCGCGGCACAAGGTGCATACCTCATCCAGACAGAGGACGACCATGACAGCGATAAGTGAGCACATTCCGGCGGTAGCCAGATTTGGCAGGGCGTACGGCCACCTCGACATCCACTGAACCCCATCGACACCGCCGAGGATGGATCCCTTACCAAAAAGTGAAGGATAGTTGTGCACCGGATCAGCCAGCATGCCCCCCATGAAGGGACCGAGAGTACCACCCACGTTTGCGAACAGAGGGAGAAGCACAAAAGCACGAGACAAATGTCTGCCGAGTATCAGCGGGGCCGATGCGTTGATGGCTAGACACGAGCGAGGCGCCTACTTCTTCTCCCCCATCGTCTCAGCTATAGTCGTACGGACCAACGCTGAAATGCCATCCATGACTGCTCCCGCCACTTGGAAGACCACGGCGGCGAGAAATGACTTTGAAAAGGCCAGTCCTACAGAGGAGATTATATAGCCGAACAATCCACAGAGCAACATCGGTTTCCGTCCGATCCATGGTGTGTCTGCTAAGCGTCCGATTAGAATCCCACTGAAAATCTGGACTGCGGTGGAGGACCCGTGGATGATCCCCGCCTGTGTGGACAAGCTGGAGTCTGGCACGACCGGGTCAAACCATCGCAACTGGTGAAAACGGTACGTCCGAGTCGAAGATCGATAGGCGACTTCGGAGAACCTTACGACCAGCAGGATGAACAGTTGAGTCTTGTTTGGGAGAGACGACCAGGTCACGGGGGGATTAGACGCATTGCCATGCTTGTCCTCTGACTCTTCCGGGGCGGTTTCATGGATGGACGGGCTTCTATCTGTTGGCTGTTCTAGGAGAGGGTAGCTGTCTGATTCGAGACCTTCCTCATTGCCCTTCCGGCCGGATGAAGGAAGGAACCACAAAAACATGTTTTCTGCCCAGTGTGTTGGTTACAGTGTCAAACAGCCAAGATCAAACAATCCGATTCAGTGTAGGCCATGGCGGCCTATAAGCCACCACAATGTGGGAATCAAGGGGGGTCAAACTTGGTATCCACCTGCCCTTGCTTTTCGACCAACCGCGCACCACATGGTTGACTTCCCCTTTGAGCCAACTATAGAATTGCCAGTGCTGTTGTAGCAAGGAGATGATATATCCACCTATTTCTAAAATTACCCACAAGGGCGTCATGATGCGTCACATCCATTAGAATTTACAGAGACCCCTGACCCCCTTTAGCCCTCTTGAGTATCCTTCCATGAGAGCTTCCAAAAACCGACTGATGGTGATGTCCTCAGTATTCCCAGCCGGTACGGGGTGAGTGCCTTCAATCTCGACAGCCCGGGAAAGACCGCAACGCTGACCATGGACCCGCCGTGTCGTCTAAATATAGACTAGAAGGGAGTAGGGCTGTTCCAGAAGATTTAACCACATCTTTAATTCACATCGTGACCTGTCGAGATGGAGTCGAACAAAACGTCGCTGGCCTGCTTGATCCTGGTGATGATATCGGGCGTCTGGAGTGAGAGTAGTGTTCCCTCCGACAAACGGTATGCCATCTTGGACAATGACTGGCTGGCGGTGGGGTTTTTGCCATTCCTACTTGTCATGAAGGGCGGCATGGAAGTTCTAGGATTGGTGTCAAGTAATGACATTCTATCACCCCCTAGCCCACATTAGCGGGATGTGCTAATTCCCTGATTCCTGGCAGATACCGCTAACACCTGGCAGAAGCAGTGTGGTCTCCACGCCCTGGCAAACCTCGAGTTGGCCAATTTAACTTGTATTCCGGTATATCAAGGGGCGACATGGCCTCTGATCAACACACCCGAGCGGTTTCAGGCGTGGGAGACTGTTCACGGAAGACTCCCATTTCAGGGAGCCTTTGGCCCACTCAATCTCACGGCCGAGCGAACAGGCGAAAACCCAGCTTCAGGAGATCCAAATCGAATCGTGAAGGAAGCATTTGTGGAAGGGTTTCCAAACACTAGTTTCAACGATGCAACTAATGCAGCAAACTTTATGGTCGAGATGGTCCATCGGCACCCCCATCAGGTCTCCGTTTTCTCTGGCGGAGCTTTGACGAACATCGCATTGGCAGTACGAATAGACCCTTCTTTCGCGAGCTTAGTCAAAGAGCTGGTGATTATGGGAGGCTATGTCGATGTGGACATGTTTCGAGCTCTTGGGGATCAAGGACAGGCGAACATCAATTCAGATGTATACTCCTTTCCCCAATTCCCTGCATCAAAAGATGCTAATTGGTGTTGTTCCTTCCAGATCAACTTCAAAATGGACCCTGAGGCAGCTAAAATCGTCCTTAACGCTGATTTTCCGGATATCACCCTTGTTGGGAATGTCGCGAATCAAATCCAGGCAACCCAGGAATTTTTGGATGAGGTCTATCAGGTCAAGAACCCGCTGACCAGGCTTTTCCATGACCATTATGGCACACGATTCCCGTTCTGGGATGAGACGGCGGCAGGTGTTATGGTAGACCGGTCAATCGCTCTGAACACATCTACGGGTGAGTCACGATGTGATTTAGTTGGCTTATCAGAAACTTTACTGACAAGTGGATAGTATATGTCGACGTTGATATTTCGTATGGTAGCACCAGTTACGGGGACGTCCTTGTCTATAACCCGGAGCTTCGGCCACTTGGGGTACGCAAAGTGACCTATGTCAATCGGGTTAATGGGGTCAAGCTGAAGGAGATGATGAAGGAGGCAATGTGGGAACCCCCCACCTGTTAAGGCTTAGAGGACATAGAATTCCGTTAAGTCGGTCACCATAAGTACTTCATGGTTTCTGATAACACAGGCCCATATCGCATTAATAATAGCCCTCTGACAGCCCAAGCATGGGTGATTGGTTATTAATTTTGTTTAAGCGGGTATCTGTACGGGCTTGAGCAATTTTGCGAGAACCCATTGAACGTTTTTGTCAAACTACCTGCACGAAATCGATGGGGGTGAGCGGCTCACTGAGTACAAGTGACTGCTCAGGGAGTGGTGATCCGTGATATGAAATACCTGAGCGCCCTCACTAAAGCGGCGGTGTTCCGAAAGGGAAAGTCTACGATCGTCCTAGAAAATCAAGTACGTATAGGTACACACCTACGGAGACAAGTAGAATATCGATAATCATTGGAACTCGCGTGGTAATATTAGAGTGAAGCTTACATTCAGGGTAACTGTAGGATGGAGGTCGTCAATCGGCCCTTTTGGCTTTGATGAAAATATCAGTAGTGGCTACATTTCAAGACATATTGAAGGTCCCATCATTATGTTTGTGTACTGGTTGCATTGAGGTTGATTCAATGTTGAAACGATTCTTGGGATTGAACCCATAATCTACAGTTTCAGATCCTCGTGCCGTTCCAATTGAGCCATGGAGTTAGGAATAGCTCTCAAACTCGACTGCATTATCATCGGTCAGTCTCAGACTGAACCGCCCCGAATTCCCGTAGATATCAAAGATCTCAAACCACGGCTTATACGTAAAATTGTGCGGCCAATTATTCCGGACAGGATGCGTGAAACTGAGAAGTGTCACACACAACGCGTTCTCAGCCTGATTGACTGTCATCGTTCTAGGGTTGTCCATGTATTCACACCCAAAAGGCACTTCCTGTCTCTGGCCGTATTCCCAGACGTAAGCGATCTGCAGGGAGTTGGCTTCCGCCTTCATCCGCCAGGCGTTTCTCAGCTTTTTATCCCCGAGCTTAAATTGCAAGTTATCCGGCGAATAGTCGTGTAGCTCGACGTGCTTTGTCTGATGAGTTGTGGTAGAGAAGTACCAGTTATATTGTGTCCACTCTCCCCTGTGTACTTCGACATGCTTCTGGCCCGTCCAGCTTCCTTTCGCCACCTCAGTCTTGCGGTATTCGATGTTGTGAAGCTCCGAAATCCTGTACTTGATAGGATTCACCGCATTCAGGGCAACAGAGTTTTTGGTGGTCTGCCAGATGCCCTGGCCATTAGGGATCGTGGCCTGGATGTGCTTGAGTCCGCTTTCAGTCGTTTGAATCCACAGTATATAACTCTGACTGTCGTCCTCACTTGGCGCGCTCTCTTCGGGGGCGCGCCCGTTAGGGAATGTATCAGACCAATCTCCAATCTTGTGGTCGGACTCTTTCCATGCACCGGGCAATGGTCCATTCGTATGGTAATCCTTGAGCCTTATCCGGTCCAGCTCGTCCCGAGACAACTTATAGGGAACCAGCTCTCCGCTTTCACTCTGGGCGGCGGCTTTGATGTTTATTCTCAGTGGCACTTGCATGCGGCCGTTGGCGAACAGTTGGTCAGAGACCCTGTCATGGCCCTGCGTCAGGATCTCGAAGCTGGTAGCCTCCCACTTTGAAGATGAAGACATGCTTTCTGATTGTAGTCAAGTTGGGTTTTGATGAAATAGAAGAGGACTCGGTTGGGGACAGAGCTGGAAAGGAACTCGGTTGGGATACAGGATTGACAGAAACTCGGTTGGGGATACAGGACGCAATTTACAGAGTAGAAAAGTCTGCTTATATATATTTGACGCCCTATTACGCAATCCTTGTACTGGCTTGGAGGACGTGTCAAGCTTCGGAGGTACAAGAGCTGAGCTTCATAGAACGAGTAAGGGCGTGATGTTGTATTCTGGGACAGCTGCAGGAATGTAACCCCCAATCGAACCTGTTCTAGACCTTGATGTTGTAGATAGAGGTTCTATGGGCCGACATGTATATGCAATAAGAGCTGGCAGTTGATATGACGTGTTGAAATCGGGCACTGAAAGGTTACGTGGGCAGAGGGGAAACAAAAATCTGTCCACTTCAAGGCACTGATGCAGATGAATATGATATGCGCATATGCAGCACTTTTCTTGCTCGCTGGCCTCTCTTATTAAGATCCTGTGTTCCTTCTTTCGTCAAGTAATGTGGGTGTTGATCAGTGACGCGTGGATGGAGGATCATGAGTATACATATCGGACTGACGAATGGGCCCAGTCAGCCACAGTATCATTGCACCGGCAGAATAAATGCTTTCCAGGTCCAAGCAAAAGATCAAAGTATGGCTTACCATCATTTTGATGTATCTCCAGTGAGCTCTGATAGTCATAGAAGTGCATACTTTCTGGTCAAATAGGATGAGTCACAGAGTAACCCCTCTGCCTACTTACTCCCATTGGTCTAATGCAGAAAGAAGATGTCTCGCTTGTGATGGATTATACCGCTGCACATGCTTGATGCGATGTAAAGAAAATGTCTCGCGTGTGACGTATTATATAGCTGATGTGTGTGATGTCTAATATGCAGTGATAGTGTGCAGAGCTTCCATGGTTGGTGCCGAACAGGAGCAGCAAGAAACAGCCAAAAGTACATGCCTTACAAAGAGAGAAAGTTTGCCGGTTTGTTCTGAAAGAAATGGACAATTAAAGACAAATGGTGGAAGGAGAATTTCTTCCTGTCTCCTTCTACTCTAGTTCCTCATACCGACTGTTTACTCGATCAAGTCATCCGCTTCTTATTGCCATATCAGCCATGCCGTCTGACATCCCAATCTACACGCAGAGCTCCAACTTTGGTAGTCTTCTGGAGAAAGGTGTGGACCCTCGAACCGGTCAATATACCTGCGCAATCGACGTGTGGGGAGCCCCCGAAGAGGCTCGAAACTGTCCCTCGTTGAAATTGACCTTGAGCTTCAGCCCCATGAATTTCTTCAATTTTGGTCTGGGAAAAGGGTGGTCTTTCAACCTCACGAACTATGACAATGAGAGTAAAACGCTCTATCTCTCCACTGGCGAGCATTTCAAGGTTATCGAATTGGCCGGGAGCGTGTCCGTGCCCGATCAGAAGCTGAAGAGTTTCAAGTTTACGAAAGTCCAGAAGGAAGAGAATGGCAGAACAGTCACATCTTACCAGGTGGTGTATAAGTCGGGACAGGTCGAAATCCTCAAGAATAGCAGTGGTATCTTTGACCGATTCGTCCCCTTCCAGATAGTCGCCCCCAATGGACGCCATCTGAGACTAGCTTGGGAAGTCCTTAAACCGACTGGGTACCCTCTGTTGACCAAGATCAAGGATGATTCTCAGGATTTGCTTGAGGTTGACTATAAGTCAATCGTGAAGAAGATTATTCGGTTTCCGAACACCCCGGAAAAAAGCACCCTCTCCCTTGAAGTGAGAGACAACTACCTCAAGAAGCTGGTATTGCCTCTGGCCAGCGCACCTTCATGGACCTTCGACTATGTGCTGTATGGTCCATCATTGTGTATCACCAAAACCACCAGTCCCAGTGGCCTACAGGAGCAACTGGAGTACAAGTCAGACGGACACAGACTACCCCCCAAAGCGCCTTACCGTTACATCCCCCATGTTGAATGGCATACAGTCTGGCCGGGCAATTTCCAACCTAAGATAAAGACCAAGTACGAGTTTTCTCCACGGGACGGACACAATCTCTATGGTTACAATGCAGGTTTGGAGTGGAATGACGGCGAAGACAACTTGTATCGTACTCGAGACGAGTACACATATAATTCCATTGTCACGATTCAAGGAGGTACCAAGACAACGAACACATACAATCATTTTCATCTTTTGGTCAGCTCGCAGCAGGAGAAGGGCTCCTGCGTCACAACAGAGTCCATTTCCTACCACACCAAGCCCTACGAGAAGTTCGAAAAGCAACCTGCGTATTGTCAGTTGCCACATACGATCACCAAAATGTACAAGGACAACAGTGGCCGCTCTCCTCGTTCCGAGACGACTAAGCAGACATACGACGAATGGGGCAACCCAACCCTAGAGATCCGACCGGACGGCGCAGAGATTCACCGCACATATTACCCAGAAGAAGGAGAGGACACTTCAGATTCAAACAACCTGGGCTGTCCTCGCGATCCTCACGGGTTCCGGCGATATATGAAGACAGAAACTGTTGTGCCTGGGCCCAGTGATTATCCGGCATCGACGCGCACGGAGAAGTACCGATATGTCAAAATACCCACAGCCCATGGCGCAGAAGCTGCATACTTTGTGGGTGCTCAGCAGCACATAACCTCTACCGGCAACCACGTTCTTTCCAGGACGACGTTCGCATACCTAGACAGCCCTACAGCGACCTACCACGGTTGTCTTGAACAACAGGTGACATCTCACTTGGACAAGTCTCCGACCACCAAAAAACTGAGCTACTGTCGAAATGGCGATCTGATGACTCTAAAAGCATGCACCACAACCTTTGACGGTTCTGTGGTTGAGGAGGAGACGGTTTACTCCGCGTTGCACGGGTTAACCATGGCACACAAAGATCAAGCCGGAGTGGAGGACTGCTTCCTGTATAATACGCTGGGACAGATTACCAAGGCAACCACATCTGCAGGCACACCGCAGGAAGCAGTACGACAATGGGAGTACGCAGTCCTTGAGCAAAACTACGGCACGGAAACCATAGTTACTGATGCGAAGGGGGTGAAAACCCGCTATGTCACCGACGGACTGGAGAGACCCTGTCGCACTGAAAAACAGGACCATGACGGGGAAGCATATGCTGCAGGTAACACCTCGGCAGAGTTCCAACTTGTCGAAAAGCGCAACTATGATGCTCAAGGCCAATGCATCGAGGTTACCGAGGTTGACTGGTTGCGGGGCGAGAACGGGCAGCTCACGCCCCAGGAGACTAGCAAAAAGCTCGAGTATGACAATTGGGGAGGGGTCTGCAAGACAACGGAGAAGTCTGGCCTGGTCACTATATCGAAATCCGACCCAGTCGATCTCACCGAAACTACAGGGATTGAAGGGGAAGGATATACGAAAACCTACCATGACGTTTCCGGTAACCCAACAATGATACATCTATGCAAAACAGACAAGACCCTTTACAGCTCTATCAAATACCGGTATGACGGCTTGGGGCGTCTGGTCGAAGAAGAGGACCAGGTTGGCCGAATCATCAAGTATGAGTCCGACAGCTTTGACCGGATCACCAAGACGACGTGGTCGGATTCTCGAACAGTGACAGCCGACTATGCAGAACATGGCGAGGCTGCATTGCCGGCGAAAGTCAGCCTCAACGGCGTCACCATTGGAGGGCAGTCCTTCGATGGGCTAGGGCGCGTTATGCATCGGAAGGTCGGTCCACGCACCACCCGGCAGATCTACGAGGGCCACGCACCCGAGCCAAAACAGATCACGAATGCAAAAGGTCAGGGATGTGAGATTACCTCTGAGCCCGCACTGCAGTATGCCCCCAAGAGCCTGACAACCAGCGGTGCAAACTCCGACATTTACGAATATGATCCTCAGACTGCTTTGCCAATCAAAATGAAGGGATCATACAGTACGCAGATCCGAGAATACACACCCTCGTCTCTCCTCAAGAAAGAGACCATTCAAGTAAAAGGGGGAGAGTCATTTTCGTCTGAATATCAGTATTCGATGGCAGGTCTACTGCAGCACTATGTCAATCCTCACCAACAAAGGCAGTCGATCGAGTACGACGCCTGCGGTAGACCGGCATCTTTGATTCAAAGCAAGATCAGAGTTTCGTTCACATATTGCAACAGATCAGGTCGACTGTCTGAGTACAATGTTGAGGATCAGGAGGATGGTGTCAAATTAACATTTCTGTTGAGCTATGATGAATTTGGCCGCGAGACTAAGCGGATTGTCAAGAAAGGAGAACGGATCATGTATTCTCTCAGTCAGACATATGGCGAAACGAGTCTTGTCGCTACGCGGGCCCTGGAGGATAATGATGGCGTCACTATTCGGAACGAAAAGTTCACATATGACAATCGGAACCGCCTGAAAAGGTACGAGTGCGATGGGAGCCAAGCTCCAGTTGATCAGCAAGGAAACCAAATCAAGGAACATACCTTTGGTTTTGACGAATACGATAACATTGTCAAACAGACAACAACTTTCCACAATCAGGATTGTAACACAGCAAGCTATACCTTCAGCAAAGATGATCCCACTCAGCTGATTTCGATCACCAACACAAACAACGCCTATCCTGCAAGTGTTGTTCTCGAGTACGACGCCAACGGGAGTCTGACCAGGGATGAGCAGGGCCGGAAATTAGAGTATGACAGCTTAGGTCGCTTGATCAGAGTGCGCGCTGCGAACGACAAGCAGCTTTGCGAGTACCACTACGATGCATCCGGAAAGCTGGCTTGCCAAAGTGTGCCAGACCAGCCAGACACCAGCCTCTTCTACCGGGAGGACTCCCTCATTGCCACCAAGAGCGGCGACCGTCGCGTCAGCTATGTCTCTGACGGAAAGGCCTACTGGGGCCAAATCGTCCAAAACGATGGATCCGACAAACCGCAAAACAACCTGTGGGCATCTGACAGCTGTGGATCTATCCTCGCTTGGCTGGACAGTCATAAGCCAGAAGACGTGCATTCCCAATCATACACGCCCTACGGATTCGGCGGCGAGTCAGACATAGCCTTCAACGGACAATGGAAAGACCCCGTTACCGGATGGTATCACTTAGGAAACGGCTACCGTGTTTACAACCCGGCTCTGATGCGCTTCCACGCGGCAGATCCGTGGAGCCCCTTCACCTCGGGGGAAGTCAACCCCTACACCTACTGCCTCGGAGACCCCGTCAATCGCGCAGACCCGAGCGGCCATTTCAGCCTGTTTGGCGTCAACTTTGGCTGGAAACGGCTCATTACTGCCGTCATTGGGATCGCAGCTAGCATCGCCGTTGGGGTCCTCACGGGCGGCGCGAGCCTAGCCGTCCAGGTTGCTCTGGGGGCTCTGGCGGGTGCTATAACTGCGCCGATCGCAGGAGCCCTGGGCGATCTGGCAGAAGGCCGGAACCCGACGTGGAGCAGCGTCGGGAAGGACGCTCTCGTTGGGTTGGTGGGTGGCGCTATCGGACCTGCGCTAGGAAAGTTCGCTCGTCCTTATATGGATAAATATCTTGGATTCCTCACGAAGTCTGGCAGTTATAGTGTTACCAGGAGTGTCAATAATTCCGTCTGGAGACTGGGTCTGCAGAAACACATTGCAGGCTACGGCATGAAGGATATTGTGAATACGGCAGCCAAAAGTACCGTGGTATCTTTCGTGACGAAGCAACCCTTGGCTATAGGATACGAGGTCTTTGACGCGAATGTTCTGCACAAGGACAAACCACAGACAGCCCCACAATCCAGCTCGGGGGCGCCTCGAGCAGCGCAGGTTGATGTACCATATGCCAGAACAGGATCTGCCCTCCCGAGGGATAGCATCCGGCCTCTGCTCAAGGAGGGAAGCAATGTCTTCTCTGGCTATTCTTTGCAGGCCACCGGTTCCGCCACGTCGCCCGGTGGGCAATCTATTGCTGAATCTTTGAACTTGAGTTACAGGTGTTCATACGGTCTGTCGCGGAAAGGCCAAGGGGATTCTGGTGGTTCTGGTGGGTATGGGAGTCTTAGGGGCACTTTGCGCGCTTCTCCTGGTCAGCAGCATTAGGTATCTTGCTCGCAGAGTTTACTTCTTGTGGGAGGGTATTAAATTCAGGTCCTAGATATCTGATAAAGATTAGCAAATATATATATGTGTGTGCTTTTTCAACATTTTCCTCCTTTTTTTTTAGCAGAGGTATATGTTTAGCCATTGTACCAGCCAGGCTTGAGATCTCCTCCTCGAGCTAGTGAGGTATATCATGAATGACCTCGTTATTTTGACGAATAGGTAGGAGTAAAGATTATGAAACGATTTGACAAGTAGAGTGGGCAATGGCCAGGGTATAAAATAATATGAACATGACTGGCAGTTCGTGACTAAATAGATGAAAGAAAACCCTCTTACCCAAATTTAGATTTAGTCTCTCATATCATTTCTCTTCTGGTATTAGTGGATCTGGGGACAGTAGTAGAGTAGAGTAGAGAGTGGGGATGGGAGAACTTGCTTACTTGAGGAATGATTGAGCTGATCGTTTGTCTTTCTTTCTTTCTTTTCTCTTTCTTTCGTTTAACATGACATTATGTTGTATTTGGTTTTATTCTATTTTTGATCTTAGTGGAATTGGTTTCCGACTCGTGGGGTTCCCTTGGTTTATATTGGGCTCTGAGTGGAGTGTCCTGCCATCACAGTACAATATATCAATTATATATATCCAGTTTACTCCGTCCAAATACATTAATTAATCAATGTAGCCATACAAATCCAGAGAGCTATACATATGTAAAGGCTGTACAATATAAAATACTATACAATATAAATCTATACAATGACCTATACAGTAAACTATACAAAAGTAAAAGTATCCCCCCCCTTATCCCGCAACATATTTCCAACCCGACTACTCCCCACAACGCGTTCCAGCTTCAGCGCATCCCACCGCGAGAACAGCGCCCTCACACCACCCGCCTCAGCAGCCTCCACCACCGTCGACGGATCCGCCCCCAGGAAGCCCACCACCTCACCCCAGAACGTCGGGTTCTCCGGCACCCCGTACATCACAACCCGCTTGACGCCGCGGATCGGGAACCGCCGGAAGTGGTGCATACGCTCCGTGTACAGCAGCACCGAGTGTCGGCCGTTCGTGAAGTGCGAACGCGCTCGCGCTACGTCCCGCGGCTCTGTGTATTCCGAGATGGCTCCGAAGGAAAGATGCTCTGTCTGTGTCGATGTCGCCATGTAGTTGCGCACGCGTACAAAGTCCAGGTATGACGGGATGAAGACCAGCGTGCCGCCGCCGTTTGCTCCGCGGCCGGATGTGGCGTGTCGCACGATTGACGATAGCACTGTCGTTGTGAAGTGCTTGAATCGCGCGTCGGGGTCCTTGGCTGGGGAGACGCAGTCGAAGCGCGAGAAGGTTTGCTTGACGGGTACTGCGAGCGGGACTTCTGAGATGGCTCCCGGGTACACGCGCGTCAGCTTGACTTTGCCGGACACGTTCTGCATCTGCGACGAGAAGACCGAGTTGATCTCGGGGGTGATGAACGAGGCGGTCATGATGAGTTGCCGCACGTACCGCGCCTGGTTGTCGAGGTACCAGGTGCGCACTCGGCTGAAGTCGCATCCGTGTCCGTCTTTGGGCTGCAGGTTGAGGTGTTGCAGGATGTAGTCGACGTGGTCCCAGTTCTGCATCTGGAGGGCGTCGGCCTGGTCGACGATCACCACCTCGATTGAGGATAGGAAGTCCGAGTCGCGTTTTTTGGCACTGCGAGGTTAGTCTCTTGATCCCTGTTATAAATCGATATGGACGGGGCACTCACTCAGATTGATCCATGATCGTGCGCAGCCCCAAAGGACTCGCCAGGATCATATCAGACGTGTAGAAGGGAGCAAAGAACTTGAGGGTCTTGCGCGTGAATTTGAGCCCCAGACGGAACATGTCGTCATTGTTGCCCGCGAATAGCTCCCGGAAATCTGCCGGCTTGTTCTCCCAGGAATCATCGGTGCTGCCCGAAAAACTGTCCATGAAGCGCTTCTTGTTCTCCTGCTGGTCTGGCTGGAAGAACCGCGTGATGGAGTCGACTGCGCGCACGCACGCTTGCTTGGTGGGTAAGAGGTACAGAACCTTGGGCCGCGTGAATCCCTGGTCACGCAGCTCCAAATCCGTGTCGGGTTCCCGTGCCAAGCGAGTGTTGTTCTTCAGCACGCGATCTCGGGTTTTGAGGACGTGGTTGGCGGCGTGCACGGCGAGGATGTCCCGCATAACGCCCGCCTGGGAGACGTCGCGGGCCCCGTAGAGAACATCTTGATAGTCGAAGATGTAAGGCGCCACATGCTGGAGTTGCTTGGGAATACCCCGGATGTGCTCTTTGGCCGGGGCGATAAGCCTCTTCTTAAGCTATATCACGGTTAGTTATCTTAGCTACTGCGATGTCCACGTCAAACACAACCTACCTTGACATGCGACATGTTCCTCATGGGTGGAAGGACAGCCACGTCCCCCTTCCCAGTGGCCGGGATCGCGCGGACAAGCTTAAGCTGGCCGTCGATCTCCTTCTTCGCATTGTTCCACTGTTTCGCTTCGACAGCCTTGACCTTCGGGGAGAGTTGCCCCTCCTTCGGCAGAGAGAAATGGGCCTCAAACGGATCGGTGCCTGTACATATTAGAACCTGCTGGAGGGGTGTAAACGAAAGAGGAAGTACCATCGTCATCATCGCTGTCCGCCTGGGCATCGAGTTCCGCCTCATCCAATTTCTCATCGGCATCCTCGCCTCCAGACAGCTCTTGCTCCGCGAGATCGTCGCCTGAGTCCGCCTCCAGATCCGCAGTAGGAACCTCATTCATCTGCACATCTTGGTCCTTCTCCTCTTTTCTCTTGTGATCCACCTTTCTCTTCTTCCGGGCGGGAGCCTTGGTTTCGGTATTTGTCTGGAGTAGTTGCAGCAATTCGTTGTATGACTGTCCTCGCTTCTGGTCTTCATCTTCATCTTCGTCACTTGACGCCGCATCGTCCGCGGGAACTGCGTGGTCCAATTCGTCGTCTAGCGGCTCGATTGGAGCTCCATCCTCTGCACCGGAAGACTCCTCCGACGAGAGATCATCCAGTCGAGAAGTTTCAAAGTTTGATCTCTGGGCTGGTCTCTTCGCGCCCCGGCCACCACGGCCACCACGGCCGCCTCTGCCGCCTCTGCCACCTCTGCCGCCTCGACCGCGAAATGGAGGCATATTCCTGTAAAGGAGGGATGCAGATAGACCTCTTGTCAATGTCCGTAAAGACAAGAGAGAAAAATATCCAATCGTGCAATGGGTTTGTTGTTGGGCGTATTTTCTTTCCCTCTGGCGGAAGAGAAAAAAGAAGTGGCTTATCTTATCTTAGCGCGTCCGTCCGCACACACAATTTGAGCCTCGAACAAAGTCGGTTTAACCTCCGCCAGAGTCAGTCAGATTTGAGCCAGACGAACCAGAACCCAAAGAAAAATCCATCTCTGCTAATCAACCATACCCCCCACCCGCCACTCCTCCAGTCCACCACCGGGATCCTTTCGTTCTTCCCTGTGTGCGCCAATTCCCACCTGAGGAGGAAAATTTCATCGAGAAAAAGTGTCCGAGAATGGCTGATACCGATTCCTTCCTTCACCTCGCCCGCCCTCTGGGCCCCGTGGCAGTGGGGGCTCCGACGACCGCCCCTCTGAGTGTGGTTATTCAGCCTCAGGTACGATACGATAATTGCTTGGATATGACTGCCTGTGCAGGGAGGGAACACGAGGAGGGAAATAAGGAGGGGCACATGCTAACGAATGCCCGTATTAGGCTCTTTTCTCGATCCTGGACCACTCGCTGCGTCGCAATGCCGACCAGGAACGTGTGATCGGTACCCTGCTGGGAACCCGGTCGGAGGATGGCACCGAGGTGGAGATTCGCACCACCTTCGCCGTGGGACATACCGAGACGACGGATCAGGTGGAGGTGGACATGGAGTACCAGAAGCAGATGCTGGCGCTGCATCTCAAGGCCAACCCCAAGGAATTCCTGGTGGGGTGGTACGCTACCTCCCCTGAACTGAACACCTTCTCCGCCTTGATCCAGAACTTCTACAGCGGCCAGGGTGACGGCACGTGGCCTCACCCGGCCGTCCACCTGACCGTGTCGACCGAGGCCGGCAAGGACATCGAGACTCGCGCCTACATCTCCGCCCCCGTCGGTGTGACCGCCGAGCGCGCCGCCGACAGCGCCGCCTTCATCCCCGTCCCCTATGAGATCCGCTACGGCGAGGCCGAGAAGAGCGGCCTGGAGGCCGTCGCCTCCGCCCGCGACGCCGAGGAGCGGGCCACCGCCACCTTCACCGACATTGAGGCTCTCGAGCGGGCGATCGAGGAAGTGCTGGGCATGATCGACCGCGTCTCGCGCTATGTCGAGTCCGTTATCGATGAGGAAGCCCCCGCGTCGACTGCTCTTGGCCAGTACCTGCTTAACACTCTTGCCTTGGCACCCAAGGTTGAACCCGCCGACATCGAGCGTGACTTGTACGTTCCCTCTTTCCCCCCCTTATATTTCCTTTGCTTTGAAACCCATTGTACATGATGCTGACCATCACAGCAACAACCACATCCAGGACGTCCTGGTGGTGTCCTACCTGGCCAACACCATCCGGACACAGATGGAGTTGTCCAACCGACTAGCCACGGCCCAGCTCACCCTGGGCGGCGAGGGCGCCAACGCCGAGACCGGCGGTGGCCAGCGCGGCGGCCAGCGGGGCAAGGGTGGCCGTGGAGGGCAGCAGCAGCGGAACCAAGAACGACCTACGGAAGAGGCTCGTGCTTGAAGAGAACGAGGCTCGAAACGAAACGAAAAGAAAACATGAAACATGAAAAAAAAAAAAGCGCCAAAAGAACGAGACGAGACGTAAATAAAGAAATGAATTGCGTTGGGGTTGGAAAAAAGCGGGGGAAACCTATGATGAGAATTGAAGATAGATTATACCTTTCTTTCTTTCCTTCTCTCTCTATCCTCTTGTTGACCTTTTGATCTTTTTTTTTTTTTCTACTTCTTCTCTTGACGGTTGCTCTCAGACGTATCTCCTTTTGTTGCCCAGACCCCTCTTGCTGCTCTTTTACCTTTTCTTTACTTCTTCCTATTTGATACGTGTCTATGGTCCTATCATTGTCTGTCATCTATTTCATTTAGTTTTGTGGAAAGAAGGATTTCCTTGAGTTTACCGGTTTGATTTCTACCTAATCCCTATGTATGAGGGCTAAAAGAATGACCAGTGTAATCACCCAGTGTCTACACAAGTATGGACGTATAGTATAGAGCCTGGATAGTATCCGTACGTAGGATAACTCCATCAATTATGGAGAGAACAAACCCTTTGCTCAAGTAGTGTAATACTGAAGCAGTAATCATGGAAGTGGAGCAGTAACTCAGCGGTAGAGTGGTAGATTGCAATGGTGTAACAACTAGCAATTATCTATAGGTCCCGTGTTCGATCCACGGCTGTTCCTTTCTTTTTTCTTTTTTACATCTACATACTGTTTCCTTTTTGTTTCTATCTTGTATCTTATGCTTCTTCACGATTATACGATTATAGATTTCATTTATATCTTTACTACCTCACTCGTACTTGTATTGTGTGACTTGATTTACATATAAAGGTTTAACATACGCCTTAAGAGACAGCTATGGTACCCTCGACCATTCCATAAGCTAGTTCAATATGACTGAATTCATAACCTAGAACTATATCATAACGCCTCCATGCAAATAGATAGGGGTATGTAGTATGTATAAAGACCATCTCCCAACGCCAAACAAACAAAAACAAAAAACAACCAAATCCAATCCAATCAACCAGTCTTCCTCTTCTTAGGCGCCATATCATCCGTAACATCCGAATCCCTCCTCGCCCCGCGCTTCCCCTTCCCCTTACTCTTCTTCCCATCAGCGACAGCAGCACCACCACCCTCCCCCAAATCCTCCATCCCCTTCTTCGCATCCTTCAAATTCGCCACCTGGTCATCATTCTGATCGAACGCCTTGCGCGCCTCCTTCAGCTCGCGCTCCATGCGCAGCAGCTCCTGCACACGGCCCAGCTTGTTCGGGTCGCGGCGCAGCGCGAACCGGAAATCGTCAACCTTGATCTTCTGCCGCCGCGAGTAGCTCGCGTATTGCGCGGCGCCGTGGCACATTTCGAGAACGAAGTCCGTGACGATTTCGTCGAGGACGCGCACCGTTTCGGGGAGGGGCTCAGATGGGAATGACGGGTGCGGGCTGGGGTCGCCGTAGGCGAGGAGGAGGAGGCGGACTGTTTTTGGCAATTAGCATTTCATGAGAGGAGAGAGAGAGGGTTTAACTGGGTTGACGTACGCTCGGAAGAGAAGTTCATTTGGCCCTTGTGGCGGGCCATACGCGCACGGGGTTCCGCCATTTTGGCAGGTTTCTTCGGCGCAGCGCTAGATGTAGCTGTACTCGTACACTTCCCGGGGGTAGTTGCGGCGCCGCCGGCGGGAGCAGCTGCTGTATTCTGCGGCGCAGGCGCAAAAGCAGGTTTGTATCCGGCGCGGATTAGGTTCGTTTCGTGGGGATTCCACGGCCAAGCAGGGGCGATTAGACTCGACACATGGCCTGTACTAGGCTGACGGGGAGTGATGGAGGATGTCGGGGATGGACGACAGGTGTGGTTGAGGTGAGGTTGAAGCCGGTGTTGGAGATGGCAAAGGAATGGGACGGCGGGTGGGCGGTGAGGGGCGATTCTGCCGGCGGAATTGGAAGGCGGGCGGGATGAGGGAGTGGCTTTATTGCGGTGGTGGTTCATGGTGATGATCCTCAGCTGCTAGCTACCTGGTTGTTTTAGAGTTGAGCGCTTGAAGCAGTTCCACAATCAGTCAATATGGTAAGTGTCTTCGATGAGAGAGCAGGAGTGCACTTGGTGGAGTGAGAGTGAAGCAGAAAGCAAAGCAAAAGAGGATAAAGGAGAAAGAGAGGATTGAGCTGAGCTGTCTTCAATAGAGCTCACTTACTCGACGTTCTATTGTTGAGCTACAATATACTTGAAATCGTCACTAACATCTTAACAGTCAGCCTTGTTCAACTTCCAGTCCCTCCTCCTGGTGATCCTCCTGATCATCTGCACAAGCACCTACGCCCACTCCATGATGCCCGGGATCATGGATCGCAACCAAAACGGGTACGTGCACTCTTCCACCGGGCTCTCCCTCTATTTCAACAAGGGAGGGCGATATGCTAGAACATAAGTCTAATGCGAACAGCTTCTTCGGGATATTCTGGAAATGCGCTCGGATCGGGGAACGACTGAGCCCATACGTCAGTCTTTGCTGCATCTTGATGGCGGTGAGTTCCACCTCATATGGATGGATTAAGGAGAAGAGCATATCGCTGACAATGGTGTGATGCTGTGTCTAGGTTTCGATTTTCCTCGGTGGTTGATGGGGTCCTTTATCGTCGACCCTCTTCTTGGCAAATGGAGTTTATCAGTATTCTAGCCGGGACTATATTTGATCTAGATCACGTTCTGTGGAGTTTATGTCATTGCCATGGTTTCTTATTCATTGTCTTTCATATTGTACATAAGTTGATGATTTATACAGCAGTCTGCTGGGGTGTCGAGATCTATTCTATCAGTACATGTAAAGCCCCTACCAATACCTAAAGTGAAGAGAGGGGAAAAAAATAAAAGTAATATAGCCAACAGGAGGAGAAGAATAGAATAAAGATGTCAAAAAATACAGGGGTATCATAACTTGGTCGCCTGGCTCTCCTGCAAACGTCGCAGCCCTTGGTCCAGTAAATCGTCCGCTCCGCTGAGATACTCTCCGTCATCGTGCAGCGGAGCAGCCACCGAGGGCACGTCCGTCGCAGGTCCAGCAGAAAGCTCGTCCAGCTCCTTCACCACCTCCCAAAGTTGCTCTGGGTCATGCAGGTAGCGGAGGCTCTTCATGGTGTACGCGTCGATGGACAGGCCCTGGGCTTCCATGGCCTTGATGGCCTTGGCGACCTCGGGCACGTTCTGCGCGTTCGCGTACCCACTGATGATGGTGTTCCAGGTGACCATGTTGAACTCGACCCCGTATTTGGCCATCATGTCTTTCACTCTCTCTGCGGCCATTGGTTGCCGATTATAGGTGAAGGAGCTCAGGAGGAGCGTCCAGGTCCGTACGGTTGGCTTGGCGCGGGTCATTGGTAAGATTCCGTCGTTATGGGCGGTGGTGGCTTGTAACATGTCTTCGACAAGCCGCACGGATGGCCGGATTCCTTGCGGGTCTTTCCGGAACGCGACGAGGAACTCGTTATAGGTGTGGTCGGTGGCGGCCAGGGGCGCGATGATCTCGTGGCCCTTTAGAACCATAGAGTGGAAGTATTTATAGATGCGGAGAACGTGGGGCAGGCGTTTGTGGCACCGGAGGTAGCTTGCGATGATGAGGTACAACGCAATCACCGATGGGGGCTCGTTTGCGCCCCCTGGTGGGGGAGTATATTCCGGCGGGAGGATGGTGAGTTCCTTCAAAGGCGTGATGTCGTGGAATTTGGTGTACAGGTTCAACAGCGAGTAGAAGGTCGCACTGGGGTCGGCGTCCTCCTCAATGTTTTTGGCCGTGAAGACGAAGTGAGCGTGGAAGGTCTTGTTCGCAATCCAGGGATTCTTCGACATCTCCTCCTGGGGCTCGATCTCCTCGATCAACGCGTCCACCAGGTGCCGGTCTCCCCGAGACACGGCATCCGTGAGCAGGGTCAAGTAGGTATAAGAGTCCGGCTTCATGTTCTGGTTCCGCATGAAATTCAACATGTCGAGCCCCAGCTGCGGGTCCCCCGTCCGGAACGCGTTCCGCAATACCACGTTCATCATGTCCCGGTCCGGCCGTACGCCCATCTGGAGAAGACTGGGGAGGATGCGAAAGTTGCGTCCGTTTGGATCGTCAACCACGGAGTCAAGCGTCAGAAGCTTACAACAGTGATGCATGACGGCCGCGGAATCGATGAGAAATTCATGCTGGCTCAATCTGCGAATACGCTCGAGCACGTCAAGTGCCTTATCGACGTCTTCAAAATCCGTAAAGCGGCGCATGAAGCACAGATAGGTCTCCGCTGTGACGTATACGTGCTTGTCGATAACGTGGTCATAAGCCGCATGCAGACGGTCACGGTCGGCGACCATCAAGTACTGACGGACGCCCTTTTGAGACACCACAATGATGGGCCAGTTGCTAGGGTCCAGACAGGTTTGCAGCGCCGAATCGTACGTATGCGCGCCTCGCTCCCACTGTTTCAATCGATCATCATAGAACGCACGCAAGAAGGATAGACAATCCGCCATCATGAGAAACACCGGCCTGTGCGCGCTCTGGGAGGTCACCAGAAAGAATTCCAGGGCCAGCTCCGGAGAATCTTGCAGCAACCACAGCGACATACGCTTCCAATGCCCAGCTTTCGACTTCTTGTCTAGGCCCTCCCATGCCTCGCGAAAACGGCCTTGCCCGTCCGTCTCTAAGAGATCCCGTAGTTTTGCGTCCTCGTCGATCGGCTTGAACTGTTCTGGTAATTCCCGCCGGGCGTCTCTGGCGAAATGTTTTGCCTTGAAAATCTCGGTCAAAGCCGCTCGCCATCGTCGAACATCCAACCCACTGTCAAACCACGTCCTCGACATGATTTCATTATCGAGATCTCGCGTACTTTGATCGACAAATCGTGTCCGGTACGATAATTCACCGTCGGAAACGGTCATGGTGTTGTAGGTGACGCGTGTTTTGAAACCCTTCCGGTGGGGTTTCTTTGGCCCACCGCCATGCTCCTGTGACGACGGTTGAGCGGGCGACACCGGGGGGTGTGATATTCGGTTTTCAGCGACGGGGTCGGAGGTGTTCGAGGCGTAAGAAGTGGCAGCGGACTTGTTGCCCAGAAGAGTCGATCGGGGAATGGCGGAAGATTTCAGGTCTGAGTCCCCAACCCCTGGGCCGACAGAAGATACAACACTCGCACTAGAGGCATCATTGCCAATGTATCTGGCCGAGCGAGGACTGCCTGGTCTCTGGCGAAACCAATGCCCAAAGCGCAACCGGTGCTGCGGAACGCAGGACGGCAGTCCAGCGCTGAAGCGGGAGCGCACAAGGGATGGACCAAATGACATTCAGAATTGTGATAGGATCTGCATTGAACGGGAGGGAGAGAATTCAAAACAGGCGAAAATCGAAGTAAAAAAGTGGTTAGGTTGGCGGATTCAGGAGCAGACACTGAAGTCTATAGATGGGAAAAAAGGCCTGGAAGAAATCCGCCCGCTCGATATTTTGCTTCGGCGCAGAGTGTGGCTGGTGGATCCGCCCGAGCGTGGCGCACCTCTCCAAACTTCGGTCATGATGGATCTTGCCGGTCAACTTCACCCCGAATCAATCGGATCGCCCTGTACATACATATACGTCTTTGATTTACTGTCCTGGGCGCCAGCTTTGAGGCCCTCTTGTTTTCCTCCTCCTTCTTTTTCTACCTTTCCCCTCCATCTAAAGTCCAGTCATGTCGTCCAACCATGCCACTCTCGATGCGGCCGCTACCGACCGCAAAGCTCGTCTGGCGAAGCTGGCCGCGTTGAAGCGGAAACAACCGGAGCCAGAGGCCATGGACGAATCCAGTGCGCCGAATGATGAAGCGCAAGATAGCACCCCCGACATCTCAACGAAGTACCTCTCCGGAAGGAACTACGATCCCGAAACCCGTGGTCCGAAGCTAGGATTTGACCAGGATCCCTTAGATGGGAAGGATACCCTCGAGGCTCAAGCCGCGGAGATTGCCCAGGCCACGGCGGAGCAAGCGAAGAAGGACGAGCAAGCAGATCAACCGATCGATCTGTTCAAATTGCAGCCGAAGAAGCCCAACTGGGACCTCAAGCGGGACCTGGATGAGAAGATGAATGTGTTGAATGTGAGGACGCAGAATGCCATTGCACGGCTGGTGCGGCAACGGATAGAGAACGCTCAGCGTGCGGCGAAGGGAAAGCAGGGCGAGGACGTTGGCATCGAGGGAGAGATGTTGGTGGAGGGCATCCACGTCCGTGAACAGGAGGGAGCGGATGAGATGGACGAAGATTGAATTATTGGACTTGTGATACCCCCGGAGGTGGATAGTTGTGGAAATTGGTCTCTTTCTATCATCGCATTTTTTCTTTCCTTTTTTTTTTGTTTTCTCTTCAACATTTGGCTTTCGTCCTCAGGCGCTTATTGTTGGGATTCAAGGTACATGCCAGGCGTTGATGGGATTTGCATTGTGATTCTACGGTACCAAGACCAATTTTTCATGTCATTCATAGCCGTATCATACAGATTAAGATCCAAACCATTGCCATGCCAGCTTACATGGACGAGCCTTGGGGGTTGACCTCCTGGGCGGAAAATGAAGAAAAAGATAAGAGGAGCAAAAGACCACCCTCGTAAAAGACCATCCGCGTACACCTGTGCGCCCAACCGCTTTTCGTACTTTGTCCATTAATATTATTCCTTTCCAACATTCCAGTGCTTAACGGCTCATATTCATAGCCTGAGTCAAAGCTAGTCGCTTGCTGAAGGGGCTTAGGCTGCGCTCTCTTGGGGGTTGGGGAGGACCAGGATCTCGACCACCGCTGGGTCGGTTTCTTGATGGCCCGCCGGAGTATGCCCGATCGTCCATTGCATTCGGACTGTCAGACCGTCCGCCTCGTGTCCCGCGGAATCTGTCCCCGCTGTGGCTTCGCATCCGATCTGGTCGATCACCGCCCCGAGGGATATCTCTCGCTCGACCGCGAGCATCCGGACTGGACTCCCGGCGGCGTCGTCGCGTATTCCGCTCTCCTGTCCATCCTCGGTCACGTGATCGATTGTCCTCGCCGGACGAGTAGGATGAATACCCGGACGAGGAGTCGCTGTACCGTCTTTTCCTCGGCTTCGAGTGCCGCGAGGTGGTCGATTCTGCACGCGGCTCCTGGCTTCGCGAAGAGTAATCGTCACGGCGAGGGGGGGATCGAGAGCGCGAGCGGTTGGTCGAGATGGTCGAAACGGAGCTCACTGAATGCGATGAGATGGATCTGCTCCGTTTCGACGAACTTTCCACCGGGTCCAGGCTATCGAGTTCCTTTTGCCGGCCCCGTCCTTCTTCGCGCTTGGCCAGGATCTCATCCGCCACGCCTTTCCTGCGAACCATTAACCATCGCTCATTAACTCACCATGGCAGCATCGATGCGCCAGCGCGTGCCAGTACCACCGGGCATGACTGGACTTACGAGTTCAAAAGATCATTGGGAACATCACTGGACAGTTGCGGGCGTAGCCTCGGGTTCTGTAATTGCTGGGTGCGCGATGGGCGTGAGATATACGGTCGGTCCTGCGCAGACGCCTTACACTCGTAGCTATAGTGCCGTGCAGAGCAAAAGTCAGCATGGCGACATTCGAGGAGCTCAGAGATTCCGGCACATATCTCGTTTCAAGCATTTCTGGCACAGAGTACTGGCGGAGGCTTTGGTCGCGGGGGCGCGCAGCCCGGGGGCATTTCGGTAACGATTCATCCGTAAACTGTCTAGTACGGGGATACGGAAAATTAAAGACCCTGGAAAATATAATGGTAGACCTACTAAAAGGTGATCGGAGGAGCGAACACTTGATTTGATATCAACCTGGTTGACTGACTGGCGGCTGTTTGGAGAGTGTGGGTCGGGCCGACCGGTGTCTCTCACTCTCTCTGTCTGTCTTTCTTTCACCCGCGCGTTTAGAATTAAAAAAAAAAAAAAAAAATCGAGACAAGCGAATCCCGCTTCTTCTCTCTCTCTTTCTTTACGCCTACTCGTTCCTTCTCCGACTCCATCCAGACATCTTCCTCTCCACCCAATTCATTTCTTCTTGGTCGTCGCCTCTGACGGCGTCGTCTAGTTTTTCCGGACTATTCGGATGCTCTCTGAATTTCGATTACCTACTTCTTTATTCGATTGTTAAGTAGGAGACCCCTCATTCCTCTCAGCTTCCCCCCTCCCCATCTCCGACTGTTCAGCGAGAAGAAAGAAAGAAAGAAAGAAAGAACTGCGACTTATGGAAATCATGAACCATTTGTTCTGACCATCGTGTAAGATCAGATCACTATCTCCTTTGCCTAACTCCTCCTTGCGCTGTCCCAGCTTTGATCCTCCGCTCCGGGTACTATTACTATCACCCGGGACTTCCTCCGCCGTATCTCTCGATCCTAACGTCAACCAGCTTTCCTTATGGCGCATTACGTTTACCAGAGATATGTTGTCTTTCTTTTTGGGATTGTGTGAAGTGGGATCTTTGAGTGGCTTTATTTTCTCGATTTGAACCTCGGTTTCCGTCCTTTTTTGAGCACCCTCGCAACGCGTTGAGTTCGACCGTCCAGTCCCTCTCGCCCGGGTATCAACTTCTCCCATTTTCCTTCGTACGTGGACGATAGCGTGGGAAAAGGACGAACGTCAAGCAAAAAACCGGCACTTGACTATCCTTGTGATCTTTTCCTATTTTACACCTTCTTTCTTTTTTATCCCCCCTCCCCTGAGTGGAAAGGGTACTGCATCACGATGGCATCCAAGGATTCCGCCAACGACGAGATTCGTCCTTCCTTTGCAAAGGTATGTTTGGCTTGCACGCATCCCCGCGTGTGGTACATGTCCCCCACCCTTCTTACATGCGCACAAGATCGCCGCCATGACCCCGCAAAGACAACCAACGGCTTCGGTCCCATCTGATACACAAGTTCGTTCACAGTTTAGCGAGGAGCCGTCCTCTGTCGCGCAACAAATCTCGAATGCCGCCCCCGATGAAAACCCGAACGTGGTCGACCGAAGCATCGATGATCTATCGCAAGCCGTACAGGATGCTCACATCTCCGGGAAGAAGGGGCCGGAGAGCCCCGAGCTCTCCACCGACGGCCAAGAGAATGGAGCCCTGAAACGGGAGATCTCATTTGAGGATGATCGGACGCATCTCTCGGGGTCTTCCACGAAAATGACCAGCTTCGACTCGAAGAGCATGGCATCGGTCACCACTTTCGCGATGGACGAAAAGGACTCGCTCCGCCCAGACGATAGTGCGAGTGTCCAAGCAATTGACGAAGAGGATTGCTTCTCGGGTCCTGCCTCGGGGGCTCCCAATTCTCTCACGGGCTCCGAATCGGGGGCTCGCGGTTTCAGGGATATCCAGCGACCTCGAGCCATCCTCCATGGGGGCCCGAACTTCGGTGATGCTGGGGGACCACGGGTCAACGGGGGCATGATCCCCGATTCGGTGTCCAACAATTTCGTCGTTCCCAACCCAGAAGGGTTCCCGGGTGGTCAACAACCGATACCGATCCAGCCATTCCCTCTGGATCCGGACGAGAAGCTCCTCGAGGCTATGAAGTCCCCGAAGGATCGTCTCCTGATCCTGCAGCTGGAGGAGAAGGTCCGGTTTTTCATCCAGAACTCCAAGTAAGTCGATCATGTTCTTCAGCTTCAATAGCCGACGTGAGTCTGACCGATTCATCAGGGAACAATCTTTGGAGCTACCCCCTTCAAATGCCTTTGGCCGACTCCTTGCCCATAAGCTGGGTGATTACTATCATTTAACCCATTTTGTCGATAACAATGTCACATCGGTCCGACTACACAGAACACCATTTTGTCGACTGTACGTGATCAACCCCCCACCCCGGCTTTTGGATCTCCTTTGCCTTTGGTTGACTGTTGATGTTAACTTTATGCAGACCAACGCCCCTCTCTGTCCTACATGCCACAACCAGCAGCACCCCACCCCCAGCGATGCCGGCCATGAAGATCATGCGCCGTAACGATGGTGATAAGTCCGCAACCGATGACGGCATGGGCGCCGGTTCGTCGGTCCCCTCGAAAACCGGTTCGGAGGCCGGTGAAAGCGGACACGACGGAGAGCGCGGAGGCTCCTCGACCGGCACTCCCGCCAAAGACCGGTTGACCTTAACCCGAGAGGAGCGAGAGGCCAAGTACCAGGCGGCCAGGGAGCGGATCTTCCGGGACTTCCCCGAGTCCAAGTCCTCGGAGAACGGCGGGAACAGTGATCCAGGTGCCATGTCGCGCTCGAGCTCGACCAGTGGGCGCAAAAAGATGCAGAGGCAGAAGACCCCGCACGACGACAGTTTTGAGGGACGGTCTCAGTTCAATGCCTACTACCCGGGCATGAACTACGCGCAAGGATCGGCGCCTTACAACAACGTCACCGTGAATGATCCGTCCGTGGCGGGACCGCCCTGCATGCTTGGCCCGGGCGTCGCACCGCCCGGCATGGGGTACATCCAGAACAGCCAAAATGGCACCATGTATCCCGCCCAGATGAGTGTGAACTCGATGTCCCAATATCCGATGCCGGTCTCGCCCCAAATGACCACCAGCAGTCCGTGGCAGAACGGTGCGATCCCTCCGCAATCGCCTTACTCGGGGTATGCATCTATCAATCAGTCGCCGGGGATGCCGTCGGCCAAACCATCACCGGCGATGGGCAGCTATCCGATGCCCAATGGGATGCCCTATCAGCCCACGCCTCCGAGCTGGCCCTCTTCCCATTTTCCGGGAGGCTATCAGCAGCCCACGGCCCGAAACCAGCCGCCTGGCCCGTGGACTAGTTACCCGTCTCAGCCTCAGCCGGTGAACCCCGCATACCCATACACGCAATATCCTGGGCAGCATCTGAACCCGGGAATGCAAGGCCCGGCTGGCTCCCACCCGATGCCCGGTAGTTACAACCGGTCTGCCTTCAACCCGCAAACCCGATCGTTCGTGCCGGGTGGAGCTCCGCTGGGACGGCATCCAAGCAGGGGCGGCCCACCTGGTGTGGGCGCATACCCTAGTATGCCGGGCGGCGTGTCGCCTCAATGGGCCGGCTACCCCGACCCCGGTCCTAATAGCCACGATACGATGGGCCGTGCCATGCCCGCTGGTGGCCGGGGAGACTCGATTGCGAAATGGGGCACCCCGTCTCATCTTCCGCCGAAGCCGCCACCGTCGGAAGTTTCCTCCGAATTTGACCGCAAACCTCGCAACGTGCCCCCGCCGGCGCACCCGTACGCAGGCAACAACCCGCTGCCGAATCCCACGAATGGCCCACTGGTGGTCTCGGGCGGCACGGTCGGCACGGGCGCGCCCCGGACGAACTAGGCCAGAAGCTAGGACGGAGTATATCTTGTAAGCCAACGGCATGGATGAGCAAGGGATAACGAGGCAGTGTGGTATAATTTCTTTTTTCCTTGTCATGTTATCTCTGGTAGATAGAGGGGGAAGATGGGGTTCGGCCAGGCCAATAATAAAAGCAACCTATGACTTGATGATGATATCTACATCTTGCCAGCGTGGAATGTAGCTGTCGCTGTTGTGGGTATAACCAAACATACATCCCACTGGTGTTACTCCGTGTCGCAGGGGAGCAGACTATAGACCACCCAGACTCACAATCAATCTATCTAAACGCCTTACAACTATGAATAACTTGTCCAAGCAGGTAAATAGATAGATAGATAGATAGATAGTTACAGTAGAAAAAGGCTATAGCAGAACTCCAGGCCATCATATCCATCTCATCCATCTCCCATGAGAATTGATAACACATGATCCGGCCAACACTAGATAAAAGTACAGCGAGCATGCAGACATGCAATACAATACACCCAACAGACAGTCTCAAGTCTCAAGTAGACGACGAGGTCAAGGCTGGCGTGGGACTCTCTTTCCCTTCCGTCAAGACCTCCATCCAAAGCACGTGTCGTGAAAAGAGACCTCTAATCAAATAAAAAAAGAAAAAAAAAGGACCAAAGCAAACGGTATGAAAAAGAAATGTACATCTATTGACCCGCACCAGCCCCATTCCTCTTCGCAAACGCAGCAGCCTTCCCACTATCAAGCTCCAACTTCTTAATCGCCCGCTCGAGATCATCAACCCCATCCTTGCGGTACCGGGTAACCTTTCGCACATTAAGAGTCGTCAACTCGTTGAGCCCCTCAAAGCCCTGCGAGCGATTCCGCGCAACGGTCCGGGCAGTCATCGCGAAGCGCATATCCTTGGGCCCGTCGACGAGTTCCAGGATGGCGCTCGCGGCCTGGTCATCCTTTTTGGGCTCGACGCGCAGCACGCGCGTGTAGCCTCCTGGGCGGGTGGCGTAGCGTTCGCGGAGGGAGCCGAAGAGTTTGGGGAGGAGTTCGTGGGGGGTCTATTATCGATGATTCTGTTAGTATATCATTTTCTTCCTCTTTTTTTTTTTATATTTTTTTCTTCTTCTTTTCCTTTTTGAGGTGTTATTGGGGAACATACGTAGAAGACAGACAGCGCTTGTTGTCGGCTCGCTCCGGTGTTCTTCTTGCCCAGGGTGATGAGCTTCTCGGCTAGTCGTTGGGCTTCCTTGGCTTTGGGCCATGTGGTGGTGATGGATTCGTGGGTGAAGAGCGAGGTGACGAGGTTGCGGAGCAGGGCCTGCCTGTGCGAGGACTTACGGCTGAGATGGCGGTACTTTGTGGCGCCCCCTGCCATTTTGACTGATGTGTATTTGGAGGGAGGAGGTGAGTAGGCGGGGGGGGGGATAGAAGTGGCGGGGAGAGAGGAGGTGAATGCGTGAGGAGTGAAAGTTGAAGGTATCCAAACGGTGCATCAATCCAAAGTTCCAGAGAGGAAGATTCGATTCTCCGGCGGCCAATCGGAGCCCGGAGTCGACCGCCGTCTCGGTCCGCAACTTATCGATGGGTTGATCTTTCTTTCTTTTGCTTCTTCGTTCTCTACTTGTGTGTGAGGTAAAAACAAACAGGGATACATTATTGACTGTGGTTTATCTTTCTATCCTCCTGGTTAATTGATGTCCCTTCCACTGGATGGTACATTCCCCGTCTAGCAGCATCCCACCCCGACCGAGCAACCCTTCGTCCGCAATTCAACCAATTTCCCCGCCGCGCCTCTCATAAACCCACCAAATCTGTCCTTATTAATTGGATAGAAGCAGAAAACGACAGCATGGGCTTCTTCTCCGGCTTCGTAAGCAATTACCACTGCCTCCCTCCCAAACAGCCACTAACAAAAACCCAGTTCAGCGGCTTCGCCCTTACAACCACCGTCCTCTACCTCTCCGTTCAAGTCCACCGCTCCAACCGTCTCGACCAGCGCAACACCATTCGCGAACACACCCGGATTCTGAATGAACTGGCTTCGCCGGTAGGCGCTTACGATCGCCGGTTAGCCCCGAAAGACAAAGACCTACGCGCAGTCACAGACGAGTCGGCGCAGACCCCGCCGTCGAGGCCCACGATGCAGGTGATGTTCAAGCATAGGTGGAACCAGGAGGTGGAGAAGTTGGCGCGCAGGGCTTATGAGAGTCGGTGGGAGGATGCGCGGGATGCTGCGGTCGAGGGGTGGAAGAATGTGGTGAGGTTGGTTAAGAAGGAGTGAGTGAACTTCCAAGTGAAAAGGTGTTGGTTTGTTCTGTTCTTGTGTTTGGCTCTGTTGTGTGTGTGTATATTGCGAGCGGTTCGGCTCTGATACCCTTGTTTTTTATTATTATTATTGTTATCATTATTATTGTGTATTTCTATGGCTGCTTTGATGTTTGTCTCTTTGCCTATATTGCCTTGCTCGGACATGGGTATACTTCCACGATGTGATTAGTATGTACATGTTTCACCGCTTCTACCACACGAACATTCCCATGTCGCGTGTCTTTGACTCGCTGGGATGCGACAATTGGTTGCCTGGGAGGACGAGTTTCTTCCCGGCCTGGAGTGCGATGCCAGGCAGAGCACTCCCTCCGAAAGGGGCATGGCATATTCTCCAGCAGCCTGGAGCATCGACTCGTATGCGGTTAGACCATGCGAGATAATGATATCGACCATGTCATAGGATAAGATTGTAAGTTCGATCGGTCATCCAACTCCGGCCAAGCATCAACCCGCCCCCGCATTGTTAGCAGTAGACTCCGTCGGCGTACTCGACGAGTCACTATCACTCCAAACATCCATACTCTCGCGCTCAACCGCCCGCATAGCCAGCGCAACCTCCTCCAGCCGCGCAACAACATCCAACACCCCATTATTCACCCGGTCAAAGTACCGATCATTCGCCTCGCGACGCTCCCGCGCCAGAAGAATATCCTTCTCCGTCTCCTCGTCGAGGTTCCTCGGCGCGGCGCCAGCGTCCGCAGTAGCCACCCCCGCCCCCGCCGACGCCGCCGCAGCAGCAGCGGTAGTAGCAGGCTCGGCATCCTTCCTCGACAGATCCTTAACGGCGTCCGCCTTAGGTTCAACGACCTCGTCGTCCGCCTCGCTGCGGGCCCACGCCTGCGCCAACTTCAACTGCTGGGTGCGCAAGTCCTCCAGAGCCTCGGAGTGACGTTCGCCGAAGACGTGTTCGCTGGTCACGGCGCTCAGCTCAACCTCCGACAGGGCGTTCTGCATCTCCTGCCAGATGGCGTCGGTGCGGTCCATCTCGCCTCTGGACTGGGTGCGCGAGCGCGAGATGAATGGGGACAAGGAGGGTGCATCGAGAGAGCCGTAGGTTGGGGTCCGGGTCCGGGTTGGGCGGGGCTGTGGAAGCGGTGGTGGTTGAGCTCCTCCTGGTACGGGGCCGTTGGAGGTCGCTGCTGCTGCTGCTGCTGCTGCTGCTGTGGGTGGCTGGAGAGAGAGATTGGAGGCGCTGTGGGAGGGAGGACCTTGAAAGAGGACCGGGGGTGGGAGACGCTGCGTGCTGATCTTGCGCAGCTGGTCCATTTTGGGGTCTGATTTGATGTCCATGTTGGGATTGTAGATACCTAGGTAGGTACTATGCAAGTATAGATGGTGTAAGGGGAAGAGTTGACGATGCTATCTATGGATAGAGTGGATAGGATAAGATAAGATAAGCTATCTTATCGAACGGAGAAAAGGTAATCCGACCCTCGCTTAACCACCCAATGCGGACTAGCGCACACGACAACCGCACACTCAATTGCCCTGAAAGTCTTAGCGAGCCCGCCCGAGACCGCCTGAGAGAACGCCAGAGTCAGTCGGAAAGTGAAGTTGAGCCTTCGACTTCGCCCTCGCCCTCCTTCGACAACCATCCCCAGCCCTCCGTCCAGGCAGTTTATCTTCAGTCGGTAGGTCACACCTTTTTCCTAGTCTCGTGGATATCGCGTTTTGCACCGGTCATCGAAAATATTCTCGTCGGCGTCACTTGTCTCGAAATTCGATATCCAACCCCATTATCATTATCCGTCTATCACCCCACGAACACCGCTACTCGAAAAGGAGACGAACAAGAAAAGGAACGATCAATCTAATTAATCTCTTTCACAGACTCGAATAATCCGCCAAGATGGGTAAAGGAAAGCCCCGTGGACTCAACGCCGCGCGCAAGCTGGCCACCACCCGCCGTGACAACCGGTGGGCTGACCTGCACTACAAGAAGCGTCTGCTCGGTACCGCCTACAAGTCGTCTCCCTTCGGTGGTGCTTCCCACGCCAAGGGTATCGTCCTTGAGAAGGTCGGTGTTGAGGCCAAGCAGCCCAACTCCGCCATTCGCAAGTGTGTCAAGGTCCAGCTGATCAAGAACGGCAAGAAGGTCACTGCCTTCGGTGAGTTCCCCCTCTCCCTATCCGACACGCCATTGCTGCGGTGAAGGTGGATATGCAGATACGATCAAGTATCTGCCAAATGATGTATACTAATACCGAGATAGTCCCCAATGACGGTTGCCTGAACTTCATCGACGAGAACGACGAGGTCCTCCTGGCCGGTTTCGGTCGCAAGGGCAAGGCCAAGGGTGATATTCCCGGTGTCCGTTTCAAGGTCGTCAAGGTCTCCGGTGTCGGTCTCATGGCCCTGTGGAAGGAGAAGAAGGAGAAGCCCCGCTCGTAAACAACTCAACCATTTCGAACCGGGACGGAAAAAAATGAGGACGAAAGCGATGGAGTGGCGTTTTTGACTGGATCTTTCGAGATGGCGGTTTCGGGGTCCTGCCCTAGATGGATTGATTGAATTGAATGCATTTGGGACGGTGGGAAATCACGTCTGTGGTCTAGATGGATTTTTCATGCCCGACTCGAGAAACAGATTTGGGACGCATGACCCTGCAAATTGATATGATCTTGCAGCTACTATACGATTGTGATACTCCGAATTTCTCTTTTTCTTTTTTCTCTTCTTCTTTTACTTTTATTATCCCTCCCCATCAACAAAAGAAATAAAATCAAAAAGAAAAGATAGACAGAAGAAAGAATGCCGCCATGATTGATTCTGGGATGGCCCCTCGAATTCAAGTCCTTCCAAAATCATCCCCTGTCTATTCGTGTTCCGTAGACTTACGTAGTACATACAGCCAGCATCTGTCATGCCATCTGTGGGGTGTATGCGCTAGCTTCTACAGGCTACTTACTAGTTACTACGGAGTACTGGTCTGTATGACATGTCTTGAACTTTTATTTTATATCGAAAATTATGTAGGTCCTCATACCATGATCCTCGTGGGTATCGTTCCTTTATTGCGTGATGACAGACCTTACGCCACTCCAGTCCACTGTTATCTCAAACCTCTGCATCCTTTTTCTTTTCTCTCTCTCCCTTTGTTTGAATATGCTGGTATATCCTTTTTTTTTTTATTGTTAACTTTATTTCATTTTCTTCTTCCCATATCTTAGAAGCTAATGTCTTCCTTGCGGTAGTGGTCCGATACAATTCGGTAAAGGTATGATGGTGCGTGGCCGCCCCTAGTATTCAGTTAGTATGGTCAGATAAAAAGCAGGAGGGAGGAAAAAAGATGACTTACAAATTGGTAATGTAGAGATCCACCAACTCCGCCGGCACATAGTCGTACAGCGGATTTTGCACGTCCAGCTGGTCGACGAGATCGCCGTCCTCGTAGGGGATGACCTTGCTGGCGTCGCCGTATTCGATCAACGACTCAAAGTCGAACGGGTACACGGGACTGAGCTTGTAGACACCGCTGGCAACCACCACGGGCGTCTGATGCAGCTTGGCGGCGCGGGCGATCACCCGGGTGCCGGCCGCGGCCACCAGACCGCCGTTGGCCAAAACCGAGTGCGTGCCTAGGATGACCTTGTTGACGCGCGACATCAGCGCAAAGACGGCCGAGTCGGGGATCAGGATGACTGTGATCCCGAGCGCGATGAGCGGTTTCTGGAACGATTCGGTGCTCATGATCTCGTCGTCGCCCGTTTCCTTGCCGCTGACGGTGGCATGGGTGGCCTCGTGGTTGTTGGGGTAGGATTCGGCGTGGATCACGGTGAACTTTCGCTTGGCGGCGGCCTTGAGCAAGAACCGTTGAACTGTCGTGGATGAAGTGTGCGTGAGGATGATCTCGTTCGAATGGATGTGGTCGAGCGCATACGCCGCAATCTGGTCATCGACCTGACCCAGCTCATCGATGATTTCTCCAATCCCCTCCAGCACTTCGGCCCGGATGTCTTTCGTCGGTGCGTAAGGCGGGAATCTTCCAGAAGGCGAGGCGGACACGGGCGTCCCCGGGAGAGACGGCTGGGGCTCCGGGTGTGAAAGCAGGTTGAACATAGAAATCGGAGTCGTGTTGATGGTGGGGAAAGGAGGGCGAGACAAGGATCGATCGGAGCCTTCATGGACCGATGGGTCTGCGGTTCAGCGTCAGCATGAGTTACTTCGGCATATGGGCTCAAATGCGCGGGAGACTGACCATCAGCGGCACGGGGAGTCTGCGGCTGGCTTTCGGAGCCCGCCTCACTCAAGGTGAAATCGCCTTCGCGGTCATCTTCAGCTTCGTCACGAATCAAACCCAAAACCCGTCGCACAATGTTCCCGACCACCATCTCCCGCGGTTGAGCGGCGATCAACCGCCGTCCCACGCTCTGCACCCGCTCGATCAGCTTGCCGGCATCGCTGGTTCTACAGGCCGAAATCACTCGAAGAAGCAGGTAAGCCGTAGCAGTCGCGCAGGACCGAGAATGCCGGATCTGTCTCCGCTTGAGAAGTCTAAAATGGGTCAGCACTGCGATTGAGATAATTTCCTTATGTAGAGTCTCAGACGCACGAGATCAGATTATCAATGGAGGTGTCGATCGGATTGGTCTTGAGCGATTTAAGATAGGACGACAGGCCCGGTGTCAGGGCCGCGGAGGGAGGCATTGATTCTTTCTTCTCTCTCTTTCTTGTTATAATGGGTCAAGATGCTATTCAGGTCTGAAGACGGAAGTAAAGTCCGCTATTAGCAGTTGAGTCACCACAGGACAATTTCTTTTCTCGTACCTAGATGGTGTGTGGGTAGACACCAATCTTCCAAAAAAGAACTCCCTATGCAGATAGACTCCAATCAAACACCCCGACTGTGAGTGAATCGGCAGAGAGGATGAGGATACGGCTGCGATATCAGTGATGGTGGTGGAAGAAAGATCAAAGTGGGATGACAAGGCGGAGAGAAAGCGGCTTTGGCCCGCCTTAAACTGCCGGTTCGGATTCTTGGATGGAGAACAACTCACTCCTCTGCTTCATCCTCCGCTGTCCCCTCGCTCCTCTTTCTCCCTCGCGATCTGGTTGATTGGATCTGTTTGTTGTCGTTTTATTCTCCTTCCCCATACTTTGATAATTCCTTCTTCTCTTCCTCTCACGTTCTCGACTCTTTTATCCGCCCACGAGAGGGCTCTTCCCTCTCTCCACCCTATCTCCCCGACCCATTTCTTCGCATACTCCGCCCTCATCCCCGGACGGAGAGAGGTGTTCGAGTCGCTTCTGTGACATCTAACTCTGTTTACATCTCATCTAGTCGGAAGAGTCGGGTAATTGACTGGCGCATTGAGGTCGGTTGCCTTTCACCCTCTCAGATGGATCTACTCGGTCGGGGACTCGAGTCGTCCTGGTGCCCCTTGGTCCCCGGGACTGACACTCTGGACTGAGTCGGGGAAGACAAGTGGTTGCTGACTTGTATGGCATGATTCTCCAGACATCTGCGCCAGCCCGGACCCGACCGTGGCTCTAGGTGGAAGATGAACTCGCTGAACCTCTTGTCGTCTCGAGTCATTGGTCAATCTTCCAATCCGAGCCGGAACCGCCAGCGATCCCGTTCGCAGGACGAGACTCCTCCGTCGAGTTCCGCCGCCGATCTTGCCAATCTTCGCTCGTACAGTGGAAATGACTTTCCCGCTGCCTTTTCCCGCGAAAAGAGTGGTGTCGATGACGACCCCGGGGACGAACATGCCACGGACTCCCCGTTCGATGAGAAGACCCCACTGGTTCGGGGCCTCCACAAGGACGGTTCCCTGGCGACGAGAAGCTCTTACGGATTAGTGACGAGGCGGTTCTTTGACGCGATTGCGGAAACTATCAAGTTCATACTCTCTACGTTGGCCGCGCCGGGCATCTATGTCGCTCAACTGTTTCGCGATGATGACGGTTACTATACTCCCATGGCCCCAGTGAGGAAACTCCGGCGGTCGCTCTTTGGTCCTCCGACAAACGGTACAGGCCCTTCAAGTAGGGGTGCGAAAGCAGGTGGGAGGCGAAGGCCGGGCTCGGCGCGAAAGCTGAAGGGCCATGCCTCGCGCGATTCCATCGTCTCCAGCACCTCCGAGTCCGAAGGAGACCATCGCCGGGGCATTCAGGGTCTCACCAGCAGCAAACACCGTCCGTCGAAATCGAAACCGTCCAATACTGAACAAGTGTCCGAAGAGAATACCCCGCGACGTTCAATTCGCATCAAGTTACATAATGAAGAAGCTCTGAAGCAGCAGCGGCAACGTCGGACCCAAAGCGCGGATCTCGGCCGGGCATCACATAGCCGGCAAGGGTCGCTGGATCCCGACAGTTTGAAATCGCCCACCTCCTCAGCTTCCGTCCATCGTGTCACCCGGTATCCGCATGCGTCTCCGGTTCCGCCGCGGCCGTTGATCCCTCCGCGGATCCCATCGTACCGCGCCGCCTCGCGCACTACACCCGCTCCCCAGAAGACCCTAGTCCTAGACTTAGACGAAACCCTCATTCACTCCTTGGCCAAGGGCGGCCGCATGTCCAGCGGCCACATGGTCGAAGTCAAGCTGGCTGCCCCGATGACGACGGCCCTCACACCCGGAGCCCCGCCCACGACGCTGGGACCGCAACATCCCATCCTATACTACGTGCACAAACGGCCGCACTGCGACGACTTCCTGCGCAAGATCTGCAAATGGTACAAGCTGGTGGTTTTCACCGCCAGCGTGCAGGAATACGCCGACCCAGTCATAGACTGGCTGGAACAAGAGCGGAAGTACTTCCACGCACGGTATTACCGGCAGCACTGCACATTCCGCAACGGCGCGTACATCAAGGATCTGAGTTCGGTCGAGCCGGACCTGAGCAAAGTTATGATTTTAGACAACAGTCCCATGAGCTATATTTTTCACGAGGGTAAGTCTCGCTGATCCCATCCATTAGACAAATCGCTGACCGTGTTAGATAATGCTATTCCCATCGAGGGGTGGATCAGCGATCCCACCGATAATGGACTCCTTCATATCATCCCAATGTTGGAAGCACTGCAGCATGTAACCGACGTGCGGGCATTCCTAGCCCTACGACGTGGCGAAGCCGAGTCGTAGCGTGGAATGAGGACGTGACGTTTTTAGAACGGATGGAATGAAGCAAACGAAGAATAGAAAGAAAAGAAAAACAACAAAAAAAAAGTCAAAAAGGAAAAAGAAAACCCATACCCATACATACATACATACATACACAGGCCCGACTTTCAATCACCAATGTGTCCCCCCCTGAGATATGATTCAACCTCTAATAAACGCATTTCTCTCCTCCATCATCATACCAAGTGAGCTTGAGCTGTGCGTGTGTGTTCAAAGAAAGCATGAACGAAGTGCCTGTCTACTCTAGCATTCTTTCATCGTCATACCCCCCTCTATTTTATATTATATATTCTATTACTTGCGATTATTGACTCATTCTTACTTTTTTTATTATCCCAGCCGGTTGGGGTATTCTTGTAATTGATTTTTCTCGTTTCCCTTTTATTCACCTATCTATCTACACTCTTGCTGCTGTTTGAGCTCCACTCCTGTGAATCAGAATCAGAATCATGTTATTACGCTACATTTACTTATCCTTATTATATACTTTGGACGGAGGCAGAGACGGAGATGGAGACTATGAATTGGGGTGATCCCTCTGTTTTTATGTTATAAAAATAAGACCTGGATTTTATTTCTTTCTCTTTCTTGCTGTGTTGTCATCTCTTGAACAGAATTGAGTATATGTAGATTTCCTGTTGTTGTCTTTCCTTTTCTTTCTTTTACTGTTTGATGTTCTCCTTGCTGAATCGCGATTGGAACTAGTTTAGATGGATCAGGTACTTGATATTACAGTAGGGGGTAGAGAAAACGATATCCGGATAGAGAAATGTATAGATATATATACCCGAGGTGGTTGTAGCTATATGTTAACACAACCACAAATATAGATAGTTTTGTTAAACAAAGGTATGAATATGTAGACGTTGAATGACTAGTTATTCTGAGAATATATATGTATCTATACATCTATCCAAATCTGTTCATATCAACTATTGATATCCTACTACGTGGCTAGTGATACATAACCCTACGGATATTACGAATTCTATCATAGCTTATTGACTCAATCAAAGTCAGAACTAAAACCAGGAGTACCAAGTCATATGCGTGATATTTCATAGTAAGATACAGTCCATTAATCCATTAGAGTCCCTTAGCCTGCTTGGCATCGGTCAAAGCCTCCTTCAACGCAGCGAGGGCATTGTCAATGTCCTTGCGGGCGGGGTCAGTGACGCTGACGCCCATGTGGCCGAAGCGGATGTACTTGGTGGGGCACTCCTTGTGCAGACCGGCTGCGAAGATGACCCCGCGCTTGAGCAGACCGGGCAGGACGTCGGGGGCAGCGATGCCCTCGGGCAGCCAGATGGCGGTCATGGCGTGGGCCTGGTTCTCGGGGGTGGCGGCGAGCTGCTTGAGGCCGAGGTCTGCGACGGCGGCCTTGACGCGGGCGGAGGCCTCGGCGTGGACGGCGAAGCGCTCGGGCATGGGGCGGGCGGTGATCTGGCTGAGGGTGGTGTGGAGGGCGTGGACGAGCTGGGTGGCGGGGGTGGCGAAGTAGGAGGGCTTGAAGCTCTCGTAGTTCTTCATGATGGGCAGCCAGTTGGCGAGGGAGGCGTAGTAGGCGGCGGGGGGAGTCTTGCGGTTCTGGAAGACGTCGACGGCACGGCCGGAGAGCATGAGGATGCTGAGGCCCGGGGGGCAGCCGATGGCCTTTTGGCTGGCGGTGAGGACGACGTCGATGTCCCAGGCGTCGAAGGCGATCTCCTCGCAGCCGACGCTGCAAACGCCGTCGACGACGACGAGGGTCTCGGGGCTGACGCGGCGGACGACCTCAGCGACGCGCTTGATGTCGGAGAGAACGCCGGTGGAGGTGTCGACGTGGGTGACGGTGACGACCTTGTAGGGCTTCTCCTTCAGGGCCTGCTCGAGCTGCTCGAAGGAGGGGCGCTCGCCGATGGGGGCCTTGATCTGCGTGGCGTTGGCGCCGTAGGTCTCGAGGCACGTGGCGAAGGAGTCGGCGAAGTAGCCGGTGTGCAGAACGAGGGCGTTCTCGCCCTTCTCGACCAAGTTGGAGGCGACGATGTCCCAGCCGAGGGTGCCACTGCCGGAGACGACGATGGGCTGGGCGGCGGGGTTGGTGGATTGGAAGAGCTTCCGCACCATGCTCAAGGTCTCGCCGAAGGTCTTGACAAAGCCGGGGCCGACATGGCTCTCACTGTGGATTATTAATATTCGACGCGTTTATTGTATTTCAATTGATTCTCCAATTGATTTGAGTTATGTTGAAGCTTTTTAGAACTGTGGTGGGGATGGGAACGTGGTGATGGAGGGGTACGGAGAGGGGTCATTATCGGGGTGAGGGGTTGAGGGAACTCACGCATAGTGCGACATAGACTGCAGGACGGCATCATCAAATTCAATGGGACCCGGGATGAGCAGGGTCGAATGCGGTGCTTGAGCGGACATGATGGTGGATGTGGAAGTGTTCGGGGAGGAGAAGAAGGGAGGAGGAAGAGGAGTGGTGATGGTGGTAGAACGGTGGAGGGGATTATATTCCAGGTCGTCGGAGGGGAGCGAATTCCTTTCGGTCGAGAATGGAGTGTTCAACTCGGGCAAAGGCAGCCGCTGATCCAGGTGTCTGGAGATCAGACTGAGCCGCTGCGTCGCCTGTTTGGTCGCCACGGTTCCGATTACTCGGGCTCTCACAAGGGGAGCCTCTCAAATCCACATCCACCGGGTGGGAAAAGTCGGGGATCGCCGGAGACCAACGGGGAATTGATTGGCAGAGAGTTATGACGCTCTGGTGGAGTAGATCTGTATTCTACAGAGTAGTAGAGTAGTAGTAGAGGGGAATTGAAGATGGAGATGAAGAATTGAATGGGATGTGAATCTGGAGAGAAAGATCGATTCGATTTTATATCTGTTTTCTTTTTGTGTCCCCGATTTTATTCCTTTTTTTATTCCTTTTATTTTTTTTATCCTTTTTATCCTTATTTGTTCTGTTATCCCTTACGATGCATTTCGTCCATTAAACCGGATTAGGTAACCCGGTCGGTTCCTGGCGGTCCGCATCCGTGTATCTTACACGTCCATACACGGTCTACCATCATTATTAATACGTCATGTATTCCTGTATTTACTCCGTTCTCTGATGACCTGTCATCATGTATCTGGATAGACCATGGTGGTACTCCATATGAGACTCCATTATATTCAGTAGATGCTCTATGGTACATAAGAAGAAGAAAGAAAAACAGAAACCAAGATTGCTTGCAAGATGAGCTAGGGCTTAGGGTTGACGATAAGGCAGCCTGAGGTAAGTACAGTAGCTAGGACGGTAAGCTTCCCCCGCGAAGCTCCATCCAAAGTAATTCCACCATCTAGATTCAACCTCACCCCGCTGCTCCAACCTTAGTTTCGCCGACTTGTCCCCGAGAGGAAGAAGACAGAAAATTACAGAATAAGAGGAAAGTTTGGAATGCACCATTGAGTCTTCCCGGCTCATCACGACCTCCCTATCAGGATGACCTCGCGTTTGGTCCTGGTCATCGGTGACCTCTTCATTCCCGATCGAGCTCCTGTAAGTTTGGATAGTGCTGGATATCCTGTTGGATATTCCACCGGAAAAGTACCTCACGCTAATCCGAGACTTTACCCTTCGTTAGGACCTTCCAGCCAAGGTACGCGCGCCGTCCGCTTCCTCGTCATCCCTTGCGATAACCCCTCCGATTGACACATACTCGCGCAGTTCCAAAAGCTCTTGACCCCCGGTAAAATCGGCCAGATCCTGTGTTTAGGAAACTTAACCGACCGGAGTACTTTTGAATATTTCCGTCGGGTCGCCCCCGATCTCCAACTCGTCAAAGGCGACTTCGATGTAGATTCCCCCAACCTACCCCTCTCCAAGGTCGTCACCCACGGCAGCCTCCGCATCGGCTTTACCCATGGTCACACCATTGTCCCCCCGGGCGACGCCGACGCCCTTCTCATTGCCGCCCGACAGATGGATGTCGATATCTTGCTCTGGGGCGGCACCCACCGGTTCGAGGCGTTCGAGATGGAGGGCCGGTTCTTCGTGAACCCGGGCAGTGCCACCGGCGCCCTGAGTACCAGCTATTGGCCGGAGGGCGAGGAGCCAACCCCAAGCTTTTGCTTGATGGATGTAAGTACCCCTGTGGAGGCGTTGGCGACCACGATTGGCAGAAGAGACTGACTCGGACGGCTCTCCAGATCCAAGGTGATGTGCTCGTGCTGTACGTGTATCAGCTCAAGACCGATGCGGAGGGAGTCGAAAGCGTCAAGGTTGAGAAGATCTCCTATCGCAAGAATTCTGCTCCTTCGTCATGAATGATGTCTCTTCTTTTTGTTCTTGCTGTCGTATATAAGCCATAGATACTCCTGTTGTTGACTTTGTCGGTGCGCTCTGACGTTTAATATTCTACTCTATTTATGAGAATGGTATTGTGACTATTTCTTTAATTATCAAACATCGACCGGTTCCTTTTATATCAGCTCCCTGTCAAGCCTGTATTTGTTGGGGATTTCCCGTACCCTACTGAAACCGTTATCTGTTGTAAGACAGATTGTCAACAGGCTGCTACTTACGATGGAAAATATAATGGGCGACATCAAGAGTGCTTTTAGGTCATAATGAGCGTGGTGGACGTTGTATCGATCGATCGATATGGATGACAAAGTGAACTAGCCGGAAAGAGAAGACAGAGAAACCTCAGGCCTCAAAGAGCTTCCCTCACAATCACCGTCGACCCTCGCACTCAGTCCCCGGTCGCATTCATTGAACATCACCCGTAACCTCTCTAGCAGGTTCCACATATCTTCCAGTCTCTCATATCTACACTGGTCCAATTTCGATCTAATCCTCGCGATATCCTTAACCAGAAGAAAAAAACCCCTTGTCGCCCCCGACCCACCGGATTTTAGATTTTCCTAGGGGAGCTATCTTCGTAGCCCACCTGACCCGAACAGGCGGAAAGTGGCCGTTGCTTGTTGACTCGTCTCGTCATTTGTGTCCTACCATTGACGCCGGTCCGAAAACAAGACGAGGGGGAAACTCGTCGTTTGCATCACATCAATCATCATGGCTTCGGAAGGGCAGGAAATCAAGGATGAGCGGATGGAGCAGCAGCAGCATGAGCAGGAGCAGGACCACCAGCAGCAGGAGCAGCAGCAGCAGCCGCCTGTGGAGGGAGGAGACGACGAGGTATGTATGAGCCATCCGTCGCGGTTTTGTCTTTATTTTTCTTGTTTCTCTTTCCTGGGGAAAATTTTTCTCTCTCTTCTCTTCCCGCGCGCGAGGTCCAAGCTAACGCGAGGTCCGTCTACTTTAGGAAGAGATCGCGGCGATGAAGAAGCGGGTAGCCGAGATGGAATCCGAAGCGGCCAAGCTGCGTGAGATGCAGGCCACGCTGGACCAGCAGAACGAGAACCTACGGGAAGACAAGGAGGAGATCGATGCGCGGAGTATCTTCGTCGGGAACGTGGACTACGGCGCTTCGCCGGAGGAGATCCAGGCGCACTTCCAGAGCTGCGGCTCGATCAACCGGGTGACGATTCTTTTGGACAAGTTCAGCGGCCAACCGAAGGGGTAGGTTATCTTTGCGGGCGAGAGACAGAAAAGTTGGATGATATGATACTGATTGCGTTGGGTTTAGGTATGCCTATGTTGAGTTTGCGGAACCGAGCCTGGTGGCTCAGGCTCTGGTGTTGAACGAGAGTGTGTTCCGTGGCCGGAATCTCAAGGTGAGCATCTCATTTACTTTTACATCCGATGATGTCCAGTACTGACTACGGACAGGTCGTTCCGAAGCGTACCAACCTGCCTGGCATGACCCGGGGCCGTGGCCGTGGCGCATTCCGGGGGGGTCGCGGATTCCGAGGCGCCCCTCGTGGCTATCGCGGAGGTTATCGCGGCCGGGGTCGAGGCTACGCACCTTACTAGATACCTTGTCTTTTTTCTTCTTCTTTTTCCTTCCACTCGGGGGCCGAGGGTAGCACTGCGAGTGACGTAATGTGCCGATGGACGGGACGAAGCTGGTTGATTGCCCCCCAAGGACGTGTGGCATCCCAGGTCGACCAAAGGATCAAATCTGAGTAGAGGATCAGCCCGGTTTGATTTTCGAGGCTGAAGGCTTTGGAGTTGGGGAGGGAACGGGCTGGGATGGATGGATGTATTGCTGTATGATAACCAACTGGCGCATCAGACTGGGTCAGGATGGACACCACGCGCTTGTGACTGATATCGATATATCTATGGTCTCTATCTTTGTCTTCTCTACATTCCTCTTTTTTCAACTTCCGTCCTTCCCTCTTTATGGTATCAGGTCCATCAACCGTCTGTCCGCCTGACTCGTACGGAATGAATACAGAGGTTCCTAGGAAGTATTTCTGCAGTATCCATGTATATTACATACTACCTGGGAACGCCACTGAGGATAATCTAGTCAATCCTATCACGTTGTCGTACTCCTTATAGTGGTAGTATAATGACAGCATGCCAAGTCGGGCATGGAATGGTGCTGCCTTGTCTGGGATCATCTATTCTGAATTAAAGTTGTGACATAATCCTCCTTTTCTTTCTTTCTTTCTTTCTGTCTGTCTTTCTTTTTTCTCCTCGATCCCCTTTGAGATTATAAACAGAGTGAGTAGTCAAGAATTACCTCGTAGTTAATAAACCCAGGGTATATCTCTCTTCTCCCGTTCAAAGAACACTGAGAACCAACAACATGTAAAGATACAATGGTGGACTATTCCTGATTAGGATAATCATGGTATTAGAGCCTTACTAGCTGCGCCTAGTATTTTGACCCAGTATTTGTACTTGGCTTGATCATACGCCATTGATAGCCTTGCTTGTAGGATTTGAATTGGGTATTGCGCACATAGTTACTACGTAGGTAGTCTGCCTTGTTACCTTGTTAATAGAGACTATCCTGACCGTGAAATGTCAAGATGGATCCTGATCCAGCAGGGATCTTCTGACTGGTTAGATCGCTCGATGGGGATTCTGATGGAGACAGTGCAGTTCTGTCCACAACATCACTCCTGTGTTCTACTCCATACTCTCCAGTTATTAGGAGCAGAAAAAGAGTTCAACCAGTTCTACTCTGGATATATGCAGAAACCATGATAAATACTCTATATATATCGATAGATTATATAATAATACATGACTAAGCACACGTCAAGACTAGCCAATGTTCAGTCATGCTCAGCCCCCGCCATTCTCTCTTACTACTGAACCGCCTCGAGCTACTCCCGTCCGGGTATTATACGATGAGTCCATGACCGACTCTCACATCCTCCATCTCCCTCCATCTCCATCGCTCCATCCGCTCTCCCATCTCTCACTCCGCCGACTTCCTCTTTCTTTCCCGCTAATACATTCAAATCTTGAAATCTTGTTTCTTCTGTTCAGCCTCGCTCACTTCCCACCCTTTCCCTCTCTCCCCCCCCCCTCCCTCTCCGCCCCTCTCCCTCTCTCCCTCTCCCTCCATCATCCTCTCTTCCTATCTCTCCCCCTCCCCCCCCGTCTCTCATTTCCTTCCTGGTCCTCCTTACTCGGCCTGGATCTGTTCGATACCGCCCCTCGGTCGGGTGCGCCCCCCAGTGGTCCTCTTGCTTTGCGGTTCATGCGGTCGTCGCGAATTCCATTCTAGGCTTGCCTTGATCGGCCTTTTGCCTCCCTCTCCCCCAGGCCGGGTCTGCCTGTTCCGTCCTCCCTCCTCAACTCCAATATGGGTTCCAATCTGCCCGCGTAAGTCTCCCTCGGTGATTTCTGACCCTGTCTGATCGGGTCGGGTGAGATAATGAAAAGAAAAGTGAAACTAACCAATGTCGTTCGGGGATGATAGTCAGCCAAATCTCAGGATCACAAGTAAGGAAATGATCCGACCATCGGGGCTTCCTCGAGAACTCCGTCTTCCTACCCATCCTTCGAACTGAACTAACCTCTTCTCTTTTCTTCTTCTTCCACAGTCATCGCCGCCGATGGTCTATATAAGCGCGATGTCTTCCGTATGAACCACCTTTCCATCCCACGCGGATCCTATCCCGCCCGATTCCGCCATGCTAACCACCCGGGTCCGTAGGTTTCCCCGATCCTTTCGCGGTGGCAACGGTTGGTGGTGAGCAGACCAAAACGACGTCGGTCATCAAGAAGACCTTGAACCCATACTGGAATGAGATCTTTGATCTGTAAGTCGCCGGCGCGATGGGGGTTTGAGTCCATGGATGCTGACGGGTACCGCGGCTAGGCGAGTCAACGAAGATAGCATTCTGGCCATCCAGATTTTCGACCAGAAGAAATTCAAGAAGAAGGATCAGGGCTTTCTCGGTGTGATCAACGTGCGCGTCGGAGATGTCATCGACCTCCAGATGGGTGGCGATGGTGCGTATCATCCGCCTTTTCATGTCCACCTCGTACGGTGTATTCGACAGCTTGCTTACTCCCTGCAGAGATGCTCACCAGGGACCTGAAGAAGTCCAACGATAACCTGGTCGTTCATGGAAAACTCATCGTCAACCTGTCCACCAACCTCACGGCCCCCGCCACTAACCAAACGAACGGGATGCATCGTTCCCACAACGCGCCGTCCACCGCCGCCGGCTTGGTCCCGCAAGTGAACGCCCCGCACGCGCCCGGTCATGCGGACCCCCCGCCCCCGATCACGAATCCGTCCGCGAACCCCCAGCGCGTACCATCGTCCACCCGGCCGCCCACTACGATCGTCCCCGTCAACGGGGCCGCGACGGCCGCCAACAACCAGCATGGCTCCCGGACCAACCTCAGCTCGTTCGAGGACAGTCAAGGCCGTCTGCCGGCCGGATGGGAGCGACGGGAGGACAATCTGGGCCGGACCTATTACGTCGACCACAACACGCGGACCACCACGTGGACCCGCCCGCCGTCGAACTACAACGAACACACGCAGCGAACGCAGCGCGAGGCGAACATGCAGCTGGAGCGGAGGGCGCACCAGAGTCGGATGCTGCCCGAGGACCGCACGGGCGCCAGTTCCCCGAATCCGCAGGATCAGCCCCCGCAGGCCTCGACCCCGCCGGCGGGTGGCAGCGCCAACGCGGTGTCCATGATGGCCACGGGAGCAACCACGGCAGGCACTGGGGAGCTCCCGCCCGGGTGGGAGCAGCGGACCACCCCTGAAGGCCGGCCGTATTTCGTCGATCACAACACCCGCACCACCACCTGGGTCGATCCGCGCCGACAGCAGTACATCCGCATGTACGGCCAGAATGCCGGCACCACCAACAACACGACGATCCAGCAGCAGCCCGTCTCGCAGCTGGGCCCGCTGCCCAGCGGCTGGGAGATGCGCCTGACCAACACGGCTCGCGTGTACTTTGTCGACCACAACACCAAGACCACCACTTGGGATGACCCGCGCCTGCCGTCGTCGCTGGACCAGGGCGTGCCGCAGTACAAGCGGGACTTCCGACGGAAGTTGATCTACTTCCGCTCCCAGCCGGCCCTGCGCATCATGTCCGGACAGTGTCACGTCAAGGTGCGCCGGAACAACATCTTCGAGGACTCCTACGCCGAGATCATGCGACAAAGTGCGTCCGACCTGAAGAAGCGACTGATGATCAAGTTTGACGGGGAGGACGGTCTCGACTATGGTGGTCTATCTCGGTATATCCTCTCTCCACCCCCCTCTCTTTATGAGCAGTTTGTGCTAATCATCGCAGTGAATTCTTCTTCCTTCTCTCTCATGAAATGTTCAACCCCTTCTACTGTCTGTTCGAGTACTCGGCCCACGATAATTATACGCTGCAAATCAACCCGCACTCGGGTGTCAACCCGGAGCATCTGAACTACTTCAAGTTCATCGGACGCGTGGTCGGGCTGGCAATCTTCCACCGCCGTTTCCTGGATTCCTTCTTTATCGGGGCGTTCTACAAGATGATGCTGCGCAAGAAGGTGTCCTTGCAGGACATGGAGGGCGTGGACGAGGATTTGCACCGCAATCTGGCATGGACTTTGTACGTTTTTTGCTTGTGTTTCTTGGTGGCGCGGATTGTTGACTGACTTTGACAGGGAAAATGACATTGAGGGCATCATTGAGATGAACTTTGCGGTGGATGACGAGAAGTTTGGCGAGCGTCGCACGATCGACCTGAAGCCGGGTGGACGGGACGAGCCTGTCACCAACGAGAACAAGGGCGAATATGTCGAGTACGTTTGCACCATGATAGAATGATCTGAGTATGTCGAGCTAACAGAAACAGGCTGGTGACTGAGTGGAAGATCGTCAAGCGGGTGGAGGAGCAATTCAACGCGTTCATGTCGGGCTTCAACGAGCTGATCCCCGCGGATCTGGTCAACGTGTTCGACGAGCGGGAACTGGAGCTGCTGATCGGAGGTATCGCGGACATCGACGTGGACGACTGGAAGAAGCACACGGACTACCGCGGGTACCAGGAGCAGGACGAGGTCATTCAAAACTTCTGGAAGATCGTGCGCACCTGGGATGCGGAGCAGAAGTCTCGACTGCTGCAGTTCACGACGGGTACCTCGCGAATTCCGGTCAACGGGTTCAAGGATCTGCAAGGGTCAGACGGGCCTCGACGATTCACGATCGAGAAGTCGGGGGATCCATCAGCGCTCCCCAAGTCGCACACCTGGTATGTTCTTCTCTCCCTATCTTTCGGATGACGTTCTAACGTATCTAGTTTCAACCGGCTGGATCTGCCTCCTTACAAGACGCACGACGCATTGGAGCACAAGATGTCGATCGCCGTGGAGGAGACGTTGGGTTTCGGACAGGAGTAGAACTTTTTTCATATAGTAATATTGCCGTAGAGCGTCCCATCTGTTTTGTCATTGGACTTGATGGTATCTCTATCCATTGGACTACGGAACGGATACGGATACGGATACGGAAATATCGATATATTCCCCTCTTCTTCCTTTCATTTTATTTCCCTTCCGCATCATATCATATCATCTTCATTCCATCTTCATCTTCATTTTCTCGGTACATGCGTGGTCAGTCGGTCGAACAGGACAAATCGTCGCGCGAGTTTGGATTGCTTGTTTCTTTGATTTTTTTCTTTGTTTTGCCTTTATCCTATCCGAATATCTTCCATTTCATTTGTGGAGGAGGATTTGTATATACTCTGTATTATTGCCTACGATAACGTGACGGACTGATTGTGCCGAGTTCTTCTTCTTCTCTTGTCTGTTGACTTTGTCGTTTGTGATGTTGATGGGATGGTGAGTTGAGTAGGAAATGGAGATGGAATAGCTTCGTGCCAATTAGGACAGACAGATAGTCTATCATTTCAATGATCGATGTTCCAGTGAAAGACCATATACCTCTAGATAGATGGATAGACAGATAGGCAGAACATCGCCAGTATATACTCACCCCTCTAGACCCAGTATATAAATCAACCATTCTAATCCTGTATATGGAGTTGTACTTATATTATGACATAGTCACAGTACAGAGTACGTACTACTCCGTACTAGAAAAGAGAAAAAGAGGGGGGGGGGGGAAAGAGCCCAGACAGTCGACCCACTCCATCTACGTACACAGCCCAGCCAGCAGTCCAGCCCACCAGCCCACCAGCCCAAACCCAAGCCCACCCTGTAGCCCAATTGCCAAGCAACCAGCCAAACGCCCCACCGCATGAGTGGCGGGCGGGTGGCGGGATGGATATATCATCGAGAGTTCTCTTCCGGAGTCTCGACTCTCATCTCGCAGGGATAAAATTCACATTGGTATTTATAATAGTGGGGTGTAAGTGGGTTGGGGGGGGGGGGGGGGGGCAGGGAATATTCATGTTTGCTACGGGTCTTTATTTTTTTTTTTGTGCGTGGCGGTAGTAGTATACTATGGTATCTACTAGGTACCTACCTACCAAGGTACCTACCTACCTATGTATGGTTGGGTCGAACGGTGGGATTTTGGTAACGCGCAAGGGGGTGGCTGCTGCTGCTGCTGTTGTTGTTGTTACAGGTGTGAGGCTGGGTTGGGTTGAGTTTTAGGTTTGAGCGGGCTGGGCTGGGTCTGTGTTCCTTGTGGTTTTGAGTATTTTCTTATTGACGTTTCAGGATTGATCGTGATGATTATCTATGATATGATATGATATGATATGATATGATATGATATGTATTGTTGATGTTATCTTGTGTATGTATGATGTAATGATGATGTAAGATTGATTGCTTGTATACTGTAGTTATTAAATATTGACTTATTGATAACTATGCGATACTCGTATCTACGGTACCTTGGGTAAGTCGTAGTAGTGCTGTGCTAGTTGGGTGAGTGAGTGGGGAAGTTTGTTGGATCCCTGTGGTTATATTTACTAGTAAATACTATGAGTGAAAGATAAGATGTATAGATACGGACGTACGGTACCTATACATCGGTATAATAGGCTAGGTAGACAACCTGCAAAAGGACCCTATATTTATAGATTCATGACAACGTTAATCTAGTGTACAGTGTAACGTTAACTTATAAAAAACATTGTTTGTATAAGTTCGTTAGTTCATAGCGTAGTTCATTCGTAGTTCATTCGTGGTTTGTTCGTGGTTCGTTCGAAGCATATATCGTATCTCATCACGTTGATCTCTACCGTTCGCTAAAGCAAGACGAGAAGAATGAGCCCAAGTAGAATATGGAGACTCCCCGGCTGTAGACTCCCCGCCGCCGAGGTCTTCCCGCAGCAGTGTCCGTCGTACGTCACGTTGTTCAATCGGGCGGCGACCTTAAAGACGGACCCGTTGGGCTTGCCGTAGTTGTAGTAATCCACAAGGAGGAAGTTGGGCGGGTAGTGCCATTGGGCTGGAAGGTTAGAACCTTTAAATCCGAGAGAAATGGAGGGAGGGGAACTCACTGGTACATTGGTTGGCCATTAACCCGAGACTACTCGGACCCGACACCGCGTTGGTCTCGACCAGGGAGGCGGTGTTGGGAATGAGTAGGTTGAGACTAGCTAGGTTGACGTTTAGGTTAAGGTTATGATTAGCCATGTACAGCCGGGCATCCATATCCTGGGGCGACAGACCCGGAGGACGCTGGAGAATACAAGGGAAGGTCGGATCCGTAGGCGAGAAAGGCGTTTCCCAGACGTGGGCGAATTCCTCGATAAGCCACGGGTAAGCAGTCTGATTCGCCTCGTAGTCCATGAAGACGACGACGCGCTTTCCGGAGAAGATGATGCCGGACAGGGTGGGCCAGTCCTCGCGGGTCATGGGGATCTTGGACGGGGTGAAGACCAGGTCCATGAGACCAGAGCGCTTGACAGGGTCGACGAATTTCCCAGGGGGGATGTAGTCTGGGTTGCCGATCATGATGGTCACGATGTCGTAGGGGTGGGTGCGGACCCATTGGGCGACGCGGGCGAGGTAGTTCTCTAGCGGGCCGACGTTGAAGATGTCGCAGTTGGTGTGACATAGGTAGATGGTGTTGTTGACCAGGTGGGTTTGGAATTGGACTGGTTTGGTCAGTTTTTGGGGTATAGATATGTATGGATGATGTACTGATGTATGTTGATATATACAGGTAGGGGGTTAGAGAGAGAGAGATACATACGCATGCGTATCCCATCGTCCAGCTGACTCTCAACATCCAGCGCCTGGTTGGCAGCGACATTACCGGGTTTGACAAAGGGGCTATTGTGGGCGGCGATTATGGAGACGTTGGAGTACTTGCGGGAACAGAACTCGGGATGGCCGTTGCAAGGCTGGGTATTAATGATCGGGGAGGCGGAAGGGGAGGGAGTCGGCGTGCGAGTGGAATTGGCGGTGACATTGGTGAGGAGCTTGGTGTGCTGGCCACCGACGAGCATCGTCATCGTCACCGAGTCGGAGACGGACGTGACTGTGGAGGCATTGTCGGACCCGGGAGGGACGGGATCGACCACCGTGGGCGCTGAATTGTTGGCCTCTTCGTGGGATAGTGTCTTGGTTGAGGAAGATGAGGCATAGTCGGCTGTAGGGAACTCATGGTCTGCGTGGGTGGCGGTGATGGTGCCGTCGACGGTGAAGTCGTCCAGGGCGGCCACGAGGGGGAGTAGAAGGGTCACGGCCGGGGCTACGGCCAGGGCCAGGGGCCACTTCATATTCTATCTTAAATATATATAGAGAGAGAGAAGTAGAAGAAGCAGAAGAGAAAAGAAGAGAAGAAAGAGACGAAGAGTAGAGGTCTAAGAAGAAGAGAAGGAAGTAAAAGAATCAAGAGATGATATGTATTGATCGGTATCGATCGGGTACGGACCCGGTATGGTATCGGTATCGATTTGGTACGTGTTTATGACGTTTTATTCTTTTCTTCCTGATCATTTTTGATTATTTTCATGATCTTGATTCTTTTCTTGATGACTTCCTGCTTCTCTTCTCTTCTTCTCTTCTTCTTCGCTTCTCCAAATCTTTTGGTTCTTGGATCTTGGATCTTTGTTGTATTGCCAAGGCTAAATAATATAATAAGTTAGCAGCCCTGTGGATCATTAAACAAGCAGGGATCGCCCTGATCGACCAACTTGGCCTGAATCGTGTCAAGCGCAATACGCTATGAATCAATTATGGAGTAATCGATCGCTGACGCTGCTCTAGTCTAGTCAACCAGATTCTTCCCCTATAATCCTTCCTCCCCATTCCCTTCTTGTTCTCTTCATGATCTCTTCTAGACATCTATGATCCTACTTGAATATGGGAAAATTGCCCACCTTTTCACGGTCGCCGTCGCCCGCCTACGGCCGGCGACCGGCCACCGTGCTCTCCCATCGCATCCTGCGCTCTCTTCTCTATTTTCTCGCTTGGATCTTTCTCCTCCTCGTCTGCATCGCCAACACGTCCAACAAACCCGTCCTACGGAACACCTATTTCCTCAAGATTGATCTCTCCAACATCATCCCGCTCTCCGTCCCCAATGCCGTCCTCATCAACTCTATCGCCCGATCCATCGGGCTGCACGATTTTTACCAGGTCGGTCTGTGGAACTTCTGCGAGGGCTACAACAGTGAGGGCATCACCCACTGCTCTAGTCCCCAGACTCTCTACTGGTTCAATCCCGTTGAGATTATTTTGAGCGAACTCCTCGCCGGAGCCAGTAGTATGTTCCTATTCCCCTCTCCCCTGGCCCAGATGAACATCAATAGAGGGAACAATTCAGTCTAACCATCCTAGTCGCCCTCCCCGCCGACATCAGCGATGCCCTCCAGATCGCCCGCATCGCCTCCTACTGGATGTTCGGCCTCTTCATCACCGCCACCGTCCTGACCTTTGTGCTCATCTTCCTCTCCCCGCTGGCCGTCTCGTCCCGTCCCCCGCAGAGCATCTCCCCCTCGGCCGAGACCAACGCCGCCCACCCCCCGCACCGCCGTCGCACCTTTGTCCTCCTGCGCAGCAGCCCCTTCCTCCTCCTCACCTTCATCACGGCCCTCTTCACCATCGTCGCCTCCGTCGTCGCCACCGTCATGTTCCTCATCTTCCGCAACGTCTTCACCGACTCCTCCTACGAGCTGAACATCGAGGCCGAGATCGGCACCCGCATGCTGGCCTTCATGTGGATCGCCAGTGCCTTGAACCTCATCGCCTTCATCTGGCAGTCCGGGTCGTGCTGTGCCGCCTGCTGCGGGGGGCGGAAGGCCCGAAAACAGCTAAAGGAGCATGGGTCCTCCGAATCCAGCGGCTCCAATGGGTCCGATATGCGCGAGAAGCCTCAATCCCACCACCAAAGTCCGACAGGAACGACCCCGACAGGAAATGAGTAATTTGACTCAAGGCCCGAATTATAATAGTTCCTATATAGACTGCGATCTATGTGCATTTGTCAAGCGTGTTTTGGTGGGTTGATGGTACCTCTAGACTTGACCTTGATTTTCTTTTCTTCTATTCTTTTTTTTTTCTACTTATTTCCCTTTATTTATTCCCTTCTTGTCACCTTGGTTTTTTGTTCCATTCTGGTTGGATATTGGTTTATTCTCTTATTTATTTTATTTTATTTTCTGGTCTACCAGCAAGCAGCGTGGCGTGCGTTGATCCCATCCAAAGCCGCAGGCTGAACTTTACGACTTCCACGATTCATGATATGATCGACTGATCCATCCACATCTATGTACGCACCGGTACAGGATAGGATAGAGATCGATAGATAGGTAGATCGTTCACAGCTGTATATCCATGTAAGCTGTTCAATCTATATATTCGACATGTAATCTGGATTATCATGGCGGTTTGGCTAGTCATGTAGGTCAGTTGACTGGGAATAGTAGTCGTAGTCGTAGTCGTACTAGTAGTACTAGCTATATAGACAGTCACGCATCAAAAACCCCAGTACTCATATAAAGAAAACCACAATACCCATTCGAAATGCCAGCTGTATATCATACCGTATTTTACACCCCCTCTCACCATCACTCACATCGAAGGAGAGGAAGAGAGGGAAAGAGGAAAGAAAGGAAGGAAATCAAGATGGCGGTGTCGGGAGGTAAGGGCGGGGTGCATTCTTGCTACCACCTACCTACCACCTAATTACCTACCGAGATTAATGTGTTTCTTGATTGAGTTCGCCAAGGGACGGAGGACAGTGTCTACCTGGTGAGGGGATGTATTGGGTGTAGGGGTGGCTGGGTTGGAAGGTTACAGAGAGAATGTTTTTTTTTGAGTTCTTTTGCTTTATCGAGTTCTTATTTATACTTCTCGATTTGATGGTTCATCCACGATCCTACATACCTATCTGTGGTCATCCTGCCTCTCTGTCCAGTGTCCATCCGATCCAGTCCAGTCCAGTCCACCCTAGACAAGAATATCATACAATATGCGCCCGCTAATCATACACAATAATAAACAAATAAAATCAAACGCCGATCCATTGTGATGCATGTGTCGTGGAAAGGATATCATAAGACCACTAGCGTCGCCAGATTCAGCCCTGCGCTAGTTCTTCTTCCATTGCACGGACCATTTCGTCGTTTTCGCTGTCGGTGCGAGCGTCGCTTCCATGATCTGGGGGATAACTGTGGCTCCGCTCGGGGATCGCCGTTGTGCCAGACTGGAAAGTCCTAGGGGTGGACGTCGCGCGATGATGGGTGTCGCTGTGGTCCATGTCTTTGAGCCACCCGTACTCTTTGTTTTGCAGTGACCGGAGCAGATCGTTGCGGCGCTGCTGTTGCTCCGGTGAAGGGGTTGGAGCGGGAACGGGATTGGGCGTTTTGTTCTCTGGCTCGTCTGTCAAGTCGATGGTGACCGGGCGAGAGTCGCGGGGAGCCGGATTCGCAGGCGCGGGCTGCGTGGATTGAGGAGGCAGCGGTCCCATCGCAGGCTGCCCCCGGGATACCGGTCGACTGTGGCCCTGTGACTGGGGTTGCGAGGACGGTCCAGATGCAGGTTGTGGGCCCGAAACAGCCTGCGGCGTACCCTGCGGCCGGTATCCCTGCGGAGTCGGTGCAACCGCTGGCATGGTGCGTTGCACATTGATCTCGTAGAGAAGATTGTTGTAGACCGTGCTGAGGTCGTAAAAGCGTTGCTTCCACTCTTCGGCCTCTTTCCGGTGCTGCTCAGCCTTGGACTGGCGCTGGGAAGACAAGCGTCGATGCAGGGCCGTCTCGTCGCGCAACGCTTGCTCCCTGGTCTTGCCGGTTTTGGAGTCGGTCGTATTCCACCGAAACCAGGCGTTTCTGTACTTCGTCCGTTCGTATGAAAGTTGCCGCACTCGATGGTTGAGGGTAAGGAATCGATCGTTGACTTGATCTTCGGCAACTTCAAGGTACTTGACATGGACCCCTGGTGCCGATGGAAGATAGCCCAGAGGCCCTTGGTAGACTGGATAAGGCGACGTGTACTCCTGCTGCGGGCAAACCCGCTGGAGAACCTCACGGTTGGCATTATTGGCCAGATCTGGTATCTCCAGGGAGAATCTCTGTTTCGTGGCTTCACTGGTAGAAGATAATTCCGGGAGGAGTTTCTCCGTGGCGTTATCGTCCATAAATTGCACCGTGTGAACTGCTCTGTCGACAGGGTTTTCGTTCTTATTTTCACATTTACCCTCCGCAGGTTTATCCTCATGTGCCAAATGTGGGGCGAGCTCGAAGTCTAGCGGCAGCTCATCGTTGATAGTCCCAAAATCGAAGTCTGGATCGTCGAATAAAGGATCGTAGGCATTTAGCAAGGAAGATGGAGAGTGCGGCGCTTCCCCGGCCGGGGTGTGGGGAGCGGTTTCACCCTGGTCGGGACGAAGAAACGACTCGGGAGAGGATAGGGAGGGTGTTTCAAGCGGTGATTCGGTGTCTTGGTGTTGTGGCAGTTCTATGTGGCGTCTCTTTCCGGAGCCGCCCCAAAATCCAAACTCTGCATTAAAAGCATCGTCACCCGTCCGCTTCCGGGACTCGAAGGCTGCATTGAGTTCTTGGAGGGCAGACTCGGAATCGAAGAATTGCCGTAATAGTTCCTGGCTGTTGTCCACCCCGTCATCATGACTTACAGGATGGAAATCCCACTCGGGTGACTCTAGTTGGCTTGTCCGAGATTTGCTGGCCTTGGCCGAGACGCCTACACCAACGTCTGGCAAACCATGTTCATCATCTCGCGGAGAAGCTGCAAATTCGTCGGCAGACCGCTGCTGGGACCCAGGGAGAGGTGTAAGCCCCAGATCATTCAGACGCAAGTCAGGGATAGATGGGGGAGATGGAAGATCCGCAAGGGCAAAGAGCTCCTGAGGGTCGAAAGGGCAGGTCTCGAGAGAGGTAGAAATACCTTCAACCGTGCTTCCATCCATCCCGACAGAACAGTTTAGCTCAACCGTGTGGGCCGGACCTCTGCCAAGCGATCGACGATTAACGGGACGTGCGACGTCCACCACGTCAGAGAGTAACAGGCGGCATGAACACAGTAGAAGCTGTAGGTAGGCCAAGTGAGAAACAGATCAACTAGCTTGACGGCGGAGTGCTCTGTACCTTTCAGGCCGTAGTGGCTGTTTGAGATTTTTTTTTATTTGAAATTTTTTGGTTCGGATGCTGAAGAGGTAAGACAGCAGATCGGAGGGAAACGAGGCAACTTGGTAGAAAGAGCCTCCAGTGCCGTCCTTCAGTCGTATCGTCCAGGTGGCAGCGAGTAGTTGTAGTCCAAGGCTGAAGCAGATCTTCGCGATGTCCTAGTATAGTCCACCGTTGACGATGGTAAGGACAGGAACCACTAAGAATATCTCAAACAACAAGGAGGACAAGTACAAGAATATAGACTTCTGTCCATAGAATCAAGAAAACAGTGATAACGATTCCTTCAAGAGGCAGGAAGGAGATCAAAAAATCCCAGTCGGAGAAAACGCGAGGAAAATCAGTCATTTGATCGGAGATCATGTTTCCGCCTTCGAGACCGCCTACTACACCGCTCACGTGCAGGAGGCAGCGGGCGGAGATAAAACCGGCAGATTCGCAGTCCGGAGTCAGTCTTGAGTTGTTTGTTCGACGAGGTTTATTCATCTTCGGCTGCATCCTCACTTGACTTGCGATTCTCCTTTCTCAAACATCCCCGCCAACCTCCTTCTCTCCCGTTTCCCATCGCTGACTGGATCTTCAAGATGAGCGTTATTCTCTGTACTGGTGAGTACCCCCACTACCATCTCCCGTAATCAAATCCACGGTTCCTCCCGAGCACTGCTGAGTCGCTCCATGTTGAACGATTGCGATTATAGCCGGATATGACCATACAATTCGGTAAGAACCCCAACCCAGGGGATAGTATCTGAGCGCTCATCAAGCGATGCAGCTTCTGGGAGGCGCTGTCGGGGATCTGTTCGCGCACCATCCAACATCCAGATTCCCAAGTAAATCGTCTATGCATCACCCCCGACAAGCGGTATTTGGCCGCAGCGGGGCATAACAACATCAAACTGTATGACATCAAGTCATCCAACCCGAACCCGATCATGTCGTTCGATGGCCACACGAACAACATCACCGGCGTTGCTTTCCACTGCGAAGGAAAGTGGATGGTGACCAGTTCCGAGGACAACACAGTTAAAGTGTGGGACACGCGCACCGGCAGTCTGCAGCGCAATTATGCCCACAAGGCTCCTGTCAACGACGTCGTGATTCATCCTAATCAGGGCGAGCTCATCAGCGGCGATCGCGCTGGCATCGTCCGTGTCTGGGACTTGGGGGAGAGCGTCTGCACCCACCAATTGATTCCGGAGGATGACGTTGCCGTGCACAGTGTGAGCGTTGCCAGCGACGGGTCTCTCTTGTGTGCGGGAAATAAAAAGGTAGACTCATAGACTGGCATCAGAATCGCATAGCACAACTAACAGTCCCAGGGGAACGTCTATATCTGGCGCATGATCCAAGACGCCGAGATCACACGCATCGTCCCGATCTGCACCTTCCAGGCCCACAAGGACTACCTCACACGAGTCCTCCTCTCCCCCGACGTTAAGCACCTCGCGACCTGCTCCGCCGACCACACAGCCAAGGTGTGGAACCTCGACCTCGACTACCAGCCAGCCAAGCTAGCCGCAGCAGCAGCCGCGCGCGCCAAAGCCAAGGGCCTGCTCTCCCCGGAGAAAGCAGCGTCCCCCGCAGCGACCACACCAGAATTCCAACTCCGTCTGACACCCAACGGTCGAGCCGCCGATGAACTGAACCCATTCAGTCTCATCGACGGCGCCACGCCAAGCACACCCAGCAACGAGCCCCAGCAGAGCTTCCCCGTCCAACCCGACGGGCCCCCGATGGACCCCAACACAGGAACGCTGTATCTGGAGACCACACTAGCGAATCACCAACGCTGGGTCTGGGACTGCGCCTTCTCAGCTGACTCGGCCTACCTCGTCACCGTCTCCAGCGACCACTACGCCCGTCTGTGGGAGCTCTCCTCGGGCCAGATCATCCGCCAGTACAGCGGACACCACCGCGGCGCTGTGTGTGTGGCGCTCAACGATTACTCTGAGCCCCGATAGACATCCAGATATGTCTGGTGGGATTGTCGTCACTGTGAATGCTGTTATTTTTTCCTTTTTAATTCCTTCATTAATATGGGCTAGCATGGCGCTTCGGATTGGGCGGGAGGCACTTATATGCTTCCTTGGTTTTTTTTTTCTGGTGTTCAGGCTGTTCTTTCAGCAGTTTTGGGGGTTTGGTTCTGTTTGCAGTTAGTATTTATTTACCGCGTAGGGAGTATCATATACAGATTCTACTTTTCAGATTTATCCCATCTGTTCATATATCATTAATTCGTAAAAACATGGCTTCCTTTGTTTGTCTGGCGATTGCTCGCACTTTTACTAGTATGTTTGAATCATTTTCATCATGAAAAGCAAAGATAGGGACGGCTAAAGAGACAACAAGGTATATCATATATAAATATATATATGTAACTCTTCAGAAAGATACACCGAAAGTAAAGTGACATATGACAAATATCCCAACATAAGTAACAGCGGGAACTAAATTAACAACAATAAAAAAATGGAAAACAAAGCCGCAGTTATGCAAACCAGCTCAACACACAGCGCATATATGCACGCTTCTGACAACAGACAACAGATACACAGACAGATAGATACAGACACAACAAACAATATACGACAAAGAGAACAGCGTCAAGTCAACCAAGAAGCCTGCTCAGGTATCATCTCTCAACCCAGCGCAAACCACGTAACGCTAATAACCACGTCCAGCCCCCGCTCCTCAGCACCAGGGTACTTGAAGGTCCACATGCCGTCGCGGTTGACGTCCCAGTAGGCGCCAGAGGCGGAGTGCATGCCACGCTTGCCGGTGTTGGAGGGGCTGCCGTCTGCGGCGGCGGACTTGTCGATGAGGCCTTGTTGGACGATGGTGCTGTTTACCGTGAAGCGGAAGGGAGGGGCGGCCTCTGCGGAGGGGGTTGTAGCTGTGATGAGGGCCTTGAGGATGGTGTTCTAGAGGGTGTTAGCTTGATGGACTTTTAGGTGAGAAGGGAGGGAGAGGCGCGTACAATGATCTGGGAGTTCCAGTCGCCGACTTTGGCGTGCTCGTAGCCTTCTACGGTGTTAAGAGCGGACTCGCATGCCTATAGTGTTGAGGACATCAGTTGAGTAGGGGGTTCAGGCCATGGGTCAAGATCAGCGGGTATGTTGATCGAACGTACCTCCGTCGCGATACTAGTGAGTTTCTCGACAGGAATGGGCTATGATAAGAAAACCGAGTCAGCGATTAAGTCCATTGGCGAATTCCCATTGGCGAATTGGGAATGCGGGAATGACGTTCGGCCCGCACGCGAGCGGTTCACTCACCGAGGTGGAGGAGGTTTCGGCGGACATTGTGTAGTATGGATGGGGGTTTTAGGTATTAATAACTGAGGCTTGGTTTAAAAAGTTAGTGTTTGCATTGGAGGCGGGGGGAAGGTTTGGTGGGATTGAGTCCAGGTAAACACAACCATGGACCGCCCCCGATGCGATTGAGGGGGAGTGGATGGTTGGGGGAGTCAGAGAGACAGTAGGAATGGGGGAGCGGGGGGGATAGAGCTTGTCGAGCTTACATGAAGTCAATTCGAAGATGGTAAGCGAGGGGTCAATCTGAACAATGAATGGCTACCGGGGATTGTAGTTGAGATGTTTGGGCCGTGGCATCACCATTCGAGGGTGACAGAGCGGCGCCGCGTGTGGCTTACATAGCTCCTTTGGGACTAGCTCCATGACTGGCACATCCACCGCCACAGTGGCAGCTCAATCGGTAAAAGGATAATCCGCAGACGCCTCAGGCAATAGCTTAAACACGTGGGTCATCATCATTACCTAATCCGCATACTTGAGATTAAGTTGACGAGCTAGCTCTGGTTGGAGAAATTACACGGGCTCTTATTCTTTAGTTTAAAATTCCTTAGTACTATCTCGAAGAAATAATTAGTCGATTGCCAAGTACCAGTCATATTTCGTGCTCTGAGCATGCACCCGTTTGACTGAGTTCTGCAGTATCCACCCGAATCCCGGAACTCAAGTCACGCCCTCGGTTCGTTACATCAACGGCTCGAGAGCTCATCCTTACTTCTCCGTGAGCTCTGTCTGTATCTTTCTTTTGCACTTGATCGATCTTACGATATTCTCGATCAATATTTACCCTTCGAGCTGCTACAGCTTCTGATTTCAACCTCCCTTCCTTTCCCCCCACCTTCTGTATTCTCCCCACGTCAAAAAAATGTCGAGTCAACCTCTCCTCCAAACCGCCCCAGGTAAGTCCTGCAACGAAATCAATCCAATCCAATCCAAACAAAACAACAAACTAACCCCCCAAACAAAAGGCAAACGCATCGCGCTCCCCACACGAGTCGAGCCCAAAGTCTTCTTCGCCAACGAGCGCACATTCCTCTCCTGGCTCAACTTCACGGTCATCCTGGGCGGTCTGGCCGTCGGCCTGCTGAACTTCGGAGACCGCGTCGGGCGCATCTCCGCCGGCCTGTTCACCATCATCGCCATGGGGTCGATGATCTACGCGCTGGTGACGTTTCACTGGCGGGCGCAGAGTATTCGCAAACGCGGCCAGACGGGGATTGACGATCGGTTTGGACCGACGGTGTTGGCGTTGTCGTTGTTGGCGGCTGTGATTGTGAATTTTGTGTTGCGGATGAAGGAGATGTAATTTCATTCTCTCTCTCGATTGGTTTGTTTCTTTTCGGTCTGAAATATCTGCCTTGTGGCCGACCGGTGGCCGCTACGACTGTTCTTTATACGACTGCTCTCTACGACTTATCTATACACCACGATGTGCGATGTGTACGCTTTACTCGCGGTCGATGCTGGCACAGGCCCACGAATGTACGCCAGCGGTCTTTTTTAATTTTTGTTTTGGTGCATGTTGAGTAGTGGATAGACCATCGTCCAGAGCATGACTTGACGGTATAGATCCTCATTCAGATTCATTCGTGCATTCTCTTTTTTCTTCCGATGTTTAGCATGCTGTGTTGAGGTGTTTTCAAATCAGATTGTACTACAGGGACAGGGACAGAATATCAACTTATCAGGGTTCTCCTTGGACTGGTGATCAGTAGGGATACATATTTGTTATATAAGAGTTCAGACAATCATGTGACCGATAACGTAACAGCTTGGCATATCACTACACGTGACATGTGATATGGATAGCGGTAAGTGGCGAGTGGAGAGTCACTCCACCCTCTACACCAGCGATCCACGTCCGTTGATACTTGATAGGCAAATGGAGTCGGTGTTTCACGGGGGATAGATGGTGTGCTGAATACTGGTAGACTTGTTTAATCTAACCTGTATAGGAGAATACTATTGGATTGAGTACTGTTCCTGTCCTTCGAATCCTATCCACAGTAGATACTAGTAAGTACTGTAAGTAGATGTATGGTACTTTCGGTCTAGAAGATATTGATAGTAATGGAAGATGATGGAGGATTGACGAAAGGCTGGGCGGGAGGTGGAGCTGTGGTGCCGATCGTGTGTTATGATGTAATCAATATATAGACGCTGAAGGGATATGAGACAGGGGGATAAGGAACAGAATGGAGTATTCTTACCATACGTCTCCTTGAATATGTATAGTCTTGAGGATAGAGAATGTCGAGTAGTTATAGATGAGTGTATGAGAAAGAAGGGAGGGAAAGATGATAGAGAGACAAAGAAGAAAGAGTACCATGGATGAGTCCAGGCCCATGGCATCAGTGCATCACCGAAAGGGAGAATCCAGAGAATGGACCCACTTGGATACATCGGATGCATTCAGTGCTCCGGCATTGATTTGACGTGTCATCCTGGAACTTTTTTGGAATGGGACTGCCTAAACCAGACTCAGAGGAGAAGAGACAAAGAGAAAGAGGATAACCAGTCTCTTCCTCTCCCTCTCCCTCCCATCTTCCTATTCCTCTTCCTTTCTCCTCTCTCTCTCTCCTATACTCCGTATGATACTAATATCCAAGTATCCGTATAACTATCCAAGAATCGTCCGATCGCATTATTAATAGATTACGCCACTGCTTCACCCTGTTTTCTCCATTTGCCTCCCAACCATCCCCGCTCTCGCGCTCTCGCTCTCTCTATCGATGAGTCGTTGAGACTGGTTTGACTTCCATTCCCCTCAAACCTTGTTCTTATTCCGTTATTTATTTATTTACCTTGGATTCTGGTTTTCTAGTTGATCATTATTATTATTCTATTCTATTTGATTGTTCTATCTATTCTATGTTTATCTGTCGATCGTTTCACGGTCATTCCTGTTTGTGATTGATTATTCCATTGCCTTTCAATCCATCCTTGGTTCTCTCTCTCTCTCTTCCTCTACTTTCTCCTTCCTTCTTCTCCTCCCTCTCTCTTCCTCTCTCCCTTCTCCCTCTCCCTTCTCTCTCTCTCCCTTCTCTCTCTCCCTTCTTTGTCTCTCCCTCTCTAACCAACTCCCCCCCCTACACCACTCCCCCAAAACACTCCCCCAACACACTTCCTCCTAACTTAATACACCTAATACACTTGTTTTATTTTCGCGAACCCCTGGGTCTGATCGACAACACCCACTCCCCCCCTAATTTCCCTCGACTCTCCACCTCCACACCCCATCTCTCTTCCCCATTTCCTCAGATCCATTCCCTCACATCTGTGCCCAGATCGCTTTGCATGCGCCAGTCCTCCTTCCTTCCCTAGCGCTGCCCCCTCCGACGTCAGAGCGCCCGGTTCCCCCGTGGCTTCTAATCTCTCCGTCACCTCTCCAAACAAGACTCCTCATCCCTAATATTACTCCCCCTCTCGCATGGCATGTTTCGTCTGCTCCCTTGGTACTCTACGATCGGGGTCAACAAGGTGAGGCCCGAGGATTTCAAGATGTTCGCCACCTCGCCGCCCTGCGCCAACAACCTCCCCTTGCCGCCTTTGAAGCGCAAGCGATCGGATTCTACCCACTCCGCCACCGATCGCGACGCCCCGGTCGCATCCAAGCTGCGCGTCGACAACCCACCCCCAGACTCCGCCCTCGTCACGCAATGCGCCCCCTCCCCCTCCCCCACTAGCGACCCAACCGCCCCTGTGCAGACCCCGCCGTCGCCCACCCATCGCCCCTCCCAGTCGCTCGCCACGGAACAGGCGCCCCGATCGGGCCATGTCGACGTCGACCGACTGCGCGACACCCTCGGCGCGCAGCTCAGTCTCGAGGTCCTCTTGAAGCATGACGAGCTACGGTTGATTGACCAGGAGATCGCCAAGTGTCAAGTCGCGCTGGAGCAGTTGCGCCGATGCGCTGAGATCCCCTACCCCAGCGCGCAACTCGGGGGCTTGTCGCAGTCCGTCAGCAGTGGGACGGGGATGGCGGTCTATGCGCCTGGAAATGGCCCCGCGCCGCTGTCCCCGGCCCCCTGGGGCGTCACCGACGGTCCGTACACTCGACACTACGCGCGATGGCTTTTGCCTGATCCCCGCTTCGACGGAGGGGAGCCCGATCCCGCCACGCCGCTGCTGTCTGCCAGTGCTCCCGGGGCCACGCCGGTGGAGGGCCGCTCCACCCGTGGCAACCCCGGTGACCTGGGCGCCTTGGCCGGCAAGTCGCGCCCCCAGCGCGGCTCCAGCATCTCGAAACTCCAGTCGCTGCCGAATGGCTACCCTGCCCCCAAGGAGAAAGCCGGGCCCATGATTATCCGCCGGAAGTCGGATGGCATCATGGTCAAGCTCGTCTGCCTAGATTGTCGGCGCGACAACTTCTCGAGCACGCAAGGCTTCATCAACCACTGCCGCATCGCCCACGGTCGGAACTTTGCCAGCCACGACGCGGCCGCCATGGCATCTGGGGAGACGGTTGAGGTGGATGACGCGGGTGCCGTGGTGGGGGTCAAGAGCGAGACGCCCACTGCTACTGCCCCTACTACAACGCCGGGGTATGTCCATCCGTTGATTCGGTCGGCCCATGGTATCGAGCCCCTTACGCCGGGTCGCTCAGCGTCGTCGGCGGTAGAAACGCCGCGGCCGACGGGCCCGCCCGCTCCGGCCAAATCGACGACGCCGGCCACCACGGAGGGGCTGTCCCCGCGCGCGTTCCTGGGCTCGCCCGACACCCCCCACCTGTCGTCCCTGATGCGCCATCGGGGCGTGGGGCTGGACCTCGATCGATTGGTGGGGGAGGCCAAGACCACGGTCGATCTGAGCGCCTATCCATCGGATGAAGGCGAGTCCGACAGCGAGTCCGAACAACCCACCCCTCACACGGTCGGGAATTCCGGCCCGCCACCGCCGGGCGCCGGGGTCGGCCGCCAGCCGATGCGCACGACTGTCTCGCAGACGACGTCCCGACGGCCTGGCAGCCGGAAAGGCGTCGATCCGCCCAGCCATCCGACTCCAGCCCTGGAAACCCTGACACCGACGCGACCCGGACCCTCCTATCCGTCGTATGGGCCCCCGCCGCTGGCGAACCCGGGCCCGGGCGATGCGCTGCGGGATGCGGACAGCATGGATCGGACGGCGAACCTGAGTCCCAACACGATCGAGTCGACGCAGGCCCCCAGTCTCGTCAGCGACGATGACGATTACGGGGTGGCGTCCGACTCGGAGAGTCCGGGGCCTAGTTCGTCGGAGGCGGGCGACCACGACGACGAGTTCAGTCACGTGGACGTGGAGGATGACGAGGCGGCAACGTCGACCGCGACGACGGACCCGCCCAAGTCGGATCCCATGGCCAGTGCCGCCGCGCATCCCCCCGCATCGTTGTCCCGATCGTTAGCACGGGGTGGCTCGCGGGGGAAGGGCCGACTGGTGTCATCCTCCCTCGTCCCGATGCAGCGAAACAAGGACGAGAAACGGGTGAGCTTTGTCAGTCCAGACACGAGTCCGAGCAAAGGCAAAAAGGAGGACCGTCGCAAGCCTGATCAGTCATAAGATGGATTTTTCTCCGTCTTTTTCTTCGTTCTTCGTTCTTCATCCTTCATTCTTCATCCTCCCCCTCTGAATCGAGGGCTAGACGCCTCTGTTGTAATGTGGTACTCTCTTCTCTTCTCTTCTCTCTTTGCGACCCACAGAGCACCTGGTTGGTGATCTTGAGGGTCAGTGTTTCGGATGGTTCTTTCTTATTCATTATTTTGTACTGGCGAGCGATTCGGGATGGCTTTATTTTATTCTATGGATATGGATATGGATATGGATTGAGACAATGAAGTACATGATGCGCTGTATGGTTACATATTATCATGATTATTTATAGTATGGAGTATGGAATAGTAGGCATTTATTTAAAAGGTACTTAGTATGTATGTATGTATTCATGTATTAACGGCGGAGTAAATAGGCAGTATATAGTCAGGTACTGCCACACTAGATACAGATATTAGATTGCGGATACTTCCACACCTCACATGTCAGGAATCAATCAATCAATCAATCATCTATCTACAATCAACTACCGACCTAAACCAGAATGGTAATGACGAGACGATCTACCACTGCCTTATCTTCCACCGGCCGGAAGATCCAAAAGGAAAAACAACAAAAAGGAGATGATGATCATCATGGATTAGAAGAAGGGTTGGAAAAAGAACCAGAAGGTGAAGAACAAAAAGATGAAGAAAGAGATGAAGAAAATGATGAAGAAAATGATGAATCACCCTATGACCCCCAGAGCATAACCCTGGAAATATTCACACACCTCCTCAGTCTGTATCCTACGACGTGGGATGCAGCTACGCGTCGGAGGCTTACTGAGGGTGGGGGTGGAGGTAGGGGAGGGAAGAAGAAGACGAAGGATATCTCTAGGAAGGAAGAACAGGGGAGTAAGGGTAAGGAGGAGCAGGAGAAGCAGAACCATCTGATTGAGGGGATGATGGAGGGGTTGGTGGAGTTGGATCGGTGGAGGTATGAGCTTGTTGGTGTCGATGGTTCTGGGTGGATGGATGATATTGGTGATGGTGGTGTTGATTTGGGTGAGGATCCGGAGGATGCGATGGTGAAGGGGAGGGTGAAGAGGGCGAATGACTTGAAGAAGGAGAAGAAGAAGAGTTTGACCAAGGATGATCTTGTGAGGTTGATGGAGTGGAAGTTGTATGTCTCCTTTTACCATTCTTTTTCTTTACCCCTTCTTTTGATATCTTTTGGTTTATACCTCCTATTTACCTACCAACCTACCTACCTCCCATAGAACGGTATGGATGTACACTATATGTGAGGTGACTAACTAACTACTATAGACAACGAGGCGTCCACCGACCCGCACTACTAGGCATGATCAAAAGCAACCCCGACCAAACAGTCGAGCAGGCCACGAGAGCAGCGCTGGCTGCATTATCTGGAAAAAACCTCTCTCAACAAGATAAACCCAATCCAGAAGGACAATTTCCCCAAACAAGCCTAACAGAGTTAATAAACCCCCTCCGCGGCGTGGGCATCGCAACAGCCTCACTCATACTCTCCGCCGTGACGGCCAACAAAAAAGGAGGGGGAATCCCCTTTTTCAGTGACGATGTGTATCTGTGGTTGTGTATGGGTGAGGCTCCTCGTCTGCGGAGTGAACTGGCGAGAGAGAGTAAAGGGAGAAAGCAGAGACGGAAGGGCTGTTATAAGCGTCTTGGGGGGGAGTTGGCGCTGAAGTACAATGTCAAAGAGTATCAGGGGTTGTGGGAGGCTGTGCGGAGGTTGAGGGAGAGGTTGCTTTTGGAGATTGAGGATGGGAAGGAAGAGGTGGTGTCGTGTACGAATGTTGAGAAGGTGGCGTTTGTGTTAAGGCATGTTGGGGTTTCAGGGTTGGTGAGGGAGGGAGGGGAGGAGTTGGTTTCTGTTGATAGGGCTTGTTTGGGTGTGGGGGAGGGGGAGATAGTCGGGGAGGAGAAGAAGAGAGGGAGAGTTGAGGAGAGTGTGAAGGGGGAGGTCGGAGGGAGGAAGAAGAGGTCGAAGAAGGATTAGCTTTGGATATATGAAGTATATCCATCTACTACAGAGTGTGTAGTACATACATACTGTACACCATAACCCCTCATTCGGTATGAAATCAGGCCTGAGAATTGTGAGATTCTGATCAGTGCATGCAGATTAGTTCTACTATAACCTAGAAAGTCTAGACTTGTAATTAAACACTCTATCTAAAGTACAATAATATGGTGTATACTAGTGAAGCCAAAAGAGTGTGTAGGGATCAATTAGCTAAACACACTAAAACTTCGCTCGACTTCATCTCCACTTCTCTCCATTTTCTACTCCACTTTCTCCCCCTTCCTGCTCGTCACATCCTTTGATTGTCCCAACTCTGGTTGACCCAGAATCATCCTGACTATGGAGGAACCCATTACCATGGATATCCTGCACAATGGCATAATAGACACTGCCTTCAACGACATGTCTACAATTGAACGATCCACTGTATACGACATCAAGATCAATCAGGGATAGATAATGTTTATCAAGCCCCCGCCATCCACCGATCATCAGGTTAATCAATTTATGTGGACGGCTTGATACCCCGTCATCCGTGTCATTGGCTTTCTTCCTGGCCTTCTCCACGTGGGTGGTTTCCATCCTCTTGGCACTTCGTCACCTTTTCCCGCCCTGTCATATCCGCCCATGGATTCCGGATAGATGGGACTCTGGTTTACGGTAAAGCTATGCAGGAACTGCCGTCACGATGTGGGTTATCTCCACTGTATTCGCCGGCACTTTGCCCCTCGAGTCCTCAGATAGGGTCGTTCCCTCGTCCTTCTCTTTCCTTATATGCCAATGGCTAATAAGATGGGTCCTGTATATCCTGTTTCATGGAACCACTCCGCCCCGTTCTCCTGAGCTCCTGGGTTTGTTTTCCGTCTCTCAATCTTAATTCTTAATTCTTAATTCTCAATCCTTATTTTACGTTATGTTGTCTTTTCGGAAAATCTTTCTTTCCCATTCTATCTTCTACCCACCTATCCTCTACCCCATCTATTGTCTCCTTTGGCATACTTCTTAACGTCATCTCGATGGGCTGGCTGTTCCTATTGAGTTTCGTGCGTTCCCCCTCCTAAATGGCCCATATCCTCCTCTACTGGGCCTTTCTGCCGCTGCTGGCTTCGGCGCTCTCATGGCATAGCTGGTGGTATGAGATGGGCGTCTTTGGCGCCCACCCCACGTTGAAGCATGTCTCGTTTGATCAACAGGCCCCCGAGGTCAACGTGCTCCAGTGGGATCCCCGCTGCGAAGACGGATATGTGCTGTTGAGTCCGCGGGGGCGTTTCTACCCCGAGCCAGGGCCGTTGATCTATGATAATCGGGGGAATTTAGTCTGGATCGATAATCAGTTTGGCATGGTGATGGATTTGAATGTGCAGCATTACAAGGGTCAGAATTATCTGACTTTCTTTACCGGTGATGATGATGGGACGCGGGGAATAGGTTCATACTATATGGTTCGTTTTTCTTTTCTTTTCCATTCTTGCCTTTTTCTTCTTGTCTTTCTTTGCATGATCAGTCTGTTCCAATCTAACATCACAGCTCAATTCCTCCTACGAGGTGGCTCACGTCGTCTCCGCCACCAGTGGCTACTCTGGCGATGTCCACGATTTCAAAATCACCGACCAAGGAACCGCCCTCATGACGATCTACGAAATCTGCCCCATGGACCTGTCCGCCGTGGGCGGCCCCGAAGATGGATGGGTGTACGACGGCCTCTTCCAGGAGATCAACATCGAAACCGGCGAGCTCCTGTTTGAATGGCGCGCACGCGACCACTACACTGTCGAGGAAACGTACTTTGAACGCGCCGAGGAGAAAGGCACGGGCCCGACGGCCGGCAAAGCCTTCGACTACTTCCACATCAACAGCATCGCCAAGGACGCTCACGGGAACTACCTCGTTTCCTCGCGATACATGCACACGGTGACGTGCATCAGCCCGTCAGGGGACGTCCTCTGGATCCTGGGCGGCAAGCGCAACATGTTCAAAGACCTATCGGAAGACGGCTCCGCCACCGAATTCACCTGGCAGCACGACGCCCGGTGGCTGTCAGACAATGTCATCACGTTGCTGGACAACGGAGCACACGAGCACCTCCAGACGGCCGACTACTCGCGGGCGTACATGATCGAGCTGGATTTCGAGAACTGGACCGCCACGACCCTTCACACCTACGAGAGTCCAGGCCACTTCAGCAGCCACTCGCAGGGCAACGTGCAGGTCTTACCGCGCACAGGGAACGTGTTCGTCGGCTGGGGCAAGCCCTCGGCGTACACCGAGTTCAGCGCTGACGGCGAAGTGCTGTGCGATGCGCACTGGGGGCCGTCCATGTTCTTCTGGTTCGGCTGGATCAAGTCCTACCGTGCGCAGAAAGCAACGTGGGTGGGACGGCCGTCCACGCCGCCGGACGTGGTGATGGACGGGCAGAGTCGGACGGTGTACGTGAGCTGGAACGGGGCGACGGACGTGATCGGCTGGGTGATGCAGCGGGCGAGCCGCAGCGATGCCGCCGATGGGGAGTTCGAGCTGGTGGGATATACCTCCAAGGAGGGGTTTGAGACGAGTATCGCGGTGCCTGATGAAGCGGAGGGACACTATCTCCGCATGGTGGCGGTAGACCAGGAGGGGGAGACACTGGGAGTGACACGGGTGTTTGGTACTGCAGACGAGGTAAGCTTCAACATATTACATATAAGAGCTGTGCTAACTGGATAGACACCCCACGTTGTATTCAGTGGTCCACCGCAGGAGAACCTGCGGCACACCTTGCTGGCAGCATGCGGATTGGGGGTAGTGCTGGCTGCATTCTGGAAGGGAAAGCGACGATTATTGAGCTTGGGGACGAGGTGTGGACGATCTGTGTATGATAGAGTTTGATACCCTCAATTTTAGTACTGTGCTATATTCTTTAGTAACTACCCTGATCATAACCAGTACTATAAGGGATAGTACTAGCTGTACTGTCTTATAGTATACCATATCCTTATCCTAAGTATGGCCCAGATTCAGTGAATAATGTAGTTCAGACAAGCTCACACCAACCCGATCGGGAATTATGCACCGATACACCGAGAGCACAACACCAAAACAGTTAGCGGCTGATTACCACATCATACACATGGAATTTCACCACACCTACCTACACTCATATCCATTGAAGTCACCACCACGACACCGATCTCTAAATCTACAGAGACAACACCCAACAAAAAAAAACACCTCCCTCACAAATCCAATCCCAACCCAACCTCAGCGGGGAAACAAAAGACAGACAGAAAAAATGGTCGACATCGTCCCCCTAAGCTCCTACCCCTCCTACATCGACCTCCTCCCCTCCATCCAAACCTGCAACATAACCAACCTCCCCGAAAACTACTTCCTAAAATATTACCTCTACCACGCCCTCACCTGGCCCCAGCTGAGCTTCGTCGCCGTCGTCCGCCCCAAGAATGGCTACACCCGAAACACCGGCGGCGGCAGTGGGGCCGGCCAACCCGACCTCTCAGGCCAATACCCCAAGGTCGTAGGCTACGTGCTTGCCAAAATGGAGGAGGAGCCCACGGACGGGAAGCAGCATGGGCATATCACGAGTTTGAGTGTGATGAGGACGCATAGACGGTTGGGGATTGCGGAGAGGTTGATGCGGATGGCTCGTTAGTTCCCCTCCCTTCTTCTCCCTTCCTTCATTCTGGAATTGTTTCGCTCCAAAGGAACATGTTCCTTGGTTGGTTACAGAGTAAGAAAAACGATGTGCTAATGATGATGGTGTGAATAGAAAGAGCCATGTCCGAATCCCACCGCGCAAGCTACGTCTCGCTGCACGTGCGCGTCTCCAACACCGCTGCGCTGCGCCTGTACCGCGACACGCTGGGCTTCCAGGTGGAAGACGTCGAGAGCAAGTACTATGCTGATGGGGAGGACGCGTACGCGATGCGCATGGATCTGTCGGGCCAGTGGCTTGATTGGGAGGAGATCGAGAGGCAGGATCGCTTGCGGGCGCAGAGTGATGAGAAGGAGGGGGATGAGGGGGGGGAGGTGGGCGAGTTGGGGAAGAAGGAGGATGGGAAGGAGGAGGAGAAGATGGTTAAGGTTAAGGTTGGGAGGGGGTTGGGGGTGGGGGATTTGGTGGAGAAGAATGAGAGTCAGGCTGCTTGATCTTTTATTTTTGTTTTATTTCTTTACTCTATTCAAAAGGTTAGCTTTTTTTTCTCTTCTTGTATTCTGTTTGGTGGGCTTGGGTAGGATGTCTATGATGTACATAGGACTAGACGGAGTAGATATACAAGTCAATCCAGAGCTATGTCTTTCGTCATTCAGAACACCGCTGTAATCAACCTAATAGAATAAACCAATCCCTAAACCTGGCTAATACATGCATCCGAATATCTAACACCGTAAGCCAATTGCTCAAACACCATGAATTAATGTGGTTAAACCAAGCGATGTGTTAACCATAACAAGCAAAGAAACATAACCCCAGGTTACTCCTACTCCCTCTGCTTCTTGTCCCGCTGCTGCTCAGTCGGCTGCTGGTTTTCTTTATTCCCCGACTTGACATCTGTGCGGCTCTCCTTAACTTCCGTACTGCCTACAACGTGAAACCCCGCGCCCTCAACACGAGCAGACCCCGTCTCACCCCCCTCGACGACATGGGAACTCCCCGAACTAGGCGTATCCACCGAACTGATATCACTAACTTCCGACTCCGCCCCGGACCGTCTCGACGGAAACGACGCAAACGACTGCACCGTCGAGCGGCTCTCGCGGTTCGTATCCAGCTCAAGGTTCTGCACCCGCTGGTCGAGCGGGACTTCTCCCTCATCTCTTGCTTGAGAACGGCGCTCCTGACGTCGTCGCGCGTGCTTCATCTTCCGCCGTTCGCGCTGCTCTGTTCTTGCCCGTCGGAGTACGTCGCGGAAAGCTTTTCGCGTCGCTCGTGTTTCTTCTTTGATAGCGCGGCGGTCTGCGGCGCTGCGTGGGTGTTGCTCGGGCGAGTCCCATCTGCGCCAGTGGTTGCGTGGAGGTGGCTGTCGGGCTTGTTGTCGGGACTGGCGGAGGGTGTCGAGCTGCCGGCGGAGGTCGACGGCTGCGTCGTGGAGATCGCGGCCGTGGTGCTCGTCGAGGGAGAGGAGCTGTGCGCGCACGGTTGCGAGGTCGGAGCTGCTTAGGTCGGAGGTTGTGGAGAAGGAGTCGATGGATGAGAGGGATGTATCGGATGATGTGGAGTCGGTGGAGTTGCGACGAGGGCGTTCTAGTGGTGATGCTGGTGCTGGTGGTGGTGCGCTTATGGCTCGCTGGCTAGGGGTGCTCTCTACAGGGGTTTCGACAGCGACAACTTCCGCCGGTTCGGCGGGAGCTACGGTGGCGCGCCCTGGCTCAGGATACCGGTAGCCGTAGAGGCTGGCGTAGTATGCCTGGAGGCGGGCGTCGTAGTCGGACTGCGGATAGTTATACCCCGGGTAGGGATTATCCACCTTGCGGCCTTGGAGCCCCGCCTGCTCCTCGATCCAGCGACCGTGTGCCATGGCCTGCTCTTCGACCTGTCGGCCGTAGTGCTGCGCCTGCGCGCTGATATGGTCGCCGTATTGTACCGCCTGCTCGCCGATGCGTTCGCCGTACTTCTGCGCCTGGGATACGAGCGACGTCATCCACCCCAGCGGGCCCTTCTTGGAGGCCTCCTTGGATTGCTGAGGAGAAGGCCAGTTGTATGGGTACGGCTGGGGCCGCTGCGGCTGGTAGGGATACCCATGCATGGGCGCGGCGGGGGCGTTCGCGTACCCGTAGAACGCAGGGCCACCGTATGGCGCATACGGCGATGGAGGCATCCGTGGGTGCGGATAGGCATGAGGATGGGGGAAGTTGCCGACTGGCGAAGATGCTGGGAGCTGTCTGGGGATCGTGTACGGCCCGGGGCTGGAAGGGGGACGACCGCGACCGGCCTGCGGGACCAGAGCCGTCCGGTTCTCCTGAGACGCCCTCGTGGCCGCGGGATAACATCTCGGACAGAGGGGCGAGACCGGACCGGACTGAGGGTCGGTCACGTAGACATAGACAAGACGAGCCGCTCGCGGCTCGAAAAAGTAGTGGTTCCACTCCGTCACGACCGCTGATATTCGCATCCGTCGCTGCTCGTCCGTCTCCTGCGGCCGGTCCTTTCGATCGCGCTGAATCTCCGCCCGTAACTGTCGCGGCAGCTGGCCCGACACGGACGCAGGCCCAAGGTGCGGCGGGAACAAGTATCGGAGGAACATATCCCAGTCCTGCTGGGCAATGTCATCCGATCGTGTATTCCAGCATCGCGGCCGACGGGGAAAGTCCTTGGCCTGACTCCGAGGGTAGATAGTCAAATGGTGTTCCAGAACCGGCTTCTCCTCATCCACCGTGGAGACGGGTCGTTCTACGAAGTAATCCGCCGCGGAGGAGAAGTTCGCGGGCCGATGACGTGCGGTCGCGGCGGAGCCAGTCCCAACCCCAGGACCGGATAGAGAGGGTGGCGAGGGGGAATTTCCACCACGCAGACGAAGCGGATTTACCTCTGCTAATGCAGACGCAGTTCGACGGGGCTGGGCCAGTAATGGGTCAACGGCGGAGTATGGCGGCGGCGGAGCCTCCTCGGGATCCATCGCGGGAGGAAGGGATATCCGTAGTGCTGGGGATTATGACAATATAGAGTGGCGGATATGGCAACCTAGAGTAATCAACGGTCGTCCACCGTGATTATGACGAGGACATCACATCCGTTTCCCGGATGCACGCACGCACGCACCCACGCGCTGATCGGAAGGCAACAGGATTATGGGGAATCCACCCAAATGGGTTCGTCAGTGGTCAGGCACGAGAACGGTGGAGACTCAACTAAGATACCGAGGCTTGGGCGTTCAACAGTCGACGAGCAGCAAATAGCGTCAGGATGGAGAAAGAATGGGCGTCAGCAGAGGCGGAGATGAAGTTGAAGATGAAGCTGAGCCCGCGTGTGCCTCAGGCGGCGGTGGCTTTGTCAGAAGTCGGCCGTTTGATTGGTTGGTGGCTGATAAGCTATCGTGATGTCAGGTGATATCCATTACTACATACCACAGATATACGTGTATTCAATTTACATACATAGTATATTCAATATATATGAATCAGGATCTATTGGTATCATTTAGAGAGTATACAAGATTCCACAGCGAGACGATGAGACTGCTGAGGTGGTATCCTCAAAAGACTCAGTCCGACACCTCAGGCATAGTCCCAATCCGGTTAGCGCGACCCGACAACCAACAAACTATTCGAATTGTCTCCATCTCCATCTCCGTCTCTATCAGAACATCCTCACCCATACAACCTGGCAACTCATGCGTCTGCCACATCTACCACAGATCTCACCCTACATTACCAATATTGAGCTGAACCCCCAGGCACTAATACAACCCCTCAACAAACAGGCAAGTCCCGTCCTATCCCATCCATCCCACTGCACTTATCAAAACCCCCTCGCCTCACTTCCCCTCCAACCTCTCCAAAGATGCGAAACCTGGTAAAAGGTCAGACAGCAAAGGCCAAGAAACCACACCTCTCGCAAAACCGAAGGTACTACTCACATCATATACAACTCATACGTCAACAAACCCAACAACCCAACAACCTAAAACCTACCGTTCTTCAAACCCTTGCAGAATCCCTTCTCCACACGCAATGCAACGCAATGCGCCGCTCCCCCCCAAAACCTCCATCCAGTCGAGAATGAACCGCCCTTGTTACTTTGTCTTTATATCTTCTTTCTGGAGGCTTCTCTTCTCGAGACCCTTCCTTTTCTCTACTCTCTATACTCTACTCTCTCACAGCCAATCTCTCTCCCAAAAAAAGAGGAAAAATTCCCAAACACATGCTTAACGTAAAAGGCAAGGACACAACCCGCAAGACCACCGGTCCCGTCCTGGGAAGATCCATGTGTACAAAAAACCTTCAACTGTTCCCTTCTTATCCATCCGTCCAGCCCTTTCTCCCTCCGCCTGTCCTTCTCCCTCATCATCTTTCTATCTCTGGGTTGGTAGATGGATGAATGTCAGAATTGACAGGCGAGGATTAGTCAGGCGTTCGGAACAAGAAGATTGAACAAACCAACCACATACTGGAGTTTCCGGTCCGCTTTGTCTCTATGAGGAATTTCGGAAACTAATGGCTGTGGCGGACATTTGTGGGGCATTACTGTGAGAGATAGTGAGAGTGCGAGCGAGAGAGAGAGGATGGAAAGAGGAATAAATGACGAGGTAGTGAGGGACGGGGAAGATGACATTGAATGGATAGGTCCCTTTATCTCCTTTGGGGGACAGGGGAGGGGAAGGGGTGTTGTTTTGTTGTCGTCGTCGTTGTTGTCCTGGAGTTGTGGAGTCTGGAGTTCCGTTTGGAGAACGCGGTTTTGGTTTGCTGGGGGGTTGTTGACGGGGTTGTTGTCATTGTGATAGTACCGCGGTGGGATGGCGTGGGTCTTGGTTTGGATGACGACCCATATTGAAACTGAAAAGACCTGAGGAGAGCCCCCTTCACTCTATCAACACTTGCATCTGACTGTTTTGTCATTGGCTAACTTGGGAAGTAGAGTTTTACTGGTCTGATCCCTTTCATAGATAGATATATAGATAGCGAGGGGGAAAATTGTTATACATCACGTTTACAATATAGCACATCCTAAATCAAATCATTCCATTCCTGTCGAGATTGCTAGCAACACATCGCTCCGACTCCCCACAGCGTAAGGTCTGTTACCCTCAATACCATCCCCACACTCCAAATACACACTTCGCTGCCACAGCCACTGTCCATCCACTCTCCGGCAAGTCAGCCTCAGCCTACCGTCTCTGCCATCCAGCCCATCCGCCTCAAGCCTGTCGCCCACTGTGCACCGTAGCGATAGAAAACAAATACAAAGATCAAAGCAAGTAACTCGTGATAGCACATGGAAGCATGCACTATTTCTGCCATACATCACTCTCAAAAAAGTTTGAGATCGACCGATGTGCTGGCACTCGTCTCCCGGGAAAGACCCAAAGTAGAGGCGGAGGCATGAACGGCGGGACCGCATGCCGGTCACGCCCCGGTAGCCATTCCATTCGGATCCCTCAATTCCACTGCGTAATTCTGACCGATCTGACGGTCACATAAAAATAGCCTATACTCGATAAGCTTTTGAATCAACAACAGCAAAAAGGAGAAAAAAAAAGAAAAAGAAAAAGAAAACTGACCAGTCGGATGGTAAACCTGCTGGTAGGTAAATTGTACAGATGTGGCGCGCCAACCAGTGAAAAGAAAAAGCAAACAAGCTAGGTCATACCCGGAAGGAAACCTCGGCCGGTGGCAAGATGGGAGGTACCAAAAAGGATCAAGGATCGAGGTCACGCCGGAGCGGGTTTCGGGTTGAACCACGTGCGTCAGACTGCTGAATCAGGGAGGAATGCCGCTCGTGGCGCTTCCCCTCCGCCGGCGCAGTTCATTTGGTATCATCCGTACCCTCCGACGGGGGAGGGCCCGACGAGGCTGTGGGGGGAGCCTGCGAAGGCGCCGGAGGCCCCTGGGGCATGGCGTTGTAGCCGTTGCTAGGCGTGCGGTGCTGATGGGGCGGATACTGGTGCACCTGGTGCGGACTAGACTGGAAGTGCGGCTGCTGCTGCTGCTGTTGCTGCTGCGGGTAGTTGCCACGGGCCGGGGGACCTGTCAAGGGTTAGTGACGGGCGCGGGGACACTGCATGTAAATCTACGTACCATGACTAGGTTGTTGGCCCCCGTACAAGGGCTGCCCGTGCTGCACCGGGGACATGAACATGACCGGCTGCGGCGGTTGACCGGGTTGAGATCCTTGATGCATCATCATCGGGGCACCCCGGCTGGGACTAGGATAGCTGCTGTGCGGCTGGGGGGGCCCATGCTGCGGATAGACCTGGGCCGGATTGGGCGAATACATCTGCATTTGCGGCGTGTACGGAGCCATGCCCTGGGGCGCGCCCATGTAGGGGCCACTGGACGGTTGCTGGACCATCATGGGGGCCCCACCCATGGCGCCTTGGGGCCCCAGGAATTGAGGCGCCCCCGGATACTGTCTCATGTGCGCCGCTTGCGGGCCGCCTTGGTTCATGTACATCTGGGGCATCGTCTGCCCGAAGGCGATCTGCGCGTGCGGCACCATCGGCGACGGGTAGCCTTGCTGCATCCGGGGTGATGGGAACATCTGCGACGTGGACGCCGACATCTGCATCCGGTGGGGGTCTTCGAAATGCGGCGGACCGGAGCCGTGATGCTGCTGGGGATGGAGATGAGGCCCGTGCGGGGGGCCCGAGACGGGCGGCATCCCGGGCGTCTGGGGAAACGGGAAGGGCATGGGGGCCGGTTGGGGCGCCTGCGGGTTGGATGCAGACCGGTGGGGGGAGAGGATGGGCATGGCTGGCGCCTTGAACATCTGTTGGTAGGTCTTCTCCTCGTTGCCCGCGGGGACGCCCCACGTGGGCAGGGTCTTATAGGCCGGGGGGATGCCGCCGTTGAAATTATAGTGATCTTTCGTGTCCGGATTCTCGGCCACTTCCTTTTTTGCGCGCTTGATGGGGTTGAACTGGTCTTTCAGCGACGGCCGCTCGGCAATTGGGCGCGGCTTCTTCGCACCGAAGAAGGCGGCCGGGCTGGTGGCACGCGACACGGAGCGGCCCCGGGTAAACGGCGACGAGTTGGACGAGGCCGCCGGGGTGAAGGTACTCGCTGTGGGGTTCGGCTTGAATTCGAGCGCGCGCACGTTAAACTTCGTCGACGCAGCGGAGGTGGGGGTTTGCGTCTTGCTCGGGCTGGCCGCACCGGCGTGGTCCCCCGCCGGGCCCGTGGGCGGCAGGCGAGCTTCGTTGATGGGCAGGGGTGCGGGAACAGGACCCGGAGCCGCCCCTTTCCGCTGCTGCAGATTGTCGGCCAACCGGTGGCTCAGCATCCCCGTCGCCGGGCGGTTGAGGTGCATGTTCTGGTGCGGCGGTCGGCTGCCCGCATGGGGGCCCGTTGGCGGGAACATCTGGCGACTGCGAGGAAAGCCGGGGCGGTCGGCCTGGGGGGCGGTGGCGGCGGGGGCAGCAGCAGCGACGGGCGGCACCGGAGCCCCGTTGTCGTGGCGCGCCGGCCCCGGGGTGCGATTCGCAGGTTTCCGGTCGGTGAGGGCGGGGGAGCTTTTGGATGAGGGGGGGTTCTTCGCACCGGTTTGGGCACGCTGGAGGATCTCCTCCTGCTTGTGCGGATCCTTGGCCAGGATCGGCACCAGATCTTTCGGGATGGGCGCGTTGAGTTTGAAGCTCTTGGAAAAGACCAGGAGTTCTTTCAATTTCATTGAGCGGTCTTGGGAGGCCTGATTGCGGCGGCGTTCCTGCAATTTCATCTTCTCTGAGTTGGCGAATTGGCGGAAGTGGTCCAGCACCTCCGTCTCCACGTTGGCCGATGCATTTTCAGCGCCAGCACGTTTGGGAGCCCCCGCTGCCGTGGGCAGGACCTTTGCCGGCGCTGATTTCTGTTCGGCCTCGGGGGCCGCACTCGGGCCGGTCGTGGATGGCGCCACCGGTGTGGGGAGTTGGGCGGCATCCCTGGACGGTTCGTTGCTTGGGGCGGCATCCTTGGGGGTGCCCAACGGTTGCTGAGCCGGGGCCACGGGCACATTGGCATTTGTAGACGGCTGCGTCCCAGCTTGTCGACGCGCAGGTGGGGTATACTTGTTCGGCTGTCCCGACAACAGGGGCGGGAAATTCTTCTCGTCACGGCGCACACCGCTGTACTTGTCTTCTTCGTCACCACCAGCCTCCGCAGCGATAACCCCTCTTTCCTCTCTGACGTGCGCGTTATCGACATCGGTTCCTTCGATTTCACGGGCGATCCGAGCGGCTTCGGCTTCCTTCTCCTTATACGTAGGGTCCGAGCGGTCAATGCGGGTGGTGTATATGTTTTCGTCGTAGCTACTGGTGGCTCCGAACAGTCGAGCGTTCGTTTCGAACTGGTCCCAGCCGGCCGATTGCGAGGCGCTCTCTAGCGATAGGTCGACGTCCGTGTCGGCCGCGGGTTCCCACTTCTGTAAGGTCCGTTCGCGCATCGCCAGGTTTCCGGAGATGTCGGCATCGGTTCTGAAGCCAGCTGAGGCGCCTGAAGTTTGTTAGAAGAAAAAAAAAAAAAAAAAAGATTGAGCGGAGCGGACGGATGACACTCACCACTTGGGGCCTTTGCCGTGACGTCGGCGGTAGAAACATTCGGTACAGATATCTCGACAATATCCCTGGCATCGAGTGATACGCTGTGATCGGGCGCCGACCCTAGGAAGGGGGTCGCGGGCTCACTGGCCCCGTTCGCCTTGCCTTGTTCCTGCTTTGGCAAGCGCTGGACCATCTTGAAGACGAAGGAGGTCTCGCTGGGCTCAAGGGAGGAGGAAGAGAAAATTCCGGAGAATCTCTCGCCATTCTTCATGGTGATGGTGGCATGAAGTCCCTGGGTAGGATTAGCTCCGTTTACTTTCCCCTGGGATCGATGCTGGCAGAGTGTCCGCTTACAATGCAGCTGGTGACCAAGAAGACCAGACGATCATGGGCGTGAGCGTCAGCCGTATTGGACTCCTTGGACGACATTTTCCCTCTCTGCGACATATTTCCGTTCTGTTGTGAGTACGAGGCTCGTTGAGTGATTGGGTTGGTGCCCTGAGTCCAGGCCTTTTGCGAGTTGCTACGCCTGTGGGACGACCCGAATTAGTTTAACGTATGACAAGAGAGAAGAGAACAGACACTGTCGGAATGATGGGAGCCAATTCGTGGTTCGAGAAGAGGAGGACGTTGGCGGTGCAAGCACCATAGTGGGACAAATGAGAGGCAGAGGGGACCCCACAAGGGACTAGAGGGCAAGGCGACCTAGCCGCTCGATTGATCGAAGGGAAGGAGTGGCCAGGTCATGCTCCTGCACGGCGACCGGGGAGCCAACCAGCAGTCACGAATGGAACCCAGTGAGTTCCCAGTGCATCCCCCGTGAGTTCCACGCGAATCAGGAAGGGTAGACCAGGGAAGGTTATGGGAAGTGGTAACTCGAATAGTAGGTAGGTAATAAAAGACAAGACGACATACCGTTGGCCAGTTTCCAGCGGGCTCCCGGACTGTCGACGGCTATCGGAGGCCTTGGGCCTCAGCGACGACCGACCGGAATTCTGCGAGGACGGGTTGCCTGACGCATTGTTGGTCGGCACAGAGTTGACGGTGGAAGCCATCTAGCTCGATGGACCGGATTCGATTGACGCACACGTCGTGGGAAAGTGGATGAGCAACTGCCAAGCTGTAGAGACACGGTGGGAGAGGGAGGCTCAAAGCCACAACAGACACACCGCCTACGCTAACAGAACCGGAGAAACCGGACGGGCAAGAAGGAGGGAGGGGTAGGAAACAGTGGGAAATAATGAAGAAAGTGGGGGTAGGAAAAGGGAATTGGGGGGGAAAGTAAATTAGGGAATTTGGAACCAGAAGATCTGTGAACCACGGCGGAGAGAGGTGGAAGAGGAGGGGGGGGAGGTCACGGGACCGGGGGGGGAGCAGACACCAAAAGAGTGGAAGAATGAAGCGAGGGAGGGAAAGAAAAGAAGAGAGGAGTGATCCACAGGGGAATGGAAAAGAAGAATAAGAAGAACAAGAAGAGGAAAAGAAGAAGAGGGATGAGGGACTTCAAGGGGGAGAAGAGAGTTAAGATGAAAAAGAAGCAGGAGAGAAGTCAACGTAGGAAGAGTGGAGGAATGGAGGGAAGTTGTGTTATACAGTCAAACAAATGGTCGGTCAGGCCATTACTGACCGTACGGGCGGAATACACAGTGGTAACGACTGGCTTCTTTGACCTTTACCTAGACATCTCCTTAACACTGATTCTTCTCGTTTTCCTTTCCAAACTTGGATAGAAACCCTGTTTGAATCTTGCCGATGAAAATTTTCCATTCTTCTGCAAAAAATAGGCCGATCATATCGATTAATGAGGATATATCATAGGATGGATATCGTCAATATAAATAACAAATACCAACTGAAACCTCCAGTGACAATACAGTGCCTGGATCATCAACCTCTGTCTCTCCCCTTACTGAGGATTCTACTATGCATAGTGTCCACACAGCCAGTCCACCGCCACAATCATCATGACTTGAACGTGGATCATCCCTTTCATCCTGGTATAAATATCTTATATTATGTTACACATCAGTATATATATTATATGACCCTAAAATACCACTAAAATATGCCTAATCCTAGAGCAAGGAGCTTCATCCTGCCAACACATCCCCCCCATACGACTCATCCTATCCTTGATCAGGCTGACCTGGAATGACCGAACAGGCTGAGTAGGTGAGACAACCCACTTGCTAACAATGGATGGAAAAGGTCCTTCTCTAGGCGTCCACAGGAAAATCGAAGAGAGAGTCTCATTCGGCTCGAAGGAATCCATCTCCCCAAACTGACAGGCAGTCAGCCCGGGTCATTGACAAATCACAGCCATCAACCCCATCTCGAGATTACAGGGATCATCGGCGGTCTATGCCAAGGCGCGCAGGGTTGGGATCTTCTATGACTGGCCCACCCGGGTTTCTGTTCCCCAGTCCCCACAGAGGGAAAGATACGGTTGGATGATGTGACAGTCAAGGATAACAACAAGAACGAATCTTGTACAGCTATCTTATACAGCCTACTCGTTGATGGACTTAACCCAATGGACTCACCCCTTGATCCATGCATATTATACAGAACATACGGAAACTTATGTCAAAGTTTAGAAATAGTCATCTGTCGGACATCTGTCAACCTTATCGATCAGCTTCAACTACAACGATCCTCTAATTACCATTTCTCGTAACTCGACTGTTGATAATGGGGACACAATGAGAGCGGGACATCTTATTACTAAGAGAATTCAGTGAAAGACTCTGGTCACCACAGACGAGTCGCTCCCGTGGATGACCGGCACGGCAGACAAAGCAGCCCATTTCCTGACGAATGGGGCTGAACCCAGCTGCCAGCCGATCTTATCTTCCCGAGTCTAACCCAGTCGCATGACTTAAAAATTGGTGGTTTATCTAGACGCAGAAGAAAGAAGGCCGATTTTATGCGTGATAACGAATTACTCGAACTAATGCGCATCGATCGCCATTCTAAGCATTCTGTTGCCCCGGGCATGATATAATGATCAAAAGTAGGATCACTTTCAGCGGAGGTAAGCATACCGACATCCTATCTCTTAACTGGAATCTTTCTGTCTTCCATCACAATGTGGATGGGTTAGTAACCGTCCGGTCATCTAGTACTTACCTTAGGTATTGACGCACCTGTCAGCTCCGATAACGTGGAATTTTATGCAAATTGATCCCATTAATCTGACATTTCACAACCCCCATGTGAACGAATGTCTCTCACCCTAGACATGTTTATGAGCCTGTCCCATATATCTCTGATTCAATAGATCAACCAACCGAGGATATAGGTAGAGATAGAAACCAAGGCAAGGTATTGCGGGGTGTTAAAGATCCAGTATGTGTTCAGGCCATCCCAAACAGGCAAAACTAACTCAATCAGGAAACTGCCAAGTGACAACCTAAGGCACCGCATCCAAAGACAGGCAGAGCGCGGCCTCAGGCCAGTCGTCCTTTTGGCTCCACGTTTGTTTCAGCGTCAAGTTTCCTATCTTGTCTCGCTCTCTTCTTCTTCCTCTGCCGATCCCTCTCTCCCTCTTCTGCCTTCTCTTCTTCCGTCACTCTCCACTTCATCCTCATTTTCATCTCTTGACTCCCCAAAACTCCCCTTACCTCCCAGCCATACGACACCGGCAGCCCCAACCCCCTTGGTGGTTTCACTATTTTCCCGCCTCCCGCAATCATCTCCCTAACCCGACCCTACTGCTCCGTATTGCGGACTACCTATTATTAGCGTTGACCCTCCCACGAGTTCTATCACCTCGTGCCCGACTTGGTTTTTCAATCAAAAAAGAAAAAGAAAAAAAAGAAGAAGACCAGAAGGGACAGGGAAAGGAGAGAAAAAAAAAAAAAAAGAACACCAGAGTCCCGAGCTGACTCGACACATGCATTCCTCCTCTCGCTCCCAGCGCAGCCCGTCAGCCCAACACTTCTCATCCGCCTCGGGCAGCAGTGTCGATTCCACCATGACCTCCTTATCTTCTGCGCCACGCAGTTCCTCGAGTTCGGCCAGGTCGCAACCGTCGAGAAGTACCGTGGTGAGTGAAGCCCCTCGAATATCCTTCTGACTCTGGTTTTCCAGCCACTCCTCCCGACGCGTGCTGACCTCGAGCTAATCCTCCGGTCCTTGGCACAGCCCGATAAACAAATCTCGCAGATCGAAAAGAGCGTCACCCACCTGCTGGTCGCGACGAAGCAGTTGCTCGAAACGTTGACCCAGTGGTCTCGGAGACAAGCGTCGGAGAATGATGTTTCGGATATCTACGTGCGCTTAGGCTACGAATTTAACCTCGCCTGCCGTTCATTCAACGCCATCGGGGTCGATACATCCGACCTCGGCCCCGTCCCGGATCTTCTCCGGAGCATTCTCGAAGACACCCTGAGTCAGGACGCGTCCCCCCAAAGTCTGGACCGGTTCCTCCCCCGCATCCGCGATATCATCATCAACCTGCTGCATGGCCTTAAGAAGAAGCAGGCGCGTTTGCGCTCGCGGCAACAGAGGGAGGACGGTCGCCCGCTGCCCGGTCGCCAGGCCAGTGCGGGAAGTGGACAAGCCGCCATGAACCAGGCCTATGAGGAGACCGCTTCCACCGTGACGTCGCCAAAACGCTCCGTACGTCGCTATGGGAGTAGTGGTTCTACAGAGGACTCGCCCGGGGCGGCCCGAACATCGCCGACGGCCCAACTGGGTGATCCGAGGGGATCCAGCTATTCGGAAAGGGAGGCGTTGAGGCGGGAGACCCAGAACATTCTGTCGCAACCGTCTCCGCTCGAGAGCGAATTTTCCGCCAAAGCATCGACCCCCGGCAGTGTGTCCGGCTATCCAACACCGCCGCCGCCGCCGCCCCCGAAACAAGACGATGCGCTCGGTGCCTTGCAACGGAGTGGGGAGCTGGAAAGACGTGCGTCTCGGCGATTTTCCGCGTATCAGATTCAGAAGCACCTCGGCACCTCCTCCAACGGGGTGCCCGTGCTTCCGACCCAGAATTCTCCCATCCCTAATCGAGGTCGGGACGTGCGTGAATCCCTCAACGCGGTGCGGCTCCGCGGCCCGACCACTCACGGGCGGCAGCGTTCAACCAACCGCGCCAATGACGCTTCCAGCGCAAAATCCGCACCACCACCACCACCAGCTCCGCCGGCCGTTCCCAGCGTCGACGCGACCGCGGTGAAATCGCGGAATGATTCGGTCTCCGAGCTCCCGGCCAACGGTGTCCCCGTCGCCGACGACCAGCCTCAGCCGCGTCCGGGAGGTGATGACGAGGGCAGTCCTTCCCTCAAGAAGGCACCAACCTTGCCTCGTCCCGAGGAGCCATCCCTGGGCGAGGCGTTCGAGCCGACAAAGGATAGCCCCCCAGAATCAGGGGCTTCCCCGACAACCCCAAAGTCCGAGCAACGACGGCCTTCTACTGAAGCCTCCACCCCTCCGCCGATATCCCAATTCCCGGCCGACCAGCCGTCTCCCGGCAAGGAACTCACCCTGTTTCTCCAGTACAAGAGCAAGATCAAGAAGTACGTCCTTCCCGAAGGCTACAATGGTTTGACCATCGGCCGACTCCAGCTGGCCTTCATCGAGAAGTTCAACTGGAACACGCACAGCAACGGAGCGGACCTCCCGGAGCTCTACGTCCAAGACCCGATCTCCGGAATCCGCCACGAACTAGAAGATCTGAATGATGTTAAGGACCGGTCGGTCCTCGTGTTGAATGTCGACATGATCGACGAAGTGAAGAAACACTTTGACGACGAGTTCGGCGGAGTGCGCCGCATGATCGAAACCATCAAGGGCGCGCTGGAAGGCCAGGAGGGGATGATGCAACGAGTTTCGGACCGCCAACTGGAAGCCGCAAAGGAAATGGCTCGTCTCGCTGCTACGCCGCCCGCGCCGGTGGCGGGCGCAGCGCCGGCGGGTGCAACGACGAAGCACCACCCCATTACGGGCAGTGATGGCCAGCTGGCGGAGCTGCAAAGCCTGCGACGGGACCTTGCTGTGCTGCGGCAGACTTATTCAAGCTTCTCGTCTGACATTGCTGGCTCGATGAGCGCCATCCGCACGAAGGCGAGCGGGATCAAGTCCGTCGCGGCAGATGTCGCCGTTCCCACCTTTGAAGGCGACGCGGGTCGTGCCCGCGTCAACTCGGGCAAGAAAGGGCTCGCCGAGGAGTCCGAGCGGCTGGTGGCCCGCGTGGATGATCTGCAGGATCTCGTCGAGGACCTCCGTAAGGACGTGGTCACTCGTGGCGTGCGGCCGCTGCCCCGCCAGCTGGAGAGTGTCAGCAAAGACATCAGTACCGTGACGAAGGAGATTCGCAAGATGCTCGACTTCCTGAAAAAGGAAAAGCCCGTCTGGACCAAAATCTGGGAGAAAGAGCTACAGCTCGTTTGCGAGGAGCGCGACCAACTTACCATGCAGGAAGATCTCGCGGCCGACCTCGAGGACGACCTGGAGAAGGCATCCCAGACCTTCGCGCTGGTCGAGCAGGCCACGAAGCAACAAGCCACGCAGAACAACACCACCCCCGGGCCGGGCGGCGTGGTCTTGCGCAGCACTTCCCGCAACGTGGTGATCGACCCGGCTGTCGACCCCGTCAAGGCCAAAGACGGCGTCCTCGGAGAGGTACGCGCCCTGCAGCCCAACCACGAATCCCGCCTGGAAGCCATCGAGCGGGCGGAGAAGGCGCGCCAGAAGGAGCTCGAGAACCGCCGCATCGGGCTCTTCCAGAAAGAACTGGGGACGTTTGTCGAGGAAGGCAAGCTGAAGAAGAGCGGCGGCGTGGAAGAGATCGAAAGACTGCGGAAAACCAAGGATGATCGAATCCGCAAAGAGGTCTGGGAGCGGCAGCAAGCCCGCGCGGTGGAGATGGAGAAGATCGCCGCTGAAAGGGCAGCTGCCAAAGCAGCGGCCGCACAGGCCGAGACGGACAATCCGGCATCTGGCGACGAGGCTGCCGATGCGAAAGCCGACGAAGGTGACGACGGACCTGCAGAGAGCAAGGGCGACGACAAAGACGACACACGAGAGAAGACACCGACTCCTGATGAGGCCGAAAAGAAAGAAGACGACAAGGATGAGGAATCCACGAAGAAAGACACCAACACTGCGGACTCTGAATCTACGTGATGCTTCTTCACTGGGGTGATGTCTATCATTTTTTTCTATTCTTGCCCGCTGCTCTCTTCTTCCTGATCGTCTTTCCTATGACTTGGTCCTCCACATCTTGCATAGACGAGAGCCTCTCATTCATCCTTATATTATTACCCTTCGACTCATTGTTTTCTCTCTCCGTTCCTTGTTTGACCTCCTGCCTTCCTCCGATTCAACCCCAGTCATATTGTTATTGCTATTGTTCTTGTTCTTGTTCTTTTCATTGTTATTGTTGTTATTCTGCTTTCGATATCCCCTTCTGTCCTATTTTTTTTCCTGCCAACGATACCCTGCCGCCTTATGGCCTGTTATGATAACATTGTGATGACACCTTAGGGGGGTTTGTTCTTTTACCTTATTTGATTATCTATACCTATATCGTACCTATCTATCTGCTAGACATTCAATTCTGTGTTGGTTTCTTTTTTATGATAATACTCATTATTTTACTTGTCGTATTTCTTGTGCGCTATTAAGGGTGTGGAATAGATATAGGAGTATCCTTTACCCTGTGGTCTTTAATAACCTCAAGATTGTCCAGTTTATCATCCTTTTGACTGTTTTTATCAGTTAGTCCACAGGATTCAGTCAACATAGATATCCTCGAGGTGCAGGGCATCTTAATGCTCCCCGGCCCATATGGCTGATCGGTCTCGATGAGCATATTGACAGACTTGAATATAGGAACCAGATCAAGCGCATCATCCCAAAAAACGATGATGTTGTCACATGCTTACAAATTTTGCACGCGAATGACAGATTGGGGGCTTTATTTAAGGCCCTCTTGAGTATCGAAGATGAAGATAGTCTTTTCTGCATGAAGGAGTGTGTTCTTGTTAATGAGAAGTTACTCTTGGGAGGAGATTGCCTGCATGAAGTAGATAATGCCTAACAACCAGAAATTGAATTTAACCTGTAAGAAAGAGAGAGTTCGGTGTTTACGGACTGAAAGCTATCCAAGGATAGAAAACTATATATTTTATAATCTTTTTCGATCAAATGTATAACTTGAAGTTATTAATATCATCGCTATTTTCGACTGCCTTGTCTTTGAACCCACAATTCTGAATCTTCATGTCAAGATAGGCAGGTGAGGCCTGAGGTCTGATAATCCTTCCTCATACAATGAATATCCTATCTGCTTCCCTTCGCTCCTGCCTCCAGATCATGAACAGCGGAATAGAATCTCTGAGTAGTGTATGTAAACCACGATCTGGAATGGCATTTCATTCATCCTTCAATAATGTGCTCTTATTTATCAGAGAAATCATTACTATCAGCTTTCTCATCACACAGGCTTCACAAGAAATATACTTTACTTATCCGTTCAACGCCTTTTGCCTTCCCATGAGACCAACTCACCTCGACATCCGTCGGGTTCAGAAAATATACTCAAACGACCCGGAGCCATCGGGTTGGGCAGAACTTAGAGCCCGCCTCACCGATTATACATCAAAAATATCTGCGCAAGAGAGAATCCCTCAGTATGAGAGATTAGTGAGAGCCCTCGAAGAGACCTACACTGCAGGCGTCAATCTACAAACACCAGAAGCTCTCTCAACCGCCACCGGTTTGCTCCTACAGGTTGAGACCCCGTTGGAGTTGCGTTCTATAGAGGTGGCTCTCGGCCTGCCGATCAGACTCTCGAGTGCAACTCTAGGGCCGCTTAAATGCCCGACCATCACCTGCGGCTGGAGATTGAAGGAGCAAGCCAGAGACGGAGGAACGCCCGGGAACGGGGCTTTAGCCTGGGGGGAGAGCGTGTTCGGTGTCCTCAACCCTATACCAGGGTGTCCTCGGCTCGTGCTCCCGTTCCTGGCGGCCAACATTACCAGCGAGCCTGCTGACGGGAGAACCCAAAAACTCCTGCGTGAATCCATGTGTTATGGGGCCTGCATGATTGCCAACATGCTAGAGGTCAAAAACGTTCCAGAGATGCCCGATCTAGTCGTGGATAGCGGTTGCATCCGCGCCTTGACGCTGACAATAACCGGTCGCCGTATCATGCTGGTTGCTCACTGGGCCGTCGAGAATGGGCCTGTGCCACCAGTCTACCTTTCCCGCATCGCCAAGGTATGGGAGACCAACAGGGTGCAGGGTTTTCCAATATGGGACGCGCTCTCGTCTATACACCTAGCCCGGGAGTGGATCATGGAAGTAAATACCGAGCGGTACCACAAGATAATACAAAAGGTATATGGATTCTACGAGACTACGTGCTGCATCTGCGACCACCAATTATTGAGCCAGGGTCATTGCACCGCCTGTATGCACTTGAGTTGTCTAGATTGTCGCATGGAATGGCGGGAACCAAACTATTGAAGCAGCCGAAGCGCTGGGGTTGTTGATCTTTTGATATTGGGGCTGACAGTCGCTTACTACAGCATGATAAATAGGAGTAATGGTATTTATCAATATCCTGGTGGGCTCCATGAGCATACACCGCGGCCTTATTACCTCTTGTGAAGCAGAAGAACATGTCATTCTTATAGAGTTATATACAATGTAAGTCTGTAAGAGATGACTCTTTAACCGCAATTCCAGACTGATTTACCAGTTGACTTTAAATTATTCTTCATTTGTTATAAAACTAGACTAATCTATTTTAAATAAATCTTTCATGCATCAGTGACTAGCCTTAAACGAAGTTCCTAGACACTTCTGTATCAGCGCAACTTTTTGTATAGCAGAAACATAGATGACATGATAGGACAAATTGGTCTAATAGTACAGCAGTCTCGGGACATTAAAGATTAGATAAATGAAAACTAAACCCTATAGCCTATAGCTTTGCTCTAGTTCAAGTGGTGATTTTAGTTGTATCCATCGGACAAGAGATATTGGTTTTATGGAACCTTTAACTTTTTTCACACAGTATTTAAGATCATTGACTTTCTCAAGGTTGTCAACAATAGGAAACCAGTCCACACCACATACTACTGACCTCACTCTATGTCTTACTCAGGACTTCGGGGTGCCGCGTTAGTGCTAGGACAAGAGAAAGTATGGTCTGAACCGGCTTTCATGTATCCCATAGTCAGCATGCGCTCGCTAGACACAAACATAGTGTCTACTATGCCAACATTGAGTGATATCTGGGTTTCCTTTCGAACGAAATCTCCATTCCCTGCACGTTCCGTGCCAGTGAATCAGGCAGATAAGACCTCCTTTGGCGTGGTCATCAAAGCGATGAGAGTATACGGTGACGCACTTGTATCCGAGCCTGTCAGATTCTCGGTGATATACATACCCCCACAGCATGGAGTGCTACGGCTAGAGCAGAATTGTGATAAGTCTACCAGGAAATTAGCCTTTTCATTCGATTTACAGTACATGGAAACCTAAGTCCCTAGGGAAAACCTACACCAAGGCCGAATGGGCTACCGGTGGCCGCCCTGTATAACCCATTGTTTATAGCGAAACAGGCCCAAGGGTTGGACAGAACTCACTCACTGTTACATATATATCAGTAGAGCACTTATCAGATCAGGAATTGATACTTACTATCTGATCTGCGTTAGTCCTGGATAGTCAGTAGCTTGGCACGAATTTGCTTACAGTACACTTTGCCATGCCAGGTCAGTATTTAGTTTTGGGTTGGAGTTCAACGTTATCGAATCACTTACGTAGCCGCGCTGTTTAAAATTACTGATTAACAATTTTGATCATTTCAGCCAAGGGTCTGGTCTGACACTCAGAGAAGCCTGATAACCCATCGCCATTGAGATTAGGTCCAATGTCTTCACAAATTTTTGTTAAGGTGACCTACCATCTGTTTTCACCCCAGTGAATCAGCCTTATCGCCATAAACGATTGTGTGGGGTAACAGGTAGATAGTAATATAATGTTTGAGCGGGAGCAGCATGACTTACGACCTGTTTTGATCATGCGTCAGTCAAGTCTTATTCAAACTCTCTAGTCCTCAGACAGGGTAGATACTAGATAACATACCATCTGTTCCAGGTTGTATACAAATAAACTCCATCTTAAAAGTTTCACCTCATTTAGATTGGAAGACTCACAATTTGTTTGTATCCCTACTTAGTAAAGCTTCGGAAGACGGGTCAGTCTGGGGTATAGGACATACTCCTGGCTGTTCACGTTCCATCTCGATTAATGCTGCTTTTCGTATCACATGTGGGCTTAGGATAGATGGTCTCTTACACACTACCAGAGCGAATTTGTATTAGCAGTCAATGGGAGTAGCTAGCCACAATCACAGTAGAAGACTTACATCTCCATACTATTTGGATCATATCAAATTTAGCCCTAACTATATAATAGATCTTCCGAATTTCGAATGTTCTATACCTCGTTCGCCATGATCAGGTGCTCGCCCTCCTCTGCGGGAGCTGGGGTTGCTATGGCAAGAGCGGCAAGGATAGAAGTGGATCGCAAAGCAATGAATTTCATATTGTTTGGTGATTGAATTAGGGATGAATGAGGACAAGCTATATGGTAATAGATTGAAAAGGTTGGAATGAATCAACGAAAAGAAGATACTACTTGCCTAGGGGGAATGGAGCGCTGATATTTATATTCTAATCCTTCTGCACAAACACCACACATCTTTAACAATAGTATGGCTTGTAAGAAAACAGTGATGTAATAGGTCTGATCCTATCTTTATCAGGCTCACACTTACTTATGGAAGGTCTTTGGATGCATATAATGCATTGTAAATCGACTCTTACCATACGTATCTGCCTCGAGATGTGGAACACACAGGCCTCAATTCGGTAAGGGGAATGGACTGGGATTATCCTTGCCACAAAAAATCTAGACGGAAGCATATTCATCTGTGATTTGACAGTACTTGCCTGGTACTTTCTTGATCACGCCCAGTCCATATTTTGACTGATTATTAACAACATAATCAAGCAGGGGAGTCCTCCTACAGGTCAAATAAGAGGCTGCTGCAGACCTACTTGATGCCCTTTTATTTCACGCCTCTCGGCCTCTCTGGCATGCTTAGGGTTCGGCAAGTCGTCGCGCTAGGGATACTAAGGCAGCTGACTAGGGCAGCCTTAGCAGGGCAGCCTTATTTATTCCATCTTCTTCTTCCTCCTCTCCCCTCTCACCTTTCTCTTACTCTTCCTCTCCCCTGACTCGGGTCAATATCACTCTACTCTCACATGAGAGAAAACGCACAGGATGGAGAGTCCCATTACACCTTCAAATCAAGCATGATCCTCTCCACCTACTCCAAAAGAAATAATGGACGAGATGATTTTTGACCACTCGCAGACGGGGACACAGCGGAAACAAGAAGAAGAGGAGCAAACTCCAAGGGCAGATCAAGCAACGACATGTGAGCAGGGTGACGGTGTCCAGTCTACCGGCAAAGATTGCCCAGAGAAATCGATTGAAGATAACAACGAGAGGACGGACAATGTAAACTATTATCACGATGATAGGGACAGCAATGCGAGTCACACCAAGACTAACCGCCGACTCAGGGCTCGCTTCAGGGAAACTGCAGGACAAATTTAATCCATACTCACCCACCGCAAACATCAAAGAGCAACTGATGAGTTGCCATGGATCAAAGCAAGTTTTGTATCTCTTAGTTTTCACTGATTTTCAAATCTAACTGGATTTTTGACAGATCCTTCGTGATTGTTGGGAATGGGATAAGGTAGGGCGCTTTGCTGAGGTTTTTGCATGAAGGCTTTCCCCTTCCACTGACTGCCGTGTATCATAGGAAGATGACGATTATATCGTGCTCAAGCAGCCGCTACAAGAATCTAAACATCCAGAGTAGAATGAGGGATAATGATACCCAGGGAACACTGTACAAGACCAAGCTTGAACCTGTCATATCCGGATAATCGAGCAGTGAGATTGATCGTGCGTGGGAGTTCAATCCCAGCTCTGTATAGCTGGTCATCATGTGGCGATTTCAGCAGAGATCATACCGTAGTGATCTTATGGAGGTAAAGAGATAGAGGATAGAGGGAAAAGAGGAAGAGAAGAAGTCACGAGTTGATCAGGTGTCAGATCAGTCCTGGCCCAGAGCTGCCTGAACTTATACAAAGTTAAACAGCATGTCGCTCACTTTTTCGTCTTCTCTACTTCCTTCCTCTACTTTTACTTTGGATCCAAACTTCTTCACTAACGCCAACATTGATAACTGATTCTTGCGTTCAGGATGAACGACATTGTTGCCAAGACTCTTCCTGATGTGGTGGACCCACGGCCTGGCCAGCCATGGGTCCACATACTGGATGCGGCTGCTTCTTTTCACTGGATAATGCAATTGATATTATCATATCATGCACTTAATTGGCTTTCCATCCTGATGGAACCAACGCCTAGATAATAATTACTGGGGACAGAGTCTTGGACTCTCCACAGTGGAATGAGCGCGGAGTATTTAGAGGTTCGTTGGCCCTGCATCTCTCAGAGTCTGCGACATCCGACCACAGGCTGAGCATGGCAGGTGGTTTTCTCCCTTACCACGAGCCCGGAGGTACGTTCTAACAATCAACTGGCGTCAATCCATTGTGAACTTTACTGACCGTTCTAGTCGTTGAGATCTTGATTATCATATCGTTCTTCTTCTTCCTTTCTCTCGCAAAATGGGTATCCGCCAAAATCATACAGGCCGGGATCATCGGCCAAATAGCCGTGGGCATTATCTATGGTGTGCCCCTGGCAAATATCCTTGAACATACCTGGCAGGAGACCTTTCTCGTGCTGGGATACGTCGGGTTGATTTTGATTATTTTCGAAGGTAGACTTGGCGTTGATTCTTGGCTTCTTGGCTGGTGGATACTGACGTCATCGATACAGGTGGTTTGTCCGCCCGATTGGATTTGCTCAAGCAGAATTTCTGGTTGAGTATGATTGGGGCTGCAACCGGCGTGTGCTTTCCCATTGGCCTGTCATATCTGCTTCTCTATTTAGGTTTTGGCTATGGTGTGTTGAATTTTGTGCTCTACGGCGTTCGTTCGGCTAACATGTTGTAGGCGCTGTGGAAACATTCATTATCGGGGCTGCCCTATCGGCGACTTCCTTAGGTGAGTGCAGTCTCCCAATCTAACGATCTTGGTCGGTCATACTGAGTCGAACAGGCACAACGTTTGCTGTCCTTGCTTCCGCGTCTACCACGGTCAATCTCTCTCAGACTCGAGTGGGTTCCGTACTTGTCAGCGCGGCCGTCATTGACGATGTGGTCGGTCTTGTTATGTCAAGGTACCTTATTGCCCCAGATTCCTCTGTACAGAGCTAGAGCTTACACATTAAACAGTGTAATTGGCCGCCTAGGCGAGCTTTCAAAATCAGAAGATGTCAACCTGGGCTGGCTTATTGGGCGTCCGATCGTAGCCTCAGTGGCCATGGCAGTAGCGACGCCCATCCTCACCAAATACTGCTTTGCGCCTTTCTTCCGCCGATACATCGAATACCACTTTGCACGCTTCGACCACATATCCAACATCATCCTCATGGTATTGGTCTTGTCGGCCTTTGTCAGTATTTCCGGATACGCGGGGACATCTGTCTTGTTCGGGTCGTTTCTTGCCGGCACGTTCATATCCTACCTACCGAGCAAGCACCCCGAGGGGCCGTTCGTTGTCATGTCGCGCGAGGAAGGTGAACGAGAAATAGATAAGAGCCCGACCTTTGTGCACACCTTCGAGGTATACCTCCTTGGGGTGCAGCAATACTTGATGGAGCCTCTGTTCTTTGCCAGCATTGGGTTCGCGATTCCGTTTGTTCAGCTGTGGACGGGCAAGCGAATTTGGCGGGGGATAGTATTCACTCTTTTGATGGCATTCGCCAAGGTATATCAACCTCATACTTCCGTCTCCAATGACCATCCACTAACGAGACCTAGTTTATCGTCGGTGCCTGGATCATTCTATGGAAACTCTTCTTCGGGTCCAAGCCCCACAAAGACGAAGAATCCCTCAGCAAAGCCAAACGATCCGAAGGCGTCGAACCAGAGAATTCTCCCGACCACGCCAAGAAAGACTCAGACATGCGCCTCACATCCCTAACCGCATTACTCCTCGGCTCCGCGATGGTCGCACGCGGTGAAATCGGCCTGCTCATCATCGAGATCGGAATCAACGAGACCCCGTACGTGAGCGAAGAAGGCTTCATCACGGGGGTATGGGCAATTCTCCTGAATACGATCATCGGCCCGGTTGGCGTTGGGCTTCTAGTGCGGTTCTACGGCAAGGAGATCGCGGCCGGTAAGGACTGGGGAACGCAGGAGGATCCTCTCGTGGCTGCCCGCTCGGCGGCGGATGCGCATGGGGCTGTATAACGCGGGGGGTGGATACCGGGGGTTTATAATAGTCCCTGTGTATTCACCGATGAGTATTATCGTGTACTCTATACATTGTTAGAAGGTTATTTTGGATGTATATCTGTTCAGAGCTACAAGATTATATAGATTTGTTAGATGAATACGATTATTCCACATGAACTCACTCACCTTGTAGTTCCAGAACCCACCAGGGAAAATGATGTTTGACAGCCTCGAAGACAAGTGATATCGCTCGTTCATGACTAGCATCAGCACCATCCGATAGGAATCACCATCAACCAATATTCTAGTCACACTGCAGCTGAGTACCCCGTTACTCTGCCCATCCTCACAAATCCCCAAACGTGACTTACTCACGTCGAAAGGGTCCGAGTCCTAAGATACTCGCAGGATATTAATATTCGGGTGCGAACAACACAACCCCCGAGACAGAAATGACAGGTCAACGGTATAGAAAGTAAGCAGTACGAGATAATCTCAACCCACCCCATCCTAACCAATGCAACAAAAATAACAGATATACAGTTGCCTACCTAGGTAAGGTACAAAGATATACACAATCAACCCACTAAAACAATCGTCCCGTGTCCCGCCTAGCCGTGATTCCGATCCGATATAATATCAACAGACACAGTAATAATAATATGATATTATCATTTTCGACCTCCAAAAAGGCTAAATAAAAGGACAATTGACCAACCTAACAGGGCAGACTAGACCGCCACAGCAATCAAATCAAAGCGGGGCCTCTACAGCCTAGCGAGCCGGGATCTTCTAATGCCGGATTTCCGAGCACTAAGACAACGAGGAAGAAGAAGATCCGACGCTACGACCGAGGAGGTAACTCATTCTTCTACCTGCCGCTACTAAGTACCAGGTAAGTAGGTAGGTGGCTCCGGAGCCTCCTGAAGTTGATTTCGGATCGGGTTGATATTTTTTGTGCATTTTGTGCTGGGTGTAATTTGCCCAATGCATAATATCTTGGTGGTTGACCTCGGATTCTTCTTACTGAGCTATATTAATTCATGTGAATACATCAGGTACCATTGATGAAGCATACTATGTGGATAGGTAGAAGTATTTTGAAGCCTATATTAACCCAGTTAATAATGGTCTCAGTACTCACTAGTCCCTACATAGGCATACTGCGCGCCCAGCAGTCAGAGCCATCAAGATCAGACACGAGAAACAGTCTATTTAAAGGCGCAAGTCAATGAAGTGGACGCCTGAAAAACAGACACGCTCATCCAGCCACGCAGGTATCAAGCAATCCAATCAAACAAGGGCAACCACATGCATGTAGAAACCTTCATCCTTTCTCGGCCCCTCTCTAGAGGTACCTAGTAGTCAGGCGACCAGTGCTGTAAATCCTAGACTGTCCTACCTTCCTCCCTCAGTTCCTACTATGATAGCACTCATTGCGGGGTGCAGTGGGAAGGAGTTGTTGATCTCCTCACCACCTTTGCAAGTTGGTGTAGGAGAGCAAGTCGGCCGAGCGTGTAGCATCATTTTCCATATTAGAGTTAGGGATTTACCGTGTGTAGATCGTGCTACGCTACCGGTGCACTGACTGGTTGTGCTGTACATTTCCACTTAGTCTTTGGCATAATTTGGTCCCGCCCGAGGAGTGAATAGAATAGAGTTGTGGCTGGCTTCAGTGTACCCAGTCATGCCAGAGCAAGTGACCATTTCTGATGTATCCGCTGGAAGAGGTAACTTAGATTGGAGGACTAGCTCATGAGTCATACGATTGTCGGAGAGAGAAAAGAAAAAGAAAAAAAAAATAAGATAAAATAAAATAAACATTATTTTCATTGATCCGTACTATAGGAATGCGGTGCGTGTGTATTTGACAAGTGCGTGGATATACCAAACGGCCGAGATAGCCGTATGCTGAGAGATGTTCGAGTTCACACGGAAGAGCGCGGATGCAGGTGATTGACTGTCCTCCGTTATATCCGCCCAGAGGATCGTCACTCGGCTTGTCTGATGGGGATAATACGTCGCTGGGGTGTCTATAGTCTATACTCTTTCCATCGGAAGTGCACCAAGGACAGGGCTGGGAGTGGGAGATAACCAGTCCCATCCCTGCTATCTGGTCAGTGGTGTTGGCTTTCCACGGGATCACTAGCGGTCGATAGCACCATGTGATTGGTTTATGGCTCTTGGTGTGATAGCTGTACAGGAGACAAAAAGTCACTATCTGGGATGCAGTGGTGTTAACCTGGAGAAATGACCAACGTCTTGTAATACGCTGGTCTCCGCAGATGGGGCGATCAGCCCACGGCCTCGCTTGGGTGGAAAATCCCATGTACGATGCCGTCCGACACCACCAATCAGGCTCCGATCGCAATGGATGGTAGCTTCCTCAATAGGTAAGTAGTCAGTCGGAGTAACGTGAGGGGTATGGATTAGTGAAACCCTGGCCGATCTTCAGGAAGAGGGGGGGCCGCATGAAGACTTTGCCCGAAGATTCGGTGTATACTCCCCAGATAGCAACTGTCCCACGGTCGAGTTGACTTTCCGTATTTGTAGCGGCCGGAAGGAAGGATTTGGGCCAGGCTATGTATTCAACAGAGCTATTGGGGTCCACTCGACTCAGCAAGGAAAATGGGCGATGACATTGATGTCATTAAAGACCGTAAACCAGGCTAGTGAGAGCCTGAGCGACCCCGACCCCGAGCCAAGCATCTCGGCCTCGGGTCGTCATGGTGGTCGAAGGAAGAGTGGCAGGATCTTCTGTGCTCCTGTCGTGGATGTCTGGGCGAATCATAATCCCTGTCTGCATTGGTCGATATGGCTATACGGCGCATACGCCAGTCACGATTAATTGATGCCTAGGCTGGGCAGTGAAATCCGACAGCATGTCCATCTGACTCTCGGCGGTCTGACAATCTTAATAAGTCAATATCTCTAGCGGGACAAGATGCCAGAGTCAGTAGATGGGGTAGTTCAGTTTTCATCTTGGTTGAATCGACGTGGAGAATGACTGGAACCTGTTTGGGGAAATTTTTCTCGATCAACCTAGGTGGAGCTGCATTTATAAGAATTATCCTCCATTTCCTGATTTGATTCATTCTTGTTCTTCCTTCCTATCCATCCTATTTTGTAACCTTTCTTTTTCAAAGACGTTTAGTGTCGTGTCGATCAGGAAGAACCAGACCCTATCAGCAACTGACCCTCTGTACCTGTTCAGGTCAGTCGACATATCTAGCTAGGTACTGATGCAAGGATGATCCGAACTGGTAGCTCAAGACAGGACCGGTGGGTAACGAGAGTGATGGTGTCACTTGAGACGTGCTTCATGAAATCATGGGTCCGGGAATATACTTCTTTTTTCCTTCTTTCTCTTCTCTTCTTTATTGTTCTGACTGTCAATTATTAATTATTACTAATGTCTGGTACTTTCCTGGGATATACATCGTAATAAAAACCCTATATCATCAAGTAGTATAACAGTATGCTGTTGACTGATGACGGGCTGACAAATTGAAGAAATATCTTAAATCCGAGGAAATATAAAGGATAATGATAATAATACAATCGTAATATAATAAGAACAATCATCGGTCCAGACCTTCCATCGTAACGGACTCGATTACACCAAGGAGTCTCCACTGTCCAACTGCTTTTTGTTCCCCTGTGATGACCTCATCTCACACCATCCTCTATCAAATTGTCTTTTGCTGTGCCATGAGTGCATCTCCCTAATCCGGACAGCCACGATAAGAATAGAATCATTGTACCCAACGCATTAGTGTCAGTCGCAGGATTCTCGTCGTCATGCACCTCCCAATAGATCAGTATCAAATCCATGACCAGCAAGAGTTGTGGGCCGTGTCCGAGAAGTGGAGCTGCTCGTTCGGCTCCCGGCGCTGCAAAGCTCCAGTTTTCTCTTAGTCTTTCAGCCTTTCAGCCCTTTCAGTCCTTTGTTTCCACGGCCTGTCGGATTCATTGCAACCTATCCCCGCTTGCTCCGAGAAATATCATAAAGTAAAAATAATAATAAACGGGTGAATAATAACATAATAATATCATAATAAAACGAAGCAAGATGAATCCACCGGTGCGACCATATATCTACCTACCCCCCCTCTCGTGGTACCTACAGAATACTTAGCTCCCTATACAACTCACCACCCAATACTTTATACTTTAGCCCTACCACGCCATATCCTGGGTAGCTGAGCTCGCCACCTCCACCATCTCCCCAGTCTTCAGCTCTTGTAATTGCACGACCGACACTCACGGTCGCATCAGAGAGACGAGTAGTCCAGTCTCTTGTCTTCACTGTCCTGGAGCTACCGCATCTTCCAGACTCGGTGCAACGCCCGCGAGCAGTGTTTTTTCTTTTTCGCAAGGGTAAAAGGAACAAAATTATTTGATCTTTAAATCTTAGCCTTTCGCCCATGTGGCCGAAAGCTTCACGGGCCGCGTTGGCGGCGTTCCTCTTGTTCGCCGTTGCCAGCGCCTTCCCACACGATGACCACGCCATGGGGATGGATATGGATATGAATATGGAATCTAAAATGGACAGTACGCCAACACACGCACCCCATCCAGAGCCGAGTCATCATGAAGCCATGAGTTACTTTGCGTATGGGAAGCACTCGGGCATGATCTTGACCCATATTGGGTTGATGGTGCTGGCCTGGTGCTTTGTTCTGCCGTCCGGTAAGTTCATCTCTACTACTGATGCCCTAATTCTTTGTCACCGGTATAGTAACAAGTTCAAACGCACAGCCGTCATGTTGAGCATTGCGCATTCCAAGCTGGCACTGCCAACGCAATTCCTATTCCTGTTGTCCAACGCGGTGGGACTGCTGGTCGGGATCATCTACAACAGCCAGACCCCAGAGCTATACGAGAACAACGCCCACCACAAGATTGGTTGGATCGCGACCTGGGTGGTAAGCGCGCAGGTCATCATGTCTCTGATTTTCGCCTACACCGGCCGCGGGGAATCCGGGGAGGCCGCCTACAAACGAGCCACGTTCATGCCGGTGTCGACCGACGAGACTGACAGCCCGACCGCCTACCCCCCCGGCAGCAGCCACGAGTACCGGTGGTCGCGAGACAGCGGACAGGGCACCGAGAGGAACACGTCTTCCCTGCACAGTCGTCCGTCGTCTGCGTGCGCGTCCCCGACCGACGAGTACGACCTTTTCGATAAGCCGGAGGACCACATCCACGAGAAGCCCGAGCGTCGCGCGTGGTTGCACAACACGGGTATGGGTCGGTTCCTGGCCAGTCGTCTGCCCCAGATGATCTCTAGTCGCATCCTGCGCGTCATGAGTTTTATCTACAAGGGCATCGACCGCATCATCATGCCCTTTGGCTTCGCTGCTATCGCCACTGGCGGTGTCACGTACGGCGGACTTATGGTAAGCCTGGAACGTTTTACCCCCTCATTTACGCATGTCTAGCTGACCCACCCCTAGAGAGGCAAAGAAGTCTTCAACGGCCTTGCCCACTTCATCAAAGGCGGCATCTTCTTCTGGTACGGGGTGTTGACACTAGGCCGGATGATGGGCTGCTGGGCCGACCTCGGCTGGGGCTGGAACCTGAAGCCGTCGCGCTCAATCGTAGGGAACTGGAAGGCGCGCGTACCGTCAGGGGAGTTCACGGAGTGCTTCGTGATCTTCCTCTACGGATGCACCAACGTCTTCCTAGAGCACCTGTCCAACGCAGGCGGCGCATGGTCCGCCACCGATCTCGAGCACGTGTCCATCTCAGTCATGTTCTTTGGCGGCGGTCTGTGTGGAATGTTGTTCGAGTCGCGGCGTCTCAAGCGCTGTCTGAACCGCACCGTCCTGCGCCAGCCGTTGCGCTCTGACGACCCCGCTTGGCACGCTCCCGACACCCAAGGCGTCTCGCTCAACCCAATGCCGGCTATTATCATCCTCCTCCTGGGCTTGATGATGAGTTCGCACCACCAGACTAGCATGACGTCTACCATGGTGCACAAACAGTGGGGGAATCTCTTGATCGGGTTCGCTCTGGCCCGCGGCGCCACCTATATCCTGCTCTATCTCAAGCCTCCGACCTCGTACCTCCCGTCGCGACCGCCCACTGAGATCGTCGCCGCGTTCTGCTTGATCGGGGGTGGACTGATCTTCATGTTGAGTGTACGTTCTCTCCCCCTCATCTCCATTTCTATATATTTGGGTACTAACGGAACCAGACTCGCACTGTGGTAGAGGCTATGGAGTTCTATGAACTAGACGCCATGTTCACCCTCACGGTGGCAATGGGCCTAACAGCATTCATCATGGCCATGGTGATTGTGTTTATTGCCCTGAAAGCCTGGGCCGTCAATCGGGAGAGTCGAACCCGTCTGGCGTCTTTCCAGTTTCCTTCCGATCCTCGAGAGGATCTGTCGTCTGCATAGATCAGTTGGTTCTCTCGACAATCCAGTCGTGAGTATTGGTACATACTGCATTAATCTCCCCTCTCTAAACCAGAGAAAAGGTGGAAAAAAGAGAAAAAAAGAAGAAAACCGAGAAAAAGAACCGACAAAAAAGGATTACCACTTTATGATTATACGTTATATACCCCTTTACATCGTTGAATTCTACGATGTTGCGATGAGCATAATTCCGACATACATACTTTGTGGCAGATTGAGAGTCTGTTTGTGATTATGCATGATAGCACCTTGGTACCTAGGTATCTACTGACCGGGCCTGTTGGAGTAATTATAATGGCGGGCGGAGGTTGGAATGGTCTATATGTTGATGAGCTTGTTAATAGGACCAGATTAGGATAGGAATTCGTGATATGAGGAACATGATCCAGGCTGTGTTGGCAATATCCCATATACTTGTCCGACCTATACACATAGTACACATTGCCTCAAATGTATGAGATACATGGATGATGCGATATATCCTCCGTAGTACCTGTGGACAAACCAAGCGGACTTACCATTAACTCCGAGCTACACAAAGCTTATGTTCTCCACCAGTCTGACTAACGCAACCCAGCCTAGTCTCATGAAGCCCACGTATACAGTGACAGCCTGAGGCACATACGTACTATAATCCTCGGGACGGCAACTCACCGGTAATCGGCAAGGTGTCATTCATCCCCGCCTGCAGGTACAACGCATACGCAGCGCAGTGGGCCTACACAGTATTCGTGGTCAGTATCTACTTCGTAGCCATCTAAGAATACCTTATCGCATGAGTACCTGTTCCTGATCATGATATCAATGATACGGTAGATTGGGTGTTCTGGTCCCTCTTACATAATCCATCCTTAATAATCCGAGAGGGGAGGACAGAGGAGAGGGGCAGGGGGAGAAAAGTGGGGGAGTTGGAGCGGCATTTAAGCATGAGGAGAAATAAATAATACCCGTGAATTTGGGTCTGCTTATAAAGGCCTGTCTGTTTCTCTTCTGGTGTTGATCTTGCCACCGTTTTTTTTAAACTTTATCTTCATCTACCTTTCTTATCTACTCGTGCATCAACTTTTCTTTTGGAAATACTATACAATATGGCTTCCAACCCCCCCGCTGCCTGCTGCGCCTCTGGCTTCAAGCATGAGGGTACCGCCCGGGGCGAGACGAAGAACATTGACGGCAGTGAGTATTGTCTTTGCAGATTGTCTTCTTTTCAAGTAATGTCACTAACAATTGGTAATAGTCGACACCTACATCGTCCACCCCAAAAACAGCACCGACAAAGCCGTCGTCATCCTGCCCGACATCTTCGGCATCTACATTAACGCCCAGCTGCTCGCCGACGAGTTCGCCGCGAATGGCTACCTCTGCGTCATCCCGGACCTGTTCCGCGGCGACGCCATCAAGCTGAGCGATATGGAGTCTGGCAAGGCCGACCTGCCTGCTTGGCTGCCTAACCACTCTGCTGATAAGATCGATCCCGTTGTTGAGGCGTCGATCAAGTATGTTCGGGGGTTGGGTGTGAAGCGCGTTGCCGGTGTGGGGTATTGCTTTGGTGGGAAGGTGAGAATATATAACTCTTATTTTGAGATGAGGCGGTTGAAAAGAAAGAAAGAAAGAAAGAAGAAAGCTAACTTCAACAGTACGTCTGCCGTTTCTTGAAAGAAGGCAAGCTCGACGTCGGATACACCGCGCACCCCTCGTTCGTCACCCCCGACGAGCTCGGCGGCATCAAGGGCCCTCTGTCCATCGTTGCGTCTGGTAAGTCATTCCGTCGTGATGGCCACATATTCGTTTTCAGCTATCGATCCTAATTTGGCTGCAGAAATCGACCAGATCTTCACCACCAAGCTCCGTCACGAGTCCGAGGACATCCTCATCAAGACCGGCCAGCCCTGGCAGATCAACCTGTTCAGCGGTGTCTCGCACGGCTTCGCTGTCCGCGCCGATCTCAGCAACAAGCACATCAAGTGGTGCAAGGAGCAGGCTTTCTGTCAGGCTGTGGTGTGGTTCAACCAGTATCTATAAATAGATTGGTTGGATGGACTGTATATAATCAGTAGATAATGAGTTGATGTGGGGATACCCTTTATTTTTTTTCCCTTTCATCTTTTCTTTTTTTCCTTCATTTTTTTGTGTAAAAAATTATATATTGTAGTATTATTGTAACAATAATGTAGTTGTCTGGTTGTACTGAGTCCTCGGTCGATGAAGGCTTATCAGTCACGTGACGATGATCCGCAACGAGGCCGCTACAGGAGAAACAGGTAAGCCTCATTCCACGTTCTGCTCCTGTCAACCTCGTCGAAAAACCACAATCAAAACCGGTGGGATATCCTGGCTCTGTCTGTCCAGGCATTCTATCGTTCGACTCTTTGCACCGGGTTTGATCTGATTTCCCACTGACAAAAGTTGCCTCTCCTGTCCGACATTCTGTGTCGCGTGCCTTTGTGCCTGTGCCTGTGCCTGTGTCCTGAAGTCCATCCCTGCGCCGTCGTCGGCTGATGCTGGATTGCCGTTACTTGTTATCGTGTCGTTGAGGATTGACAGGATTTCCGAACTGCTTACTGTCCTTTACTCTTGGCCTTGTGCTTTAAGAGGCTGTCGTCCGTTTCTAGGGAACGTTCCCAAAACGAACATCTCGCCCTATTCCGTCGATCTCTCCATCTCCTGTGATACGTCGGGCATTTCCCCATCATATCCTCCCTCCACACGAGTCAACACCGCCATTGCAACGCAGAAACCCGTGCCACATCCTGACAGCCAACATGGCCACACCAACCGCCCTGCCGCCCCTACCCTTCAACCCGTCCCGGGCCCGTTCGTACCTCCTCCGCCTGCCGCTCTTCACCCGACTGGTATTGTTAGCGGCCCTGGTGTTCTGGCTCCTGGAACTGCAGACGGTATGGAGCGTGGTACAATGGGGGGCGTTGACGCCCGATGAGATCAATTTGGGAACGAGTACGTTTCGAGCTGCTTGCCTGTCCCGATGGACTTGTCATGCGCTGGTGCTGACGGTTGAATAGTGTACCGACTCAACACGTACCCGCTGATCCATGTGGGCTTCTTTCATTTTATTTTGAATGCAGTGGCTCTCACGCCGTTGCTGGAGCGCTTCGAGGCTGAGCATGGTACTTTGACGGCGGTCGCGCTGTTTATCGGACGTGGGTGATCCTCTGCTTCGAGTGTGTGATTTACACTAACGGGTGCTGTGTTTAGCGCTCTCTACCCTTCCGGCTGGTCTGTACCTTCTGATTGAAAAGGGTATCTTTAACCGGAATGCCTCCGTCGTGGGAGCCAGGTGAGTCCTTGCGTGTGCACGCTGGCTATGCCATTCTGACAGTTCCAGTGTCTGGGTGTTCCTTCTTCTCGCCTCCGAGGCGATCAGGACCTTCAAGTCCCACCCGCACTTTAGGTAGGATATCCTATTCCATTTCCTGTGCCTTTGCTGACTTTTCAAGCCTTGGATCAACCAAGATCCCGACCTGGACGTCTCCCCTGTTCGTCTGTGCCGTCGTTTCCGCGCTCGTGCCGAACACGAGCTTCCTTGGCCACATGTGCGCGATCGGCGTTGGGTATTTGCGTGAGTTGAATGACCTCTTCTTTGATGTGCTGAGCTAACGTCACGTAGTCGGTCTGGGCTACCTCAAGTTCTTCGTCCCCCCGGAGAAGATCCTCCGCTGGATCGAAGGCAAGCTCAACCTCCTTGGCCGTCTGCCACACTACGTCTCGGTAGACCAGAAGACATTCGGTCGCTACGGGGTGCTCCCTACTTCGGCGCCCGTGGGCGACCGGCCGGTGCCCATGAGCTACCTGCCGACCGCGCAACGCCTGGGACCGTGAAAATGGGAGGTACTGGATGGGGTTATTTTCTTGTGGATATTTAGTATATTAGTAGCATTATCATTGGTATTTAGTTAGTCAGGGCGTATAGATAGGATGGTCTGGACTAGTTTAGTTAATAATAGACAATTGTGCGGGTGGTCTTTTCCGGCTGACGTAAATAGCACCATAGCGCTCTAGTACCTCCGCGGTCTGTTGTCCACCCGCAGATCATCAACAACATCAACTGGGTGTATTTCCCCCGACCGGCACCAATGCAGGGAAGACACTGACCTCATGGCTCTTAAATGTGAGTATCGACAGGATCCGGTGTGTTAGCCGGATAATCCCCCCTCTCACCCCCCTTACTGTTGCTCCCATCTACAACCCCAGATTCCAAACAAGCTGACCCCGTCCCAACCAGCCGCAATCCGCAGTTTGCGGAGCAACCCCCAATTCCTCTACGTGCGCCTCCCCTACCTCCTCTCGTTCCTGTGCATCGTCGCCGGCGTCGTCTGGCTCGCCCTCCTCCCTCTCGACGACTACTCCCGTCGAACGTACATCTCCGAGAACGCCCTGCTACCGGGCCAAGTCCACGCCTACTTCTCCGGCAGCGAACAGAACGTGTTTCGCGGGTATAAGAAGGAGATTGAGAGTTTGCTTCCGGCCTCTTATCATGAGGTGCAGGAGTCGGGTGTGAGGGATGCGGAGTTTACACCGGTGTATGTTCGCCTTCGTCTTCTACCTACCTGTCCACTTGGACACTTGGACACGTTCTACTGGTGTAGACAGGGGTGAGGCTGATCCACGCGCATAGGGTATCCGATAAGATCCAGTCGATCTTGCGAGCTGCGGGATTGAAGGTCGCTACGCAGAGTTACGAATACTCCTCGTCGGGGATCACCCATCAGGGGCAGAATACCTATGCTATTATTAACGCGCCGCGCGGAGATGCCACCGAGGCGATTGTGCTTGTTGCGGCGTGGAAGACGGCTAATGGGGAGTTGAATCTAAATGGGGTTACGCTTGCGTTGACGCTGGCGAGGTATTTTAAACGTGGGTTATTACTACTTTCTTTCATTTCGTTTTGAGGATGTTTTGATGTTTTATTGGGCGATCGCATACTAACTCATGCTCATACAGGCTGGTCTCTATGGTCCAAGGATATCATCTTCGTCTTTCCCCCCGATAGTAAATCAGGCACGCAGGCGTGGATCGACGCCTACCATGACATGCAGCCGGCGTCCATCCAGCCGCTACCGCTGAAGAGCGGTGCGCTGCAAGGCGGCCTGGTAATCGAATACCCCTTCGACCACCGATTCGAGTCGATACATATCGTCTACGACGGCGTCAACGGCCAGCTCCCGAATCTCGACCTATTCAACACAGCCGTCGCCATCGCCGGCGGGCAAATGGGCATCGGCGCAAGCCTACAAGAAATGTGGGACCACAAGAACGACTACCGCGCCCGTCTAGAGACCATCCTTCGCGGAATGCTCAAGCAGGGCCTCGGATACGCCACCGGCGCACACAGCAGTTTCATGCCGTACCATATCGACGCGATCACGCTGCAGCCCAAGGGCGAGGGCTGGCAGGATGAGATGGCCTTGGGTCGTACGGTGGAGAGTCTCTGTCGCAGTCTGAATAACCTGCTGGAGCACCTTCACCAGAGCTTCTTCTTTTATCTGCTTATGCACACTAATCGCTTTGTGAGTATTGGGACTTATTTGCCCAGTGCGATGCTCGTTGCCGGGAACTTCACCATCATGGCTATTGCTTTGTGGATGCGGACGGGGTATTACTCGCGAGCGGCTGCTGCTGCCAAGTCTAGTGATGAGAAGTCTAGCGATGAGAAGCCTAGCGATGGAAAGCATGGCGATGAAAAGTCCGAAGTAGAGCAGAAGTCTTCACAGACCGAGACGAAAGGCACCACAGAGCGACAGCTCGCCCTCCCACTCTCTCTCGTCGTGGGTCTCCACCTCCTCGGCCTCATCCCGCTCTACACCTTCAACAACCTATCCTACAAGGTCAGTTAACATAACCCCCCCACCCCTCAATCCAAAACGAAACCAAATACTAACGAAAACAGTACTACACACCAGCAACATACGCCTACATCCTAGCAGACATCCTCCTCCCAATCTTCCTCTCCGCCCTCCTCACCTCCACCTCAATCACAACCAGCACAAACCCCCACCAACACCACCTCATCAAATCCTTCTCCCTCCTCCCCCTAGGCCTCTTCCTCTCCACCCTCGCCACCCTAAACTTCTCCCTATCATTCATAATCGGCCTCCTCTGCACCCCCCTCACCTTCATCCACCGCATCCCCAAAACCGCCTCAATCCCTGCTCCCCTCCGCTACGCCCTCACCCTAACAGGCCTCATCCTCCTTAATCTACTCTCCCCACCCGTTGTTCTGCTCGCTGCCTGCGCGTACTCCGGGACGTCGGTCGAAACGGTGCTTACGCAGGCTGCGTTCGGGTGGGACGTTTGGGGCATGTGGACGCAGGTTGTTGTTTGGTGTGTTTGGTGGCCGGCTTGGTTGAGCGGGGGGGCTTTGTTGGGGTGTTCGTTTTTTTGAACCATTCTTTTTTATTCTTCGCTTGTTTGATTCATGTGTGTTGATGGGCGGTGGGTTGGGCGGGGGGAGTGGTGCGATTCGATGTGGATTGTTGAGATGGGAGGAGGGGGGAAGTTGAATTAGGTAGTGCCTAGATTGCTGTGGTGAGAGGTGCAGTGCGGGTTGATATCTGTGTGGTTGATGCCATGGTGGGTTGATTGTGCTTGTTGCATGCTGCACCTAGTACGTCCTTGAACTACTGTATAATTTGGCAGTCTTGGCTATTTGCATATATTTATGTTGACGAGAGCTTGACTCGCTCTGTGCTCATTTGTTGGTTCTCTTATGGGTTGCCCAGTAGGTAGGTACCTCCTAGGTACTGTAAAGCTAAGTCGATCGATATCCATCAATTACTAGATCTAAGATCCGACAGTCATACATACATGCGTTGTTTGTATCTTATTTCTCGTGGCCCGAGCCAAACTAGCAAAAGAAAAAAGTAATAGATAACTAACAGCTGCGCCTATGCAGCCCACACATCCTTGCCTACTCCCTCGATCCAGTGACCCAGCTGGTTGACTCCCGCGTCCCAGTCCTTCAGGCGATTCCGCATGCCCTCGATCTGCGTCAGGTCCAGCACCTTGGGCTGCACCCAGTGGATCTGGGCGACCTCGGCGACCTGGTCGATGGCGCCCTTGAGCAGGCCGAGCGACAGGGCCTTCATGACGAGGTGCTCGATCTCGGCGGGCTGGACCTTGGTCTCGGCTGCGATGGAGGCGAAGGTCAGGTTGCGGTCGTGCGGCGGGCGGCGGAAGACCATCTCTGTCAGGGCGGACAGCGAGATCTTCTGGTACAGGAAGAAGCGGTGCTCTTGGAGCAGCTGGTTCTTGGCGATGTTGCCGGCGAGGACGTCGTAGGCGGTCAGGTCGCCGCGGTTGAAGGCGAAGAGGAGGTCGCGGAGCCAGGCGTGCGGCGTGTCGGACATGGAGTCGAGGATCGGGTGCAGGAGGAGCTCGCCGAAGTTGTAGATCGAGTCGGAAATGAGGGCGGCCACGCTGAGGTTGTAGGCGCGCTCGGCGCGCTCGCGCGGGCTGAGATCCTCGATGTTGATGCAGGCTAGGTAGAGGAGGGCATTCTTGTAGTAGGAGGCGAATTCTTGCTTGGCCTATCGTTCTGTGTCAGTTTGTTCATTTTGACCAGAAGGCTAGGCGATGACGTACGTGGTAGTATTCAGCGTTGACCTTGTAGAAGGATGCGTGCACCACTGTCTCGACCGAGTCGAATGTGTCCAGCACCTTCTGGCACACCTCCAAATCCTTCTGGGCACCGTCCAAGTCCTGCAATCGCTGTTTGGTGTTGGCCACGTGGGCCAGGGCGTAGATATAGGCTTCTTGCGTCTCGGGCTTGTTGACCTTGTCGGCGAGGGATGTGAGGAAGGAGAGTTGTTCTTTGTCATCTATATTTCATCGTTTGTCAGATTTATATACTGCTAGTCTCTGGCGCAGATACGAACCGGAGCACTGGGTCGATGCCATCAACCCGAGCGAGACGAATTTGAGTTGATTGATCCGATCGGAGAAGCTGAGGACAAAGGTCTTGAATATCGGTAACCGCTGCGAGGCGCTCTCTGATAGCTTGAAGAACTCGACGAGGGCGTCGGTGAGCTGATGCCATAATTTACGCTCCCAGTAGTCTTCAAAGGTGAGGAAGTAGGGTTGGCACGGTTCGGGAGCTTGCTGCAGCTGATCGGCCAGGAAGTCGGAAATCTTGTGGTTCTCCATGATGGAGATGGTAATTAAAAGCGGGTCTATATCAGGAGTAACAAGGAAGCGAAGAAGAGAAGATGAGGAGAAGGAGAGGGAGGGGTTGGGCAATGATGGATGTCTGGAGTGAGATGAAGCTAAAGCTGAAGCTGGCGGTCATACCTATCGTTGCCGGTTCTCTTTGCGGAAGGCGGTGACTGGCTGACTAACCACCGACATACAGTGCATACTGTATTGTATGAAGTATGACTTCAATCGAATGCTTCTTCTTCATGTCGTCAGCCTCTCGTGGTTTTTTTTTTATTGCTCTAACCTGCTCAGTATGACTCATGTCGTAGCAGTTAAAGGGGCTGAAAAGTAACACAATATGAGCCCCGCCAGTAGAAATCGCCTGATCTTAAAAAGTGTCCGAGATCTCTCCGAGCCATATCTGAAGTTACTATGGGGGATGGTCTATAAAAGGCTCGATCTGTCTCGAGATCCACAGCTAAACACATCCGAGCCAACAAGTCTTTGCTCAATTATTCTATACGCTTTGATTGACCCCAGTATAACCAGCATCAGTCCCATACATCGCCATCATGTCCGACTTTGCCGAGAAGAACCGTCAGGTGTTCGAGTAAGCCGTCCATTGTTTGAGTCTATTCCATGCTCGTGAATCTAGCTCACATCCACAGTAAAATGGCCAGCAGCTACAAGGCCGACTTTGCCGACGCCCTGGTAACTCTCTACCGGTTGATCCAAGGCCGGAGGTCCTGGGCTAGTGACGTGTGGACGGACACTGCAGCTAGTACCGGAAAGGAAATCAAGGCACTTGATTACGCCTGTGGACCAGGCGTGGTCTCTTTGGTAGGATGTCTCTAGCTGGAAATGAGCAAGGATGTTGCTGACAGTCTAGGCATTGGCGCCCTTCATCAGCAAAATCTATGGTCTGGACATCTCTGAAAACATGATCAATGAATACAAATCCAATATCCAAGAGGCCGGATATGGCGACAAGGTGGTCGCCCGTAACGGCGATCTGTTTGCTGAGCCAGTGCCAGCGGAGATCTCTGGACCGGAGTACTCTGACTTTGATCTTGTAGCCGTCAGTATGGCTCTGCATCATTTTGAAGATCCTGGGTTGGCCATGAATCGACTTGCCCAACGTCTCAGACAGGGGGGAGTGTGCCTGATCATCGACATTATACCGGAGGAGCATCATGACCATGACCATGGGCATGGGCATGGGCACGGACATGGACATGGACATGGAGGTCACGGTCATGGAAACCATGGTCACGGCACAGACCCTGGGTATGCTGCCTCATCTACGATCAAGACCCATGGGTTTTCAGCCGAACAGATGAAGAAACTGTATGAAGATGCCGGGTTGACAGTAGGGTTCGACTACCAGGTCATCGAAGAGCCTTTGGTCATGAAGAAGGACGGGAAGCCCCTGGAGAAAACCATCTTCTTCGCACGGGCTCAGCGAGCTTAGACAGTAGGAGTCGGGATGTTTTCAAGCGTGTTAATTTCGATGGAATCCATTAATCGAGTATGAGACATTGTCCAATCAGCGTTCGGGAATAGTCAGACGTAATTCATGAGCTGGGCGGTGGAAAAGTGTAGAACTCGACTGCCGGGCGACACCGAGCGTAATTTTGCAGACAAACTCCTTCATTACCAAAGATTGATCTAACCAATCTTTCAAGAAATTGAACAAGTGTAGAAATTGTAGAAGGAGGAGTGTAGAAACGTGGAGGGAAGTGAGTGCTCGACCTCGTCCGAATCGGGCTAGCGCACAGTCCCGTGCCCGGAGTTTCCATCTCAAACCTCGATCATCCTCAATACAGCTTAGCAGCAGCTGCTCCCTCTCCCCTCTCCAATCCAACCCATTGTTATACAGAGCCCCTCGTTCCGGATTCTATTCGGTGGTCTCATCCGACTCATATTCGCGACAGAGACCATGCAGAAGTGCCGGGCCGCCAATTCCATCCTGGGGTCCAGGGCGTTTGTCCCCGCTCCCCGGGTCCAATTCCAGCTCCAGCGCCGGAATCTCCAGGATGTCGCCATCACAAGGACCGGAAAGCCGCTTTTGAAGGTTCCGGGTGGACGGTAAGTGCTCGAGGAGAGTACCTGGATGGTGGTGTGGATGCTAACGAGCCGTGTAGGTCGTCTCTAGGAGGTATCGCAACCCTTTTCGGAACATGACGACGACCAACAGACGACTGACTGATTGTGCATAGGACATACCGCTACCGTCTTCGGTGCCACTGGTTTCCTCGGTCGATACATCGTTCACAGACTCGGTTCGTCTCATACTGTCATACTGTCGGAGGAGAAAGACTGACCCCGACCAGCTTCGCAGGGATGCACGGTCGTTGTGCCCTACCGCGAGGAGATGGCTAAGCGTCATCTGAAGCCGACCGGTGATCTTGGTCGCGTCAACTTCATTGTATGGTGCACGTGCGATGTTGTTGAATGACGCTGATTTGTCTAGGAATATGACCTGCGCAACACCCAGTCCATCGAGGAAAGCGTGCGACACAGTGATGTGGTCTACAACCTTGTGGGCCGCCAATACCCGACCAAGTTAGTAGTTTGATGGATGTATCGTGGAATATACTAACAAGATAAGGAACTTCTCCTACACTGATGTCCACGTCGACGGTATCGAGCGAATTGTGGAGGCTACCGCCAAATACGATATCGACCGATACATCCACGTCTCCTCCTACAACGCGGACAAGAACTCGCCCTCCGAGTACTTCGCCACCAAGGTTGGTTTCATAGGTCCATACTCACCGTCTCACAACTAAAAATCCGATAGGGATGGGGCGAGGAAGTGGCTCGTTCGATCTACCCCGAGACCACCATTGTCCGTCCGGCCCCCGTGTTCGGTTTCGAGGACAACCTCCTGCACAAGCTGGCCCGAGTGACCAGCTTGTTCACCGCCAACCACATGCAAGAGCGCTTCTGGCCGGTTCACGTATGGACCCTTCCTGGTGTCACGTCACAACCCCTGCTAACGATGTAGTCCATTGATGTCGGAACTGCTCTCGAGCACATGCTGCACGACGACTCGACCGCGGGTCAGACCTTCGAGCTGTACGGCCCCAAGAACTACTCGACCGCCGAGATCGCCGAGCTGGTGGATCGCGAGATCATCAAGCGCCGCCGCCACATCAACGTGCCCAAGGCCCTGCTGAAGCCGTTCGCGTACTACATGAACAAGCTGCTCTGGTGGAACGTGGGGTCCGCGGACGAGATTGAGCGCGAGTTCATCGACCAGAAGATCGATCCCACGGCCAAGACCTTCAAGGACTTGGGTATTGAGCCTGCCGAGTTGGAGAACCTGACTTTCCACTACTTGGTATGATTTACTTTTTTCTTTATCGACAGGTTCCTGGACAGTACTGACAACTCTACAGAAAGGCTACCGTAGCGCCAGCTACTACGATCTCCCTCCGGCGACGGAGCAGGAGCGCGCGGAGGAAAAGAAGTACCTGCACGTTCTGGACACTCAGTAGTTGTTTTAATATGTACATAACCGTTAGAAACTGATTTCTTCAAAACGTAAAACAGTAATATTATAGGCAGTAGTGATAGAATAATAGACAATTGATAATATTAATAAGAAGATCCACAACATCACCCCGCCAAGTACACCACCAGATACCACCACCCAACCCGTATCATTAGACCCTCCAACTCCCCCCCCCTACCTTACCCAAATCCTAGAAAGAAAGGAAGAAGCAGAAAATGTCCCCAAAATACCCCTTCGCAGAACAACATCCCAACAGACCACCCATCCTCCTCCTCAAAACCCGCTCATCCCCGAAAGACACCTACGAAGAGTACTTCTCCGCGCGCGGATACAACCCCGCTTTCGTCCCGGTTCTCGAACATCGCTTTCGGGGGGAGAGTCTTTCTTTTATCAGAGACGTGATTGAGGGGGGTGGCTTCACCACTGGGGTTCATCATACCGCGAATGGGGGGAATGAGGAGGATAGCAATGAGGAAGAGGGGGAGAGGAGTAAAAGATATGGCGGCCTCATCTTCACCAGCCAGCGCGCGGTGGAAGCGTTCGGAGCTGTTCTGGGGGGGATGGATCGTATGTTTCTTTCTTTCTTTCTTTCAGTCTTTTTTTTGCCCTTTCCCTCCTCACTTTATACCACCAATGATAGTATCACTACAGCGCGACTAACACTTGATTGTTGAAACAGAAACATCGTTAACGTCCTCGTTCAACCCTCCCACCTCGAACCCCGCTCAATCCCTCCCAATCTACACCGTCGGCCCAGCGACCTCCCGCGCCATCTCGGCCCTCGCAGAATCGTACCTCCCCAACACAAGCGTCCTCGGCGAACACTCTGGTACGGGGGATGTGTTGGCGGGGTATATATTGGAGCATTATAACAACCTCCATTCTCACCACCACAACGACAACAACAACAACAACAACAGTGATCACCAAAAGAGTGGAAAGGAGGAAAAGAAACCATCCCTCCTCTTCCTCGTCGGCGAGCAACGCCGCGATATCATCCCCAAGACACTTATGGGTGAGGGGACGCCTGCTGAGCGCAGGATTGGGGTTGAGGAGGTCGTTGTTTATGAGACGGGTGTTATGGGGGGGTTTGAGGGGGATTTTGCGGGGGCTGTTGATGCTGGAGTGGACTGGTTGGGTCGTTCGGCTTCTTTGCCTTCTTCGAAGGAGGGGGGGGTGGATGGTGTGGATGGTGCAGACAAAAGGGACGGAGGAGTATGGGTTGTGGTATTCTCCCCCACAGGCTGCGACGCCATGGTGCGAGTCCTCGGCTTGGACGGATCCGGGGAAAGCAAAAGAAAGGAAGGGTTCTATGTCGCGACGATCGGCCCTACCACGCGAGATCACCTGTTGAATAAGTATGGTGTTCGGGCGGATGTGTGTGCGGAGAGGCCGAGTGAGGAGGGGGTTTATACTGGGATTGAGGAATTCATGAGGGGCCGAGGATCTTCTTGATTGTTTCTATCTTGATGATGGGCACCTTGTGAGATGTATTGTGAGATACGCTTGTGTATATGTATATACCCTTTATGTTATGTATGTTATATGAATCATTGAATTGGCTTAATTGCTCAGATTATGTCCAGATGTGCTCGACTGTCCTATGCTTGAATACGGACTCGAGCGAAAAGATCGGCTGTACAATCTCTTGCACACGCAGATTAACCCTCCTTATCCCATGCTACTTCCACTCGGTATCGCGTCATCTACCGCATGATCTCCTCGTAGATCAGGACTATTCATCATTAGTCTCCGTCCATGAGATTAGGGCTCAGGTGATACATACTCTTCAACTGCTCCTTGCTGAGCGCATCCTTGTTCTTGTCGAAATCGAAGAACCCATCCGGGATAGGCGGCGCGGTGGGCTCGTCTTCGGGATCGTGGTACGGTTCCAAATACGGATGGCGCAGCGCTTCTTCCACCGAGATACGCTTGGCTGGGTTGAACGCCAGAAGCTTCTCCAGCAGGTCCAACGCGAGGTCGTTGCTCTTCGGGAACAGCGCCTTGAACGGGATCTTCTTCTTGAATGGCAGAGACCGGATGTACTCCCGAGCCCGTCGGGACTTGATTCCGTAGTAGTCCTCCATCGTTGGTGTCCCCAGGACGTCCAGGATGAGGGTCAATTGGTGGTGGTCTACACACGTTAGCTTGCTGCTGGCCACGGATGGTTGATAACACGTACAGTCTTTCCCTGGGAAAAGTGGCTTGCCGCTGAGCATCTCCGCCAGTATACAGCCCACGCTCCACACGTCGATCGCTTTGGTGTATTCTTTAAATGTCAACATGATCTCCGGGGCGCGGTACCACCGGGTGGCGACGTATTCCGTCATGAAGCCTGAATTATCGTCGGTGGAGGCCGCGGAGCGAGCCAGGCCAAAGTCGCAGACCTTGAGGTCGCAGTTGGCGTTGAGGAGCAGGTTGGACGGCTTGAGATCGCGGTGCAGCACGTTGGCGGAGTGCATGGCTTTGAGCGCCCGCAGGGTCTGGTAGATGAAGTACTGGCAGTGATCGTCGGAGAGATCTTGGGTGCGGATGACGCGGTGCATGTCGGTTTCCATCAGTTCCTAAGTAGTGAGCTTGCGTTCAACCGACGTCGCACCAGGAAGGATATACCTGAATGAGATAGACCTCGTTGAAGCTCTCGTAATTGCGAGGTCGCTGGATGTCCAGAATGGAAATGATGTTCTCGTGGTTGAAATATCGCAGCAGCTTCATCTCACGCAAGGTTCGCAGGCAGAACATGGAGTGATCAAACGGGGTGATCTTCTTGATGGCCACTCGTTGGCCGGAGGGTTTGTGGACGGCGGAGCTAACAATCAGCAGGGGTTGATTCCACTGGGAGAGCAACCTACCAGACAACGCCATAGGCGCCCTCGCCGATGACATCGGAGATTTCATATTGGTCGGAAACGTTGAAGGAGATCTTGCGCGAGCCCCCTTGAGGAGGCAGTTGCTGCACCATTTTGACTATGGTTGTCAGTGTTAAACGGGATGTTTCAGGCGCACCGCGGCGGGGTAGTGATTCAGGAGGTCGGTAGGCGGGTGGACATTGCGCAGTAACGAAGGGCGTAGGTGCAAATGAACATCCTAGAAAGAAGATCGGATCGCACTTACATGGATCCCGTAATAGTGTTCACGGGTGTTGAGGGATTAAGCAATGCGCATGCCCAGATGAGCGGATGGGTTGAGGATGGCGGATGCGGGGTATTACCGGCGATGTGACGAGTGCGGTTGATCGTCAGGCGAGTGGGAAGATAAGACGATGCGAGGAAAGACGTCGACGGTATTCGATCACCGTAATTCGATCGGTTGGGATTATGGGTTGGTTGGATTGGATTCGACGTGTACCGTATGTTGCCTTTGTCGTACACTTCAATAAGTCCAAGATGTTAGAGAAGAGGATAGGCAGGGAGTTCTTAAGGAGGAGATGTGCAACAAGCGAAGTAAACCCCGTCCAAAAAAATAGAGTAAAGAATAGGATAGAATAAGGTAAATAAATAAGAAAAGGGGGAACATACCTCACGCCCGACTGTCTTAAGAAGCCCGATGGGTGTTTCACACGCTTTGTTCTATTTTAATATCTCGATGGCTGTTCGAGTGGTCTGTTGTCAGCTTGAAGGTATTGGTGGATAGCGAGGGTGGAGGGATGAGAACGTCAACGAGGAACGAGGAACGAGAGAATGACAAAGAGAGACAGATCAGGAAGAGAAACCAAGAGAAATCAAGAAGATGATGATGCGGAGGGGCTGGAGAAAGCCAGTTGGGTAGATTGTCAATAGTAATAAGCCGGGTGGGGTGGGGCAGGAGGGGATGTACTTTGATCAGTTTAGGTCCAGTGAACGTGGAACGAATCTCGTCGGATGATTTACAGATAGATGGAGAGAACGATGGAGGGAGGAGGATGGAGTGAAAGAAAGAAAGAAAGATGAAGTCGAAGAGGAGAGCAGAGAGAGAAGAAAGAAGAGACAGATCACGGGATCCTGTACTCATTTAACCAGACTCTCCATATCAAGAATCATATCCTCCATCAACTCGATCAACACGATAATACTGTAGGTACCTGACCAACTGGGGCGCATCGCCCAAACTACGTCTCAACCAGTGTTTCAATCCCCCCCAAACCGCCAATCATCCTGGCGCCTAAGTCCCACTTTTCTTCTCCATCCCCTCTCCCTTCTCCCCTCTTACACGGTGTGTGTTTGATGTTCCAATCTGCTTTGCTCTCTTAACGTGAGTCTGTTCCCCCCTGATCTTCTCCGGAGACTCTAGAGCGACAGTATGCTATCGGACCATGCAAAAAGAGGGGCAAGGCAGTGTAGCGCTAACCGCCCTGTCGACCCAATTGATCACACAGCCCGTCACAGCTCTTCCTGGCCGCTGATTTGCTCTGGCCTCTCTTGGCGGCGTCGTCTAGCTGGGCATGCTAAGCCGTGATCTAAAGTCTACACTGCATGATCGGCCATACAGACGCCCGGACCAATGCAGGTTGTGGTCCAGTCAACGCGAGCGGGATGGGGAGGGGGGACGGAAATAGGTGGGGAGATATTACAGGGAAAGCAAATAAATGAAAGTATGGGAAATAAAGTACTAGGCATGGTGGGATGCCACGAGGATCACGCTTGGCTTCGTGATAGATGTCGGGAAATGGGGTATGATCCTGGTCGGGGAATAAATAAATCGAATAAATGAATAAATAAAGATTGATTGATTGTTGTATCTCTGATATAGGACCAAAATCGAGCGAGCGATCATTACTGAACAACCTGTAATCGCAACATCGTCAGTCGATGTCATAATCGAGACGTAACTACGCAAAGATACCAAAAGAAAAGGAAAAGAAAAGAAAAGAAAAAGGGTCAAACCTTTTCTCGCAACATCCCCATCCACTGCGCCAGGCTGACACTCTGGTCCGCCCGATCCTCCACCAGCATCGTCAGCGCCCACAACCGCAGGCCCGGCTCGCCGTCCTCCTTGACCACGTACAGGTGCGGCACCACAATGCTGCCCGCCCCCTTGGACCGGTGATCCGCGCTCTTCTCCACCACCGCCCGCACCCGCTGGTTGAAGTCGTTGTCCAGGTCCGGCAGGTACTGCTTGCCCACCCGGAGCTGCGACTTGTCCGGCAGCCCGAACACGTCCATGATCAGCTGCGGCACCGCGTCCCGTCCCACCCACAGGAACTGCGTCTGTCCGTCGTCGATCAGATACAGCCCGAACGGCACGATCCGCTCCGACGTTAGGTTCACTGGCGGCGGGAGTACAATCTTCATCTCGCCCGTCACCTCGTCCGGTCGCGGCAATCCCGCGTCGTCGGGCATGTCGTGGAGCGAATACATCCGCGGGTAAATGTATTGCATCAACAGGGGAAGGGGAAGAGTCGACAGCTGACACAGGGCTGCCGATCGCATGTCCGTCGGGATTTGGGCGGATTTCCGGAGGCCCAGCTAGGGAGGTTAGCGTGGTTTGAACAATAAAGAGGGGGGGGGGGGGAAGAAATACATTCTTAATCATAGCGAGGAACAACACAGGAAGGGCGCGGAGGTTGGCCGGGAACTGAAGTCCCCCGCCGCTCACACTCCCACCGGCCAGTTCCTTGCGGTACGTCGCCAGGAGCTCGACCAGCTTGGCCTGGAGGGCTTCACGAGCCGGTTCTAAACCGCTACCCAGCGCCCGCTCCACGGCCTTGTGGCTGAAGTAGGTGGCAATCGCCTGCTGGTCCGCCGACGCGTACAGATCGGCCAGATTCTGGGTGGTCGGCAAGGCCAGGGTCAACACACGGATCCGTCGCTCGCCGTTGCACGTGGTGTGCAGCACGGCCGTCTGCATGCACACGACCGGCTTCGTGACGGTCTCGTCGATGGCGACCTCGACGACGTAGGCCTGGTCGCGGGGGAACGCGGGGAACGCGCAGAGGTCGGAGCTGCGGTTGAAGAAGTTTCCGTAGAACGTGTTCATGCGCAGGCCCGTCGTGGCGCGCACACGCAGCACCGCCTCCAGCCCGATCTCCGAGGACAGGTATTCGGAGAACTCCCGCGCGAACTTGATGGCATCCTCCCCGCGGGCCGCGTTCCACCCCGGGTAAAAGTATGTTTGCCCGCCGGTATACCGCGGCAGGTTGCTGAGCGACGCGACGTCCTGGTACTGCGACGAGAAGAGGAACATATCCACGGAGACCTGGGCTTTGGAGCACTCGACGGCGAAGCTCTTGTAGAAGCTGTTGGCCGTCTGCAGCAGACTGTTCTCCTTGCTGGTGCCCAGGACCTTCTTGTCCTCCCGCATGGTCAACGCGCCGTGTCCAATGTTGGGCAGCGAGGCGCTGAGCACCGTCATCTTTCCGCCGACGGGGGCTATCAGCTTGTAACCCGCGCGCAGCGCCGATCCCATGGCGCAAGAGTTGCTCTGCGTGTTCTGGAACATCTCCTGCAGCTTATCCAGGAAGATCTCGATGTTCTCGCGGCACTCGCTCAAGGTGACCAGGAGATCGGTGGGGATGGGCAGGAACGGTTCGTCCAGGTCGCTGACGACCAGCATGCGGGGGTCCGAGTGCTCCGAGCCGTCGCGCGGGATCGAGAAGTAGTGGAGGCTCGAGTCCACGGCCACGAAGCCCAGCCGGGTCCGTCGGTCCGCGTTGGGGATGCGGTCGAGACTTTCCTTGATGCAGCGCGCGCTCGTGGCCAGCAGGCCGTTGGTGACCGAGGCGTAGCTCACGTCGATCAGGAAGAGGTAGACGAGCGGCTGCGGGGGGCGGACCATGTATTCCTGCGGCGCCACGAACTCCACCACGGACTCGTTCAAATCGGCTCGCAGCGCCCGGTCGGCGGGTTTCTGCAGTGCGGTGTCCCAGTCAAAGGCCTGGGGCACGTCGTTGGTGAGGTTGCACATGTTGCAGCGCCAGCGATGGCCATGGTCGAGGAAGGTGACAAAGGGATTGATGTAGGATCGGCAGCGACGACAGCGCGAGATGACCTGGTCGGGGATGACGGGGACGGTGTCCTCGGAGTCGTGGAGGGCGGCATACGGCTGAATGACGAGGGCGAACGGCAGTTTGGACTTCTTCAGGAGCGAGTGGGTGGTGGGCACGGCGTTCAGGGTCGAGCGGACGTACTTGGAGGGGCAATTGGCGTGGGGAGAGGGGTACACACTGGTCTAGGAGAAGTCAGCAGGAGTCCGGTTTCGCGTGTAACCAAAGGTCGGAAGGCTGGTGCAAGCAAAGCACATACCCCGGGGGGAAGGATGATCGGAGGCGGGGGGAGGTCCAGTTCCGCCACGTTGAAGGGCTGGGTGAGGAGGTCCGTCGGAACGAGCTGGTTGAGAGGAGCGGCCCGCGGGATCTGGGGCTGAGCCACGGGCTGCGGCGGGGGCACGAGATGCGGGTCGGTCATGCCCATTGCGCCGAATTGCTGGGTCATCTGGGCGACGGGGGCGACGGGGGCCGCATAGCCGGGAGCCTGCATGGCGGCCGGGTCGGCGCCATACATGGGCTGTTGGTATCCCGCCGCTACTTGCGGTTGCGGTTGCGGTGGATATGCCCCATAGCTTCCTCCAGCCGGCAACTGACCTCCCAGAGCCGCATTGGCGCCGGAACCGAACTCAAACGCTTCTCCCGCATAGGCCCGCTTCTTGCGTCCTGCCGCATGGCCATGGGGAGCGGAGCCGGGGGGCATGTCGGGCTGCTGCTGCTGGACGGGAGATCCATAGCCGGGCTGAGCGTACCCTCCTTCCTGGGGCGGATAGCCCCCTTGTGGTGATGCCATCAGGGGTGATGTGGGGGGTCGACGAATGATATGTGATGAGTGATGGCGAAACTGTCTTTCAAGGTTCGAGAGGTATGCTGAATGGGTGGACGAGATCGTGTCAATCGTTACCGGTTCACTAGAGGCATCGGCGGTCAACACTGGACACACAGACTTCCTGATGTGGGAGGGGCAGGGGGTGAGGGAGAGAGAGAAATGGGAACTACCAGAAGAACAATCCGACGATCAACCTGACATGTACCACACGTCAAAGAAAAAGCGGACCAAGAAGCCACAGTCCACCAAACAGACTGGTTGTGGGGATAGATGACAAGGGGGAGTTCACGGAGGTTGAATTGACAGACAGTTGTGATAATGATGATGATGATGCTGGATCAGTCAGCCGCGGTTTGGTCTACGGTGGCCTTTGCGGCGGCTGCCCTGGACCAATCAGCGGGCGGGTTAGCCGATGTACCAGTACCTATCAAGTACTGGCAGGTACCTGCGAAGTACCTCCCTACAGTACCTAAAAAGTATATAACGTACTAGGTATGATTTAGGTACTTTTCTGGTCTCTGATGTACTGGGTACCTAGTATATTCCGATGGTCTAGACACTGGCTACTACATACATAATCACCACGCAAACGATGAGATGGAAATACAAGACCGCTCTCAGCGAGAACAGCTTCGCACCTGGGGCAGCATTCCTCGACGGTACATCGTGTGTGCCCACGGCCACAGGTCGTTTCCTGTCGCTATCACCGCTGGCAGCTCGGGATTGCTGGACGCCGGCAAGATAGGCAGCAAGTTCACGTCTCGGACGTATTTGGCGAGCGAGAGACAAGGCGGTATCACCATCGTAATCTACATGCTCGGGGTCACAGCCATGTTGGACGAGAATACGTGCAATATCAGCGCTCTGCGCGAGATACAGTGCCGTCTGGCTGTGGTGGTTAACCTTTGAGACCATGTCCAGGTTGCTCTGCGCGAGCAGCGCTGAGACAACGTCTCGTTGGTTCGCAGCGGCGGCGACGTGTAGGACTGTGTCCCCTGTTAAGATGTCCCTGTGTGCAGCATCAGGTCTTGCGGCTAGGTCTTTCAAGAGGGTCCAGTGGCAATTTCTTGCGAGAGCTAGCGCAGGGAGATCGGTGGTGGCTGGATTTGCTCGGCGGCTGTGTATCGCTCTCTGGGAGAAAGCTGTGATGACATCGCTCTGGTCCGCGAGTAAGGCTGTTTCGTAGGGGGTGCATCCTCTCACGTCGACTCTGTCAGGGTCTGCGCCGATATCGAGCAAGGTCTTTGCGGCGCCGGCCGCACGGGTACTTCGTGACAGGCTTGCGTAGTGCAGCGGTGTTAGTCCGTCCTCGTCTGGGGCGTTGATGTCGGGTGTGCAGCCCGTTTTCTGGCCGAGGGCAACGTGGAGGTGGCGGATGATCTCTGGGTAGGCCGCCGCACTTGCGAGATGAAGAATACGCTTCTCAGATACAAGATCCAATGAATCAGTATTCAGTAAGGCCTTGACTGCTAATGAGTTACCGGTCGCAACTGCTAGAGCTAGGACTGTTCTTCCGGTGCTGTCTCTGGTGTTAGGGTCGGCACCCTGCTCCAGCAACAGGTTCAGCATACAGTCCCCTCTCGCTTGCTCCAGAGGCCTCTGAGAGCGATACCAGCTTCGCTCTCTATAAACAGCGAACGATACAGCAGTGCGGTCATCAGCGTCGCGGGCGTCAAGATCAATCGCGTCGTTCCTTAGCAGGCACCGTACGAGGTCATGATGGCCGTTTCGGACGGCAACCATGAGCGCCGTTCTGCTCTTCCTACCCACCCTGGCATTGACGTTGACCTTTTTTGTCTTGAGAAGCATGTCCACAATCTCGATCCGTTGCCTCTGTTCCTCGTCCAGGCGCGGTGTCTTTGTCCGGGGTATTCCCTGGATACTATCAACGAGCGTCACATCTCCTATCGCTACATCCAGTTTCAAAAACTGCTCTACCGTGTCGCTATGTCCCTTGAGGCAGGCATAGCGCAAGGGAGAGCACCCATGTCGAGGCTCATGGGCGTCCAGGCTGTCGCTTTTCAATCTGCACACCAGACCTGCCAGGCCGAACCAGGCGCAGAGATGAGCTGCGCTGACACCTTCGTAAATAAAGGTGCCCGGACCCTTCAGCCCCAGACTGGCACGATTAAGCTTTGCGACGAGCTGGGTATCCTGCAATAAACGCCATGCTTTGCCCTCGAGTGTAGAATCGCCCTCTAAGGCAGCCAAGCGAACATGGTCCCCCCCATGCTGCAAGGCATAGGCCAAGAGCGGATACGACTCGAGGCTCTCACAGTGTGCATCAAACTGCTCGTGGCGGAAATAGTCCATGCAAAGCGAGGCCATTGCAGAGTTTGCATTCTTCAAGCGCGGCTCATGTTCAAATTCGCTGAACACCGGCCTCAGCGTATCGTGAAGCAGCCGCACGAACGAATGTTTCACGTCTCCCTTGTCCACGGTAATCAACCCGTTCGTCGCGCGCAGAATATACGTCCTCGGATGTAAGTTCAGGCTCCCGATGTCGCCGGAATCGCTCGTAAGCGCCAACGCATGCTGTATCGCGAGAAGCGGCAAAGCCCTCAAGGCGACGGCAACGTAGGTGAGCGTCTGGAATGCAACCTCGAGCTCGGGTTCATCTTTGTACAGCTTCAAGGTCTCAATCCTTCCTTTGCAGTACCCTTTCAGATGACCAAATGGCATGTAGTCTAACTCGTCGAGCAGCTGCTGCTCGGTCTTTGGCTTCACAGGCAGACTGAGCAGTTTCTCTGTCCAGAGTTTCGCGAGGAGGAACTTTCCTTGTGCTTTGGATGCAATAATCTGCGCCACCTCGTGTAGCAGATCGGGATTATTATGCAGATAGCCGACCGCTGCAGGCTCGTGCGGCGGAAAGTGATGCAGGCGCGCGTCACGAAGGTCACCGCACGACCTGGGGATGTGTTTGAGTCTGCTCTGGCAGTATAGACCGAGTTCCTCGTCCCGAGCGCGTACTTCTACCCGAACAGTATCGTACTCGGTGCCCTTGTGATCCTGAGGACAGGCTTTCCCCGTGTCCTTACATGCCAGGCAGACATCAAAGTCGCCATCGTTGCAGTCACAGTGGAAGTAGACAGCGATATTCTGCCGATTGCAGATATTGCAGAATACCACCGCAGTGGTCTCTCTGTAGCCGAGCGATGTTGTGAGAAGGCTCAGCTGAAATCCATCCTGGATAAGCTTCATAGGATAGATTTTCGCAACGTCAACAACCTCGGCGGAGCACTGATTGAGTCCGTCTACGATCAGGTACGTCCGGTCGAACTTGGCTAGGAGCTCCTGGAGGATCTGTTTGAGAAATGCCTCCGTCCGCGGTGCGTGGCTATCGTGTGCATCCGTGAGAGTCGATGGGAGCTTGGCCTTGGGGTCGAATTGGATCAGCTGTCGGACTATGTAGCCTAAGATGGTGTCTGGTGTTTGCATCTTGCGTATACTCGGCTGATCACTTAGATAGATGGCGATGACAGGACGCGATGGGAAGGATGTTCGGAGGTGTTTCACAATATTCGCGCATAGATCGGTCTGTTCAACGAATATTAGTACAATGGGTTTATTTATTTTCCTTGTCCTTTCTTCTCTTTCTTTCTGTTTCGCAATTCCAATGGTCGTGACAACATGCCTTGCCAGTTCCAGCCTCACCACAAAGTCTGAGCTGCCAGCGACCTCCATCAGTCCACCGTTTAAACTCTTCCGACTCCACTAGCCACTGCCCCGTAGCTACGAGATTGCGGTTCTCCGTCGGGGTCTCTAAAGGCGAAAGCCATTCTAAGATCTTGTTCCGTTGAGCAGCATCAAAAACCGTTTCGATCCTACGCATGGTATCATTTACTATAGGCTCAAAAATACATGGTCAATGGAACTTTCCGATCCAAGCAACGCTCGTGGCTTCTGCCCGGCGCCCTGCACATGAAGTTGCAACGTACACTGCTTGCTCGCCGACTCCGATTCTTCCACTACCTGAGGCGAGATCACACCAAGAAGATCCCTGGCGTACGCGGCCGCCGTCAAAGCAGCATATGGCTGCCACTGCTTGTTCTTATGAGTGTCCGCATAGTCCGCGATCCCGCAGATCGCAAGGCAGGGGAACCTGTTCGCGAGGCCTGCCGCCTCCATCTCAAAGCAGAGAATCTCGTGTCTCTCGTGCATTTCATCGCGCAGCTCACCGTCCCGCAGAAGAGTGTCCGCCGATGCGACAAGTCCGTAGTGCACGGAGGGCGTCGTTCTCGATTCGCGGTCCGTCACCAAGTGTGTGCGATCGCATTTGTCACAGCAATTGATACCGCTGTCGGCGGCGTGGTGATAGGGTGCTTGGAAGAGCAGATCGCGCTCGCGACCCGGGAAAGAGAAGATTACTTCTCCTTTACGGATGTTTTCTATTGCCCGGGCCATATACTCTTGCATCTTCCCTCTCCCGTCGTCATGGTTCAACTCGAGCTTTCCGGTGGCAGATATCAGCAATGTCTGGGGCCGGTTCAGATGCGACTTGATCTCGTATCTGCCGGGGTATTTCGTGCCCTGGTCATACTGCAAGATCCCGCCTGCGAGACATCCGAATGTCCATTAATATCTGCCTGTGATGAACAGTCCACGAGAGCATGGCACTTACCATGGCCACCATCTGGTCTACTTATCACCACATCGCCCAGGAGAATATCATTGGGAAAGCCGCGCGGATCGGTGGCATTGACAGCACCGCCGGCGATTCCTACCTTCAACCCGAAGCGGATCTGCGTGAACGTGCGGATCATGTTGACGGCGGCTTCGGCTAGAGAGGCACGACCCTTGACAACTACCCCGACGATGACAACGTTGTGCTCTCCCATGCGGCCCAAAAAGTACGAGTTTTCGTCATAGGGGGTGTTTGGTGGGTTGTGCTCTTCGTCGAGCATGGCTTTGGCCGCCTGGACCTCGACCCGGAGAACGCAGAACCACCCGACGGTGTAGGCTTCGGGGCTGAACGTGGCCATCTTTGAGAACTTTTTTGCCCCTCATGCACCGTTTGATTGCTTCTGGTATATGAGGTAAAGTGCAAGGGGTCAGAAAGGAAGAGTCAAAGGCCAGGCTGAGACTCTTCGCAGAGTCAAGGGATGGGTGGGAGACGAAGCAGACGACGAGGCTGACGGTACATGGTTTCATATCAAGGGATCTAGTCAAATACGAAGTGGCACAGTCACATACAGGGATGTAAGTTGGGGGTATGTCACTCCGTCTAAACCGTTTGCATGTAAGGATCATCGGCATCCCCGACCCAATCCTACTATTCTAGGTAAAATGGAATGGGCGTGGCACCAAGGGGAAGGGGCAGATCCCCCACGATCTACATTTTTTCTCTGTAGCGTTCTCGGCAAAACCCAAAGTCAGGGGTCAACGGGCCGTGAACGAGGCGCACCGAAGGAAGAGGGTGTCCCTGGCCCAGCAGATCATGCTGCTAGGGTACCAGCGAGGCTGATACCTGAGGCCGTGAATGAGATATATCAAAGAAAGAGGTTATCCCTGGCCCAGCAGATCATGCCACTGGGGTACCAGCGAGGCTGTAAGTCATGCATGTCACTTTCCCACCTTCAGGTCAGATGCACGGTAGCCTCGTCTTTGTGAAACATTCCCCACACGAGGCTGATACCCGGGGCCGTGAATAAGATATACCAAAGAAAGAGGTTATCCCTAGCAGAGTAGATCATGCTGCTAGGGTACCAGCGAGGCTGTGAGTCATGTATGTTACTTTCTTACCTTAAGATTAGATGCACAGTAACCTTGTCTTAGTAAAATATTTCTCACGCGAGGCTAATACCCGGGACTGTGAATAAGATATACCAAAGAAAGAGGTTATCCCTGGCAGAGTAGATCATGCTGCTAGGGTACCAGCGAGGCTGTGAGTCATGCATATTACTTTCTTACCTTAAGATTAGATGCACAGTAACCTTGTCTTAGTAAAATATTTCTCATGCGAGGCTAATACCTGGGACTGTGAATAAGATATACCAAAGAAAGAGGTTATCCCTGGCAGAGTAGATCATGCTGCTAGGGTACCAGCGAGGCTGTAAGTCATGTATATCACTTTCCCACCTCGATGTCAGGTACACGGTAACCTCATCTTAGTGAAACATTTCCCACGCAAGGCCGGTGCCTGAGGGCTCGAGAGCCTTGAAAGAAAAAAGCAACAAGTATTACGACTGGGAGATGAGGCAGGCTGAGGTTGGAGTTATAAGAGACAGTGCGCGTTGTTTGCTAGTGATAGAAGAACACTCCTCATGTATCGACGAGATAGGAGCCCATAATGCGCAGATTTCTGTTTTTGCTGAGCCTTACACCGGTGCTGGTGGCATCGGCGCCTTCCAGCACGTCTGCTGCTACTCCCAACCCAACCGTCTGCGGTGACATTGCCAAGAGAACATGCAAGTCGTCCTATCCATAACTTCCCAGGATGCCGAGCTGACGACAGCCACTATTCACCAGCTGGTGGTGTGTTTCCCGCAAGAACGGTGTACGATTGTCTAACAAGCGTCCCCTTCAATCCCGCGGTTGGCAGTCGGTTGCTCAAATACGTCAACGACACGGTTCAGTTCCATAGCACGCTTGCTTACCTCGCAAACCCCCCACCGGGCTATCAGCAGCCCGGTGTTGACTTGGTGGCAGGGCTTTCTCAGCTTCAACGTAATATTGACGAGGGGGCTTTCGTGAACGAATACGACTTCGAGGCAGCGCTCCACCGGCTGCTCCACGCCGGCCATGATGACCACCTGCGCCTAGCCGGCGGGATACTTTCTCCCTTTGCCTTTGGCTCTCCACGGGCGATTGCATCCGTGTCCCTGGATGGAAAGGAGCTGCCCAAGGTCTACTTCGCTGGTAGGTTGCTGTACCTGGGTCCACTGGTCTATCTCCCAGCGCTAACGGGATCATGCTCTAGAGGACCTCTTTGCCTATGAAGCAAGTGATGGCTCAAGTGAGCCCTCCGCTATTGCAACCATCAACGATCAAGACGTTGTCGAGTACCTAACAGAGTTTGCCGCCGTCAATGCCGCCGGCAAGCTCGAACCGCACGCGGAGTGGAACATGCTGATGCAGAGCGGTGCACTGGACATCCAAGGTTACTTCGAAGTCTTCTACAGCGGCGCGACTTTCTATCCGGGCGAGTCGATTGCATTTGGCCTCGAAGATGGAACAGTCTTAGAACCTGAAGATTGGGACGCACTCTACTTCAGTCCTGGAAACACCGGGCCGCTGGAGACCGGGGGCGATTTCTACAACTTTTTTGTCCTGAACCGCTTACCGGCCTCCTACACGGAGATGCCCGAGCCACCCAGCTCGAGTACCCTGATTGCAGAAGACACCACCTCCTCATCTGCCGCACCGGCTTCCAGTCCCACGGAGTTGCCGGACACAGCGTATCCTCGAGCCCCAGATGTCATGCAGCCCGGCGGGCTACTCAGAGGGTATTTCTTAAACGAGTCGTCTCTAGCAGTGCTCACCATTACCCAGTTTGACTCGTCTGTCGGGATATCTAATTCGTTCATCGCCACAGTGTGGCAATTTCTTCAGCGCAGTCGGCGGGCAGGTCTGCGGAAAGTGGTAATCGACCTGCAACAGAATTCCGGCGGGCATCCTCTTCTAGCATTGGAAATCTTTCGGCTGGTGAGTTGAGCCTTCCCTGATATGTACCCTGTGCTCATGAGCTGCGAACAGTTCTTCCCGTCCATCGATCCATTGGCAGCAAGTCGTCGACGCGCCCATCCGATGGCGGACGCTCTGGGATCTACTTTGACTCCGTACTGGCAGAACCTGACGACGAACCACAGCGCCTACTCTACCCTGTTGACTAACGAGTGGGTCGTCGCTAGTCGATTGGATGCAGACACCGGCCAGAAATTCACAGCGTGGGACGATTACTTCCACTCGCCAGCTTCCTACGGTGGTGATCACTTTACAAACTCGGAGCGATACGATCCATTAAACCACTTGTTTGCCTTGGAGGCGGCCGGCATCACCACCGACAATCTCAATTCATCGCATTCCACCCAGCCTTACGAGGCAGAAGACATCATAATACTCACCGATGGTCTCTGCTCGTCGACATGCGCACTATTCACGGAAATGATGCACCATGAAGCTGGCGTCCAGACCGTCGTAGTAGGCGGCCGGCCCAACCCCGGACCCATGCAAGCCGCCGGTGGCACACGCGGTGCAGCAAGCTACAGCGCCAGACGTCTCGACCGCGACATCTCAACGGCCCAGAAAATCGACCGATCCACGCGCGGGCAGTTTCCAGACCGCCGGTATGACTTCTTGATCACCGGACTCACAATCAACCTACGAGACCAGATCCGCTCCGGCGATGACGAGGCATCTCCCACCCCGCTGCAATTCCAGTACGAGGCCGCCAACTGTAGGATCTTCTACACTCCGAAAACATGGTACAACTACACTAATTTGTGGACGTATGCCGCGGATGCAATTTGGTCGGATCCGGGACTCTGCGTCGCGACCTCCACGGATGACCATACGCACCCAGCGCCCCACCGGCAACCCTACACTGTCGATACCACCAAACCAGGCACGTCCAAGCCTGTCGATTATCCTCCACAGAGCAATGACCCCTCCAACGATATCTTCTCTGGGGTGCGCCATACGACAAACTACGATCTACGTCCCTGCAACGAGGACAGTGACTGCACAGGCCGCCACTTGTGCCGAGAGGTCGAGGTATGCCAGAATGGAGTTTTAAAGCCCTTGACGCGCTGCATCCAGTCCTGCTCAAACATACATGATTCGTGCGATTACGGGAGCTGCAAGTTCGACAGGATCAGGAGCGTCTTTTGCAATGGTCTCAGTAAGCGAGGTATAAGATCGAAAGGCTGCCATGACCCCGGCCTTTGTCACACACCAGTGAATTCACAGTGTCTTTACATGCAGCGTGACACCGAGACTTATAGGGGGGAGTCTGACCAGTGGGTGAGAAATTGGTCAAATCTGGCCAACTTCCGAGGGTTCGATGCTTGCGATGCGTATAATGGGTTCGAATATTGTTACACGTTGGATGGGAAGAAGAGCAAGATGTTTTCTTGGGAAGATGGGCTCAATAACGGTGAATACGTTGTGCATGATGGGGAGGACGACCATGATGGATTGGGTTATGTTTGAGAGACCATGTATGTTATATGAGGTTTTCGTAATTGAGGGAGTCATTGTTGTATTATCTTGCAATATATATTCTTACATCTCCTTTCTGTGAGTCTATGAAGATTGAGACTCGATATACAAATGATTGATGGTAAAGTGGTTACCGGGCCAACCGCATTGACCGCCACGGACCACACAAGCAAACCATCCCTGTCAGCACGGCGACTCCAGTTTTGACGTCTTTGACAACCTCATCTCTTCTCTCTGGGTCCAGCGTTGATCAGTTCGGTTTTCCTTCTTCTTGACTTTTTTTTTCTCTTTTCCTTTTTTAACTTTTCTTTCGGTACATTTGTTGTCCATCTTTTTTTTTTGGCTTTTTTATCGTCTTTCTCCCACGAGCCAAGCAGTTCAGGTCTGTCCGTGGTCAATAATACTTGGCATCGAGCTGTCGACAAAGCTTGAATTTGTTCAGGGGAAGATTTTTTTCGATTACTATTGCGGAATTACCGAATTCATGCGACAGTCTTGATCTCAACTAGACAGAAGGTCAGCGTGGGAGGTCATCCAAGGCATCAATCTCGGTCTCGATTCCCCGAAGGACAGAATATATATTCGATATAAAATGAGCGTTCGCGTCGTCGCGCGGGTTAGGCCGCTTCTCAAGTCGGAACGAGAGTTGGACATCATCTTGCGCACCGATTCTTCCAACCAGACCGTTCCCAAGAGCGACCACACCTCCGAGGACAGTGCGGCGTTGAAGAAACTCAGAGATCGAAACACAGTCGTGCGGATACCGAACCCCAAGAACGAGGGCGAGGAGTACTCCTTCCAGTTCAATGCCGTCTACGACGCCGACGCGCCGCAACAGGAGCTCTTTGACGCAGAGGGTGCGTGGTCGAGAACGCTGTCAACCCCCGTGGTGTACTAACCATCTCCACAGTGGCTCCTACGGTTAAACACCTATTCAACGGACGCGATGTCACCTTGTTCGCATACGGTGTCACAGGGACAGGGAAGACGCACACCATGCGAGGCGGTAAAAGCCTGGCCGACAGGGGCGTCATCCCGCGTCTCCTGAGCACCATCTACCGACGCAGCCGGAAGATCGAAAAAGACAGCCATGGGGAGAAGTCCGTTCAGGTCTCTCTGACGTACTACGAGATATATAATGACAAGGTCTTTGACCTGTTTGAGCCCCCGGAGAAGAGGACCCTGGCGGGACTGCCGCTTCGCGATAACGGGGGGAGAACGGTGGTGGTGGGGTTGACGGAGCGGCCGTGCTCGAACCTGAAAGATTTCGAAATCCTGTATGACCAGGCGAACACGAACCGCTCCACGTCGGCAACCAAGGTGGGTGTCCTTCTCGCTGTTCATGAACCTGTGCTAACTGTCTTGGTTAGTTGAACGCCCACTCGTCGCGATCGCACGCGATTCTAGGCGTGAAAGTCGCAATCAGCTCCGAAGAAGAAACCCGCGTGAGCACAGTGTCGGCGATTGATCTGGCCGGCTCAGAGGACAACCGTCGCACAGACAATGATAAGGAACGCATGGTCGAGTCGGCCAGTATCAACAAGAGCCTTTTTGTGCTGGCCCAGTGTGTCGAGGCCATCAGCAAAAAGGCCCACCGCATTCCCTATCGCGAGTCCAAGATGACCCGGATCTTATCCCTGGGTCAGAACCACGGCCTCACCGTGATGATCCTCAACCTGGCCCCCCTGAAGTCCTACCACTTGGATACGCTAAGCTCTCTCAACTTTGCCAACCGCACCAAAAAGATCGAAGTGCGCGAGGTGGAGAATGAACCCATGTTCAAGGGCCCTCCGAGGCCGTCGATGCGACCTTCTCTGGCAGCCCTGCGTCAACCCCTGCGGCCGCTGACAGCGTCTGTCAACGCCAATCTTGGCGCTACAGCGGGCAAAGATTCGGAAAAGCCTGGCGAAAAACCCGTCAAGGCGTTCAGTGTCTTTTCGGACAGACAGAAAAGAATCTCTGCCCAGTTCAAGAAGCCCGAGGTCCCGAAACGGCCCTCGCTGAGTGCAGATGCGCCTGCGCCTCGTCTACCGAGGGCCACTCGACTTGGTCAGCCGGCCCTCCCGCAGAGGAGCTACGACGAGATCTCGTCCGCCAAGATCGAGGAGATGGTGGAGAGAAAGGTCGAGGAGATCCTAGCGGTGCGGGCGGTCAGCGAGCAGTCGCGACAGACCCAGGTCCGGGAATTGAACGAGCAGATGCGCAAGCGGCTAGAGCAGCTCGAACAGCGCATCGAGGGCTCTGAAGACGCCCGAGCCGAAGGCCTGTCCTACCTTCTTATGGCAAAACAGCACCAAGGACGCGGGGAAGACGCCTCCGCACTACGGATGTACCAGCTGGCATTGCCATTCTTCCCCGACAACGAGAAGCTAGCCGCGAAGATCTCGAAGCTGCAGGTGCGCACCCACGGCCGGTGCGTCTCCGAGACCGACACCACGACCTCATTAGCCCCACCGAGCACCAAGAAGGCGCTCGGCAGCATGCTCTCCCTCAACAAGCAGCCCACCCGAAGCAGCAGCCTCAAACGCTCCGCTTCGGACTCCGACGCAGACTACGAAGAGGCCGAAACCTTCTCCCATCTTAGCGACGACGACGTCCAAGAAGTGACCCGCTCGCGCCGCCTCAAACGGAACAAAACCAGCCCATCCGTCGCAGACGAGGAATCCGCGCTCGCAGACGACGAACCGGCTCCTTCGCCGCGCACCATCCACCTTCTCTCCGTTATCAACTCCCGCGACGTCAGCCAGATCAAGTTGCTAAAGGGCGTTGGGGCGAAAAAGGCCGAAGCCATCGTCGACTGTCTCTGCGAGATGGACCACAACGAGGATGAGTCGCAGTCTCAAGCGCAGATGGAGATCCACAACCTTGTGGAACTGAGTAAGTTGAGGGGCGTGGGTGTGAAGAGCGTGGAGACTATGAGGAGTGGGTTGTTGGCGTAGTCTTCATTTCACTTGCTTGCCTGGGTTGATTTGTTGCTTGGTCGGTTGATTGATTGGTTTATTTATTGTTGCGCTGATTGCTGCATTGGTTACTTCGTGCATCATGCATTTGACGGGGGATATATATGCATTTTGGTGATAGCGAGGGTGTTGGGGTGTTCTTTTCTACCTTCTTCCTTTTCTTCCTTCTTCCTCTTATTAGCTTTTGTTAGGTGTGTTCCTTCTTGGGAATATGTCTATACTCGCACATGCAATACAATACGTACCATTTATGCATTCACTTCTCAACTAGTATACAAATAGTTAATTTATCTCATTAGCAATACCTATCTCCTCCATGATAAAAACCACCTCAACAACAATAGATACCTAGGTACCTACGTAGTATCATATATCCAACAACCAGCCATCCCCTAAGTTTAGTACCTAGGTAGTTAATAGTGAGTTAGTAGATACCCCATCAACTCCGTGCTTGCTTGCTATTCTGTGAGATCTTGGTTATTCCTGGTACAACTTTGGGCGGTTGTGCTATCTACTCAGACTCATCATGGGTTAAGCATGCCATGTTCTCATCCGAACTGAAAGAGGGAACACTAGCTGTAATGCAGAAAACAAGAAAAAAAAAATATGGACGGTCACATGCGATTAACACAAACCATCTATAATACATGATTGAGCCTGCAATGGGAGACTTTCCAAAAAAAAAAATCATGCATCAAACGCACGATGAATCCACAGCCCATATCTACTGCGCCTTGATCGGCTTTTCGAAAATCACCTCCCCGTCCTTGGTGATATCAGCAATCCGTTGCGCCGATCCCTTGATTTCCATTTCCACTTCCTCGATTGTCCGCGGCGGTACGGGTGCCACGGTGATGTCTCCGACGATCTTCTTGCCTTCCTTTTCCTGTTCAGACTTCGGGCCGGTGGTTAGTCCGCGCGGGGTGTCTGCGATCTCGTTCACCTGCTGGGGGGTCAGGATGTCGTTGAGACGGGGCCCGCGCGTCTGGATGAGGATGTTGGTGGGGCCGTCGAATTGGAGGAAGAGCTGTTCACGGTGAGTGTTTGATCTTTGGTGGGATACTAGGATGGGACGAAAACCTACTCTGTCGCCCCAGATGGTCTTTCGCGACCAGGTGCGGAGGGTGTGCAGCACTTTCATGGCTGTCTTCCAGGTGTCAGAGTCCGACATGGACTGGATGAACTTGGATTTCTGGATGAACCCGGGCCAGTTCTTGAGTCCCGGGATTTGGAAGTTCAAGGTGGTGGACTTGAAGCGGTAGGGACGAGGGGGGTTCGAGCTCATGGTGTACGCGACGACGTTGCTGGTATGTGTTAGTTGATACTATGGATTGAATGGCGTAGTCATACCTAGGATGAGCGATGTATTGCTCCCCCGCCTTCAGTTCAACGTTGTATAGTTGACCGTTGCCAACGAGTGCCATGAGTCCTCGCCCTGTGACCTCGGAGTTGCCCCAGTGAGCCAGACTCTTCGCGGGGTTAGTTCGAGTCTCAAACGGGGCGGATAAAGGGTCGTAAACAAACCAGGTTCGTGTTTAGGGTCGGTCGAATAGTGAGAGACCGTCCGGTCCAGGCCAGCAGCGCGCGTCGCTGGGCCACGATCCAGTCCACGGAGCCATTGAGGTGAACGACAGCAAAGGATGTGTTGGGAGACCGGACCGAGACCAGAGCCGTCACCGGGCTGGCCGAGGATACCTTCTGGTACAGGAACGGAATGCCGACAGCGGCTCTCCGAAAGGGCTCCAGCGCACTCAAGGACGAAACCACCTGTGGGAAGTGACCGTTAACGATTGGTCGTAATCATTGCATGGGGAGCTCCATACATTATCCGCCTTTCCGCTTAACCCAACCAGTGTCCCCCGTCGTGTGTATAGTTTTTGTGAAGCGGATAAAGAAACCGATAGCAGCGAGTATGGCGCACCGACGACATCAAACCGAGCGTCTGCATTCTTCCTGTTAGCAATTCGCTTCATTCGCCCGCGTATAATCCCCTCATTCCATTACCACCGCTGAACCAGACAAAAAGAACCACAGTATAACATACCCGCCGACTCCGCCGAAGCAGGGGTGCTCGTAATAGGCAACCCGTTGCCGCTCGTCGCAGGCCGTTCCGAGGGCGTCGCGCGAATTTGGATGGACCGGGACTGCCACCCGCGGCGCGCCCATGTCCCTTGTCGCACGCGGGGAAGAGCCCGCACGCCACTCCGCAAAGATTGACTCTGACTCATTCTGGCAATGGAAGCAGAGAGGGAGAATGGATTGGCGGGAAGGGGACGAAGTTCACGAGAATGAGAGATTCAAGATCGTAGGCGGTCGGAAGCAGCAGATTGTTCGATGAGCTCACTCGTCACCTGATCGGGAATAGTGTCGTTTTGAGTTGGACAGAATCAAGTAAACAATTCAATCATCATCCAGATGTTGTATACGAGTTTAAGTGGATTGATTGAAAACACACTGGTTATATTTTAGTGAGGTAGAATGTTCAGGATCATCAGGACAAGCTATTTGATATACTACATGGACATACATCATTCAGTCATCACTCGTGGAGATCACTCGAAATGTATTGCTTGATCGGTGTCATTGTATATATCTAGGTCGATACTCACTCAAGAAAAGAAAGAGAGAGGAGGGGCTCATGGAAGTAGGGTCAATAAATCGTAACCAACATACTCGGTATAAGGTTAGATCAAGAATTCTACTATACCACCCAAAGTCAGGATTGCGATTCTGCAGTAGGGAGTTTCTCAAATAAATATGATAATCTTGAAACCGGACGAATTTAGGATCCTCTTTTCAATACGTGTCAATCTCGAGTCAACCTGTACCAATGGTTTATTGAAGATCTGCTAGAAGCTGAACGGCCTGTCGAGCTGCGTGTCAAGTGCGCTTTCGAAATGTTCCAGTCGCTCTGGTGGTAGACAGCTGCGATTCCTAATTCCAAGCAGACACGATACTCTGCACAACACTTGACCAATTGACCGGATGGCGTTATATTTGAACTCGCTTTGGCTTTGGACTAGCTCTCAAACCAGCGACCTCCGGGCCGGGAGCCTGCTGTCATGGCCACGGGGACTGTGGGCATGATTAGAGAGATCAGTTTACAAAAGATTCAAGTCTGGTGATCCATGGAGTCAACAACAATCAAGAGTCAGCAGCAGGTTCCTCTGCATGAGGAAAGTAGCTCGTAACAGAGTTGATAACCTTCTTACTATCATCACTAGCTGGTTCTAGTCAGGACCTAATACGGAGTCCTCTCAGGCTAATGACGGCAATGGGGGACTTCCATCTCCTCTGGGAGCCACGGATCCCTAGTACCGACTAGTAGTTTGACCCCTTTTCGTGTATGGACTCGACGTCAAACCCGCCCGTCAAACTACCATCGCCCATTCATACTGGTTTTGACGATATATAACGAATGGGCGGGGTCCGTCAGGAATTACCCTCGTCACTTGCATGATCAAGTGGAGTGGCCTGACCTGCAGAATGTGCCACGGGGATTCCAAATTCTTCGCTAGACTCCCAAACATGAACCCTCCAGCGGGTCTAGATCATACGCTTGGACGTACATATGCCATGCGAGTTGGGCGTCCAAGCAGGATAGCAAGTGGGTCTGACAGAACCATGGCAATGTCATCAGCCGAATTTGGAAACCGCCATGTGGCGATGGTTTGGAAGTCTCAAGGAATGGATGCCGGGGTAACCAATCTATACTATTTATCCAGATGGACCTGAAGAAGTCACCTCGAGAATACTCAGAACGAAAGAACGAAAGAAAGAAGAAAGATGAAAGACGAAAGACAAAAGAGTTCATCAGTTCTCAGAAATTCCCGCAGGTCCCCTGACTAATCCCGATCTGGTTTAATGTGGTCGACTATGTGCAGATTAGTGCCTGGATTAGTGTGGACTTAGTCAGGATGCACACGCAACCATCCCCAAAGCGGTAACTTATCAGATGAATCCCCGCTTTCCTTCTAGACTTCTTCTTTCCATCAACTTCCCGTCTTTCTCTTCTTCTTCTTTTCTCTCACTTCTGTCACTTCTTGTCTGTCTCTCTTCTCACTTCTTGTCTGTCTCTCTTCCACATTCGTTCTCTGAGTCCATCTGTTCTCTCGTTTCTTCTCTTCTATACTTTCGTTTCTCCCCCACATCCGCATTCCTTCTCCATTGATCCCCTACCCACGCCCGAGACTCACGCGGCTTATCTGGAGATATCCTATTAATTACTGTGGGCCATTGCCATTCCACCAGCCTTCGCTCCTTTTAGTCCTTCCCCCCCCGATCCAATCTATTCGTCCACTATTGTCCCCCCCGCTCCCAGACCTGCCTGGTGTCTATCAGTGTCCCCGTGCGCCCCCCCCATTTCCCACGGTTTCGGTTCCTCCGTGCTGGGTTACACCGGATCGGATCTCTTTGTCTCTCACCTGCTGCGACAATTGATTCCTCTCTGTCATCTCCCCTTTTTTCGTCGATCGACATTCAATTGTTGTGTCCATACTCTCCACGTCATAAACAGTCAATTCGGAACCAATCCGCCAGAGGAATCTCTCCGCCATTGCACAATGGGTTTCATCGATAAGTTGCAAGCCAGTACGTCTTACCCACCGTGGATCCCACGCTCCAACCGCCATGGTCGCTAATCATTGCCTCTAGAGATCGAACTCTACCGTCTGGAGCAGCGCTACGCTCGTCGCAAGCATCGCAGCACCTTCTCCGACGTCCACTACGTCGACGGCGAATATGTCTACTCCAATGGCGCAAACTCCCCGACGGGCACCGTCTCCAAGAACTCCACGGGAAACCACTGGAAGGCGTCGACCTCGAGTTCCGCTGACTCCCGATGGCGTTGACCTGATGTGATTTAATCGACCACGATTGCGAATTATCCTATCTTCTAGCGCTCTATATCCTCGGCGTTACGATTCGTGCAGATGATGTCATGACTTGATTCCATTGGTTGGCTTGTTCATCCATGGGTTGAGACTCAACGAAAAGTTCACTTTATTCTTCTTTCTATCGACAGCCGCAATTGGATGCGATCTACCCGAGCCCAACACGGCTACGAGTGCCCCGGGCTTGGCGTCCTCTGCCGAGCCCGGTTACAGCCTCAGTCTCTCCTTCATCTCGAGACGGTGATTAGGAGGCATCTCCATATTTATTCCCTACGATTTACCTGATGTTAGGTGGTTTCTTCTGGTTCCCAAGCTCCATCCTCTAGTCGAGGACGAGTCGAGTCATCAATTCCTTTCTTGTTTATTGTTCATTTTATCTTTGACTGCACATTAGCGAGTCCTCATGACTTGTGGAGTTATTTCTTGTGGATATCTACGTTTACATTCCTGTATATAGACCTAGCACATGCTTCAATGATCATACTTTACTTTACCTATTGAGAGAATTGCTCTTCTACAGCCCTAGCAGATCTACCAACCTCAGACCTCGGAGGATGATAAAAACAGCCAACAACCTCATCAACCACACTAATTCCCCCAAAAAGAAAAAAATAAATAGTATACCTACATATAACTACACAATCACTTCTTCGACCTCCGACTCCCAATCCCCAACCTCCCCAAATTCGACAAACTAGACTTATGCTTCTGCGGTCCTCCACTCCCACCAGTAGTCCCACCACCACCACCACCACCAGACGCCCCCCTCTGCAGTACCCCCCCATCACGTCCCCCACCACCACTTCCACCACCACCTTCCCCAGTCGAAAGCCCAGGCCCACCCCTCGGCGCATCAGGCAACAGCCTATCCCGATGACGCGTCTGCTCCGCCGCAGACAGCGCCGCCGAAAGCGAGGTGGAGTGGCCGAAGGGGCCCGAGTCGGCCGAGTCGTGCTGGTTATGCTGGTAGTGTTGTTGGGGGTGTAAGGCGCGGCGGGAGCGTTCTTGGACGGACTTGAATTTGTCGAGGAGGTCGACCCACTTGATGGAGGGCTCTTCGCGTTTGAGCCGGCTGCTTGTTGTGGGGGTTGGTGTTGTTGAGGAGGTGGAGGATGTGGAGGTTGAGGAGGTTGAGGAGGTGAGGGTTGGTCTTGTTGGGGTTAGTCTTATGTTCATATATGTATGTGTGTGTGTGTGTGTGTGTAAAGAAAATTTGGGCGATAGGGTTGGGGTAAAACGCACCGTAATCCCGTATGTAAAAGACCGATGTTGCTGACGCTGTTGAGGCGGTTTTTGAGCGCTGCAAAGGCGGAGCTCTGCGGGAGGAGCATGAGCACGCCGTAGAGGCATTTGTAGAGGTAGGGGTAGCGTTCTGGTTCGAGGAGTTGGAGGCGGAGGTCTGTATTGCTCATTAGGGTCTGCTATTTGCGTATGGAGGGGATTGTAGGGGATGTCGGCTTACAGGTGAATACTGGTGACTCCAATAGCTGGACCAGCTTGTCGATCTGGATTAACATGTTGACTGTCATTTCGAGTTCGGCGCTGGGCGCGTTAGTGGTGATGAGTGGCTTGGATGATGGGTTGACTTACAAGACTTGGAGGAGGTTGTAGGCCTGCTCGTACGCTTGGGCGAGCAGACACAGGGAGAAGGTAGATACAGCGTTGTGGCACCATGATCGGAAGAGCGCCACGAAGAACATTTGGCCTTCCTACTCGATGGTTAAATTGAGTCAATGATGATCAGATGGGTACGTACTCTAGAGTCCAAATTGCGCAGTCGTTTGCGCAGGTCGGACAGCTCGGGCGCCGTGATCAGATTATTGTTCAAGTTTTGAACCATAATGCTGGCGAATTCAATGTCCTAGATGTCCTGAGTTAGTAAATGACCACAACCTATTACATTACTAGGTAACGACAAACCTCCTCCTTCTCTAGACAGTCGGCTAGAGTTCTGTATATACGTTCCGGGCTGAGATTCGTACAAAGCTGTCGGATGATGAGATTCCCGCGAACCTCAAGTAGGCCCCGATCCGTGGAAAACAGCTGGAGCAAGTTCACCATGAAGGACTTGAAATAGCTGTCATCGCTGTTTCTCGATATCTGCGAGAGAAGCTGCAGGTCTTTGGTAACGACCGCTTCGGCAGGATCAGACAGCGTCTTTAGCAGAGCAGGGAACGTCCCATCGTTGAAAGCGACCACCTTTTTGGGCGCCTTCCGGTGAAGCATGATGAGCCACGAGAGCGCGGCTACCCGTGTAGCTTCGTTCTCGTTCAGAAATTGCAGGGTCAGTGAATTGACGGCTGCGGCGTAGTCAAGGTCTGTCGGCGGCACTGATGTAGATATTATACTGCTGCGGGGGGTTTGAATGTTCGAGCCTTCTTGCTGAGGTGTCGCCTTTTTGGACTCGTTCGGCGATGCATCGGGTCGACTTCCGGGTGTAGACGATCGCCGTTCGAGAAACTCTTTACTGGTCGTTGCTGCTTTCGACGATGCAAACTGGCGCGGTTCATCCGACATGTCCTCCGACAGTGATACGATGTACCCCAGTAGAGACGTGTTGACTCGGTTTGCGGCCTGTCGCACTTGGTCCGAGCCACTGGACATCGCTGGTAGGACCTGAGTAAGGAGACGTGGAACAAAGGGGAGGATGTCTTCTGGGTTGATTTCGAAGAAGCTGTCGATCCATCGCAGGGCCGTCAACTGCATTTCCTCAACTACATCGGTAAGCTTATTACGTGTTGCGCTTGATGCTGATGCTTACCAAAAGACGTGTCGACAAAGCCCACCAAAATGTCCAAGATCCTGGGATAATCGATCTGGACATCCTGTCCCGGGATCCAGTCCCCGTCGGTTTGTAGCCCCTCTTCAATAATTGACCCCGATTCCGAATCATCTATGGCGTTTTCACTAGCCTCGACCTCGGCGCCTATCGTCTGCTCGGTGGTGGTGCTGACACTCCCGCTGGCCGTTGAGCGGCGGTTCCCATTGCTCTCGCTTTTCTGGCTTTCTTCAATCCCTTTCTTTAATCGTTCGATTCTTTTGATTTCTGTCAAGAATTTGTCGAGCAGATCTTGAGTGGCGACATTCACGTCCGTGTTTGTATCTCCCAGGAATTTAATCAGTCCACCAAGAAACTCCGGCAGATACGCAACGAGTTCCAGGTCCGGAATGGTGTCCAACAAAGCCAGCCATGACACCAAGAAATTCCGCGTAAAAGGGCTTATAACGTGTATTCGCTCTTTGAGCAGCGGTATGAATTTCGGGAGGGAAAACGCCGTCGGAAGGTCCGCATCTTCCAACGTTTCCGTGTCCGATGCTTGTTTGTCGGAGAGCTGGAGGACCGAGACATACGAAGCCGCCGATTCCGAAACGATGTCTTTGACAAGCCTATCAAGAAGTTCGGCGCCGTTCTTCACCGACATTTCCGAATCAGAAGCTAACTAGGTTAGAGTTAGTGTGGACGCACTGAACAAGGGACAAAAAAGTGTAGAACAAGTGCAAAAAACGGTAAGAAGTAAAATATGGTTGAACGCGAACAAGAAACTCACCTTGCTGAGATCGTCAAAAATCTCATTGAAAAAGAGTAATATTTCCCCCTTTGCGACTTTGGCGATGTTGTACATGCTCTCGCAGGCATAATATCGGACCCGCGCATCCTGGTCTGAGAAACAGGCCAGTACAGGCGGCACAATTTCCTTGAGGTAGGGCGCGACACCCTCCTAGTATGCGCGTCTCAGCACCACTCGAGAGACGATTTATTTCCAGTAAACTCACAGATCCCAGAGCTATCGAGGCCGCGGCCAGTCCGATGAGGCCTCCGTTTCGCGCGTGTGGTTGGTGGACGGCGTAGGCATAGTCATGGCATAGTTGATCGACGACTTTCTGGATTTCTTCGTGGTCGCCTTTGAACGCGGCATCGCGAACGACTTTCTCGAGTCTGTAGAATGCGAGTCCGCGTTAGCAGGTGGCAGCTAGACACGGGTAATGAGGAATGATCAGACATACTCCAACGCGCCCTGTTTTCTCCGATCGTAGAGCTTGTCGTTCAGCAGACGCTGAATTGTATGATCCATCGCTCAGTCAAGCACAAATCGTAATGTGTATCAAGCTCCGTGTTGTTAAGAAAAGTTCATGGTGAAAGCCTTGTCTCGTCTGTCGGTCTGATTAAGGTGGGGGCTGTCAGCGTGCTGATCAGTTTATTCCCGCGGCATCGAACCCGGTTGGAATTCGGAATAACATACAGTTGCCACACAGAAGAATGGGTCCCAGAGGAGTAAACAAAACAATAACAGTTAGTAGCTCCACCCTGGTTCAATAGTTGCAAGCTCGATTCGTAGGGATGCGGGGAGCGTTCCAGGCAGATGTGTTGGCAGCGTTGACGGGCGTCTCGGTGGACTCGAAGTGACGTAGTGTCAGACTACTGACCGCCCTGCCATCATATACAATTCCTAATGGGGGAGGGATCTTCACTGCGTTTGGCATCATTGATCATGGTCTATCAAAATGGCCTTCTCGTCTGGTCCAGAAGATCAAAGTATGGATTTCGCGAGATTGTCGGTCATAGCCAGAGCTGGCATTACAAAGCTCTTTGTGAAGAACAATCAGACCGGCTTGGCCCGTAAATATATTTCAGGTTCTAGACTTGGTTTTTGATATATAAAACTCATCACCTTGAGCTATAATGTGTCAAAAGACCAATTTAAACAGTCAAATATTGATGCATTGGTGATTTTTAAGATTATGAACAGGCTGCGAATAATTCGAAGATCGCAGGAAAACATGCAGAGTCAAAAATAATGCTATGTAAGGAAATTCTCCATGTTGACTAACATGTTGGCCGATTGCGTGGATGACATTTGACTCGGGGTGGTCTACTGATTATCAGCAACAAGCAAAAAGATGTAGAGAATGCAATTCACCATCAGTAAGCACAAGCAGTCATAATATATAATGACCAGGTTCATTGCTTCTCGAGGTGACAATGCAATCATGCATATCAGCGCTCACAAAACATGGAATCAGCTGCATAAAAAAAGTTAGATATGACATACTACCAATATACACTCTCACGAAGATACTCACATGATAGATTCCAACTTAGAGAGTGGTTTGTGACATTTATCTGGTCTGACTTTACCTACCCGGATAGTCTGGAAGCAATGGGGTCCTCCACCCTGGAGTCTCCACCTAGGAAAGAATAGAAAAGGGTGGTATGGATATGCGACAAATTTTCGGCTTCTTACTTCTTGCTAGAGATAACATGGTATTTGTTATCATGGGCTGTTCCATGTTTTGACAGCCACTGCACTAAAAAATTGAATCAGTATTTGGTCAGGCTTGGTATGACTGATATCCCAATGTTAAATAGTGGGTTTGTAGGAGCGATAGGAGATTAGGGACGAGGAAAAGAAGGTCAGGTTAAAGAAACAGAAGGCTCTTAAGCAGGTAGAAATATGAGTGAATGTCAAAAGCCCTCTTCACTTGAAAAAGAAGTATTCAAGCACGCGCATTACAATATATGAGAAATATGTTAGTAATTGGTATCTATCCTAATGCATATAAAACTCCCGTCCATTGTCAATCGCAAAACGTCCAAATTCACGCCGAGCATAAGCAATGGTCCAAAGATATAGATATAAAAGCAGATCGTAACAGTGAAGCATATCAGTGACTGATATATTGGAACACAGCAGACACGTCCCTCTCACCAGTCTCCTGACGGATCAGCAAGTCCTGGATCTTGCTGAGCGCGCCGGTCTCCCCGTCATTCACAAAGTGATTCCAGGAGCTGGTGTCACCATACAGCATAGCCGGGGCCTTGACAAACTGCGCTCCGTCAGGCCGACACCGCTTGCATTTGAAGGTGTCGTGTGTGTCACTTCGGGTTTCAGGCTTGAACTGGAACAGTTCTCGGAGCGACTCTGCGGAGAAGTGCCGCTCGACATCTTCCGCCGAGTCCACCACACAGGACGAGAGAGACTGCTTGTGGGACTGACGCTGGAAGATCTTCTCCTCGATCGACCCGGTAGCGATGAAGCGGTATACGAAGCAGTCCTTTTTCTGCCCGTCACGCCAGACGCGAGCCAGTGCCTGCTGGTCCGCAGCGGGGTTCCAGTCGGGGTCGAACAGCACGAGACGGTTTGCGCCGATCAGGTTCAGTCCGCAGCCACCGGCTTTGCTGCTGAGGAGGAAGACGAATTCCTCACCGTCGGGGTTGTTGAATTTGTCGACTAGCTTCGACCGTTTGTTCACGTTCATGGTCCCGTCTAGTCGTAGGGACCCGTAGCCCCTCGTTCGACAGAGCTTCTCGAAGAGATCAAGCGTTTGGGTGTAATTGCTGATGAGAACGATTTTGTCGTTCGTGTCTTGGCGGATGCGCGCCAGCATTCGGTCCAACACCATCATCTTCCCGGAGTACCATGTTTTGATGTCGCGATCACGCCCTCTTGCTTCAGGGGGGACGTAATCTTCTGGGTACGTAAACTCACATCCTGGTAAATCGCTGGAGAGGTTGAGGAGGTCTGGGTGGTTGCAAAGCTTCTTTAGAATCCCAATGGCCTTCAGCGGCTGACTTCCTTTGCCTCGGAGGAGGCTTTTGATTTCCGGGCTTTGGATGAAGTGATTATACAAGCCCACTTGGAAATCGGAAAGGCCACAGAAAACGACATGCTCGTATTTGACGGGCAAGTATTTTGTCAAGATATCGTTCGTCCGGCGGATGATGAATTTGTTGACGATGGTGGAAAGCTCCGCCAGACGTTCGTCACCCTTGGCGCGTTCTTCTTCGGTCCCGGCTGCATCCCTCCCTCGGAGAATCGGCAGCTCGAACCGCTTCCGAAACTCGGCTTGGGATCCTAGCAAATTGGGATTTGCAAAGTTCAGCAGAGCAAAGTACTCCGAGAGATCGTTTTGGATGGGCGTTCCGGACAAGATGACTCGACGCTGTACATTGAGACTGTCGAGGGCCGTCCAGGTCAAGCTGTCTTTGTTTTTGAGTCGGTGGCCCTCGTCGCACAGAAGTAAACCAATAGGACTGTCCTTCAATGTCTCGACATACATGCGGAGAGTCTCGTATGACACGATGAGCACAGGCCTGACGACGGAGCGCCCGGAGGAGATCGCCCATTGCTTGATTTGGGAAGTCAACTCGGTTTTTGATGCCTTGCCATCTACCGCAAAAGGCGTGATGGTGCCCTGCCCCAGCCATTTGCCTGTTTCTTATGAGATACTATCCAGTGTGCGATGTTCCGTTCGGTACTTACCAAGTTCGTTTGCCCAATTGCCTACCAAACTTGACGGACACGCAATGATGCATTTCTGGATGGTCGTCTTGCCCGCTTCAGGTGACTGCCTTAGAAGCGTCCACATCAGTGAGATACATTGAAGCTGTTGTTGTCAGTTTATATACGTATAGGATAGATGCAACTAGACCCACTGTTTTCCCTAACCCCATCCCGTCTGCCATGATGCAACCACTCGCATTCTTGTCAACCATGCCAGTTGTACATCGATAAAGAAACTGGACCACGTGGTCAGTTGAATCTGGCATAAGAACATGCAGTATCCTCTTACCTTGACGCCCTCCACCTGATGGGGCCGCAGAACCTTTGCCAGTCGCGGATCAATAACCACGGGAACCCTGGGACGCTCCTCGACCTCCTTCTTGATACCCAATATATCCGCCAAACTTTTATGCACGAGCGGTTCGTCCAACTTGGGTTTCTCGCTCTCAGCTAGTTCCTCATCCTTCTTCGAAGCTGGCTCATCGACATCATCCACAGTCGGATCATACAACACAATAGCAAACTCGCCACTCGGGTCGTGCAAGGGCTTCACCACAAACGTAGCACCCTGCCTCATCCCCAGCGTCGGCGCAGGGCGTGCCCCATCGAATCTATCAGCCGATTTATCAATCAACGGTATCATGAATCTCTGTCTAAAGGCCACATCTTTGTCTTTTGGCTTGAACACGGGGAATCTATTGGCGTCTCTGGTCGCGAGCGCGAGGCGGTCCTCGTTCGTGTACGGCTTTGCATTGTCGTCGTCTCCCCCTCCGTCCGCGCCTGTGTAGTCCACCTTCCGTCGCTTTCGGGCTGGTTTAGTCGATGCTCGTGTATAAGTTGCGGAACCGGGGCATTTGAAAGGTTTTGCTAGTCGGTCGGTGGGCTTCGCGGACGGGGTGGTTTGGCCTTCAGCCCTTGCTGCTGGCCGTGGCCGATACCTTGACAAGTCAATGATGATTGTGGTAGCTGTATCAGAATGATGTTTCCTTACATTTGGGGCGTTTCACTTCAACTTCCTCTTTGTTGCGTGTATATGTGTATGTCTATCTCTGTCAAGGCACTGACCTGTTGACGCTGGCAGGCAGACACGCGCCCCATCGGCTTGGCGCGTTGACCGCCGTCATCAGAACACCAAAGTAGCACGCCCTCACGTGATGATAGCGGCCGTCCATTGCCCCGCCACGGGGGGGATCAAACCCAAAAGATAATAGTACATAAATCGAGACAATGATAGTCCCACCGCAATCCATTCCAAATTGACGTCGGGATTTATGGCGTCGGACTTTTGGGCTGGGTACATTAGCGGTGCCATTGGCATTGTCATTGGGAACCCGCTGGACGTTGTTAAGGTTCAACTGCAGGCAGGCCAGGCTGCGGATGTGGTTGCATCATCGTCGTCTCGTCCTACCGGCCGATTTGAGAGGACCACCTCTTTGGTACGAGGTCTGTCTGACCCTGTGTAACAATGCATCGACTGTTAAAGCTACAAATCTGCTGACATTAATCGACACTACTAGGTGCCGCCGCCCCCATCCTCGGATACGGCGCCCTCAATGCGCTGCTCTTCGTCGCCTACAACCGGTCACTGACGACGCTGGATCCGTCCGTCTCTGACCCTACAAACCCCCAGACCACCTCGCTATACAAGATTTGGCTTGCAGGCGCCGCGGGCGGAGTAGCCAGCTGGGCGATCTCGTCTCCGACGGAGTTCATCAAATGCAGAGCGCAGCTGGATACGCGACCCGGCGTCTCGTCGTGGACGGTCGCTAAGGACATCCTCCGCAGCCGTGGGTGGACCGGTCTCTACTACGGAGGAGGGGTGACGTGCGCCAGAGACTCCATCGGCTACGGGTTTTAGTATGTGACGCTTCCCCGGTTTCTTTACTGTTGCTTTGTCTGGTGTCTGACCCCGTGCAGTTTCTGGTCCTACGAATACTGCAAGCGGCTCCTGGCATCTGAAGATGATGATCCGCAAAAGGTTGGACTCAAGGTGCTTCTCTGTGGTGGCATTGCCGGTGTCGCCACGTGGGCATCCGTCTTTCCGCTCGACATGGTCAAGACACGGTTGCAGGCGCAGACCATTGGAGTGTCGCCCGAGGACCGATCGTTATTGCAATCGCAGCCCACCCAACACACCCGACAGCCTTTGAACGCCTACCAGCTTGCGCGACAGGCTTACCGGGAAGACGGACTCCGAGTGTTCTACCGGGGTCTCGGAGTATGCAGTATACGAGCGTTTATTGTGAACGCTGTTCAGGTACGTCTCGTCCATCTACAATAACTATACCAAGGGAGGATACTAATCCATACAACCAGTGGGCAACCTACGAGTGGCTCATGAAGTATCTCCAGGAACCACCGAAGATCCCCGACGCAACACATGCAGAAGCATTGTAAAGTACATAGCCTACTGTAATTAACCTCTTGGTATTAAAGCTTGTAAATACATTTCACCCGACAAGTTCACTGTGGGACCCCCAACCTGACAATTAGCAAGACTCCGAAAAGCGGCGAATTCGGACGGGTCACCGCGGGACGAAACCAGCGGGCGTCGGCACAAGCGCAGACAACTGGCGATTTTCGGCGCATGTGGTTTCACGTGCGGGGCCTGGCAATAAGCCGATCGCTGATTGGGTGAAAAGCTCTGTTGGAGATTGGGGCCAATCATATCGTTGGAAACACGACGACATGCGATATGAAAATTTTTTTTATGGTTGTCGCGCGCGTTGAGGCCGTTGGGCTGGCTGGCGGGCTGTTGTCGATAGAATCACAGGTTGGGATTTGGATTTCGCTGCTGCATGGCAGGGAATCGCCTAGCCACAAGGGCGTGGACTTTCCAGTATTAACCCGGGCTTAAGCTTCCATGTCGACGACCATTTCCTGCGTGCGCACGCCGTTGTCGGTGCGCATGCCCACGGCGGCGTCCGCTGTTTTCTGGGTGTGCGATTCTTCGCGCAGGATCTTCACTCTATAACGTAGATCAAAAGTCAGCGTCGACGATTCCAGACAGACGAAGAGGGGAGATGTCCCATCGCGACAGCACGCGACAAGATGCGCCGACTGATAGATAGATAGATATATAGATTGAACTAACCTCCGCTTGTGGTTCTTCCCCTTGGCATGGGCAAGCAGATTGTGCTCGCTTTCAAACCATTTCGAACACTCGACACAATAGTGACGACCCAGACCTGGGAGATCTTCAGCGTCCTTGGTCTCTTTGTATTGCGCCAGATGCTTGGGCGAGTCGATATCCGACTTGACTTGATCGTAGCCTCTGCAGACGTCGCGTTAGAAAATCCTCCTGTATCGCAAGGTTGAAAGCAAAAAAAACAGGCAGTGTAGACATACCTAGTCAAACGCTTCGTCTTGATCCTGCGCACGGGGGCCATCTTCAATCTGACTATCTATCCGTATCTAGATCGTATATCACAAGGCTCGATGCTATCGGGTGGCTCTCTCAGGTAAGCCTTGCAGAAACCACGATTACTCCCGATATCCGGAACAACGGGCAACAAGCGGTCGTCGGGAAAGCGGGTCAGGTTGGCCTTGAAAATCCCGCCCTTTGTGCGCAGTAGAGAAATCGATGCTAACCAGAGGGTGGTGATTGGCCTGAGGGAGCTGGGGGTTCTTGGCGTCCGGCCCGTGGAATCTTGCCCATTTGCCATCTGTCGGTAGGCCTCGGCTCAGGCTCGGCTCCGTAGGTGGTAATAGTTAGGTAGGATTGGGAATACTAGGCTGATTGACGTCGGTATTGGTTTTGATACGTAATTTTGATTATGACGTTTCCATTTTATTTTTTTTTTCGGCACAGGCTCCGGATGAGCTTCGTCCAGTTACATTGGGTATGATATAATCTCCTCAGCTCCGATAAAAGGCCTTGGGAGGAAAATGAAATTGCTGTTCCTATCATGGATAGAGATGATCATCATTCAATTTCTATGATTATGCTGTCTTCTCTCAATCACGATGCGATACTAGTAGATATATACCAACTGCTCCTTTCTCCGGGGTGATGGAGCTACTAATCCAGTGCTAGGACAAACACAGTCCATGATGTAGTAGAAATCATCCTTGCCGGATTGTAGCATGTAATGCACACCGTCTGATTGGCTCTACCAAACCAGGTTCACATGTAATACCTCATAGTGGGCACGTCCGTCAAAATTACCACCTTTTCTGTAACAGTGGTAGCATAAAAATAAAACAGTAAAAAAAAAAAAAAGGCCTGGCCTCGTGGGATAGATCTAACCGGAGAGTAACGACCTGATGATTTTCGTTCACCTCAGAACAAATGAACCATTAACAGCAAAGCCTTTTCCAATATGTAGCCGGGGAAAAGGGTTCATGATGGGTCTTCAGGACCAAAGGGTGGACTCGCAAGCAGTGTAAACGGTGTATTGTGACGGTAAAGAAGGGGGTCTCCATAGCCACTTCCTTGTCTCCGGTCGGTGTGCTTTTGCCGTACTCAGGCAGTAAACCCGCATGCGTCTCGTATTGTCAGAATCGGTTACGCTCCTTGACCGGTGGTAAAACAAGAATCCATTTCCCACTTTAGTAAACTCTCCTCTCTCTCCAAAGCTGCTGGTGCTTTTTTATCTACTCCATTTTTCCCTTCTCCTTCTTCCATTCTCTTCCTCTCTCTCTCTCTCTCTTTCTCTTTTCACTCTTCCATTCTCCACTCCACCCCCTTATATCCTTCTTGAGTTGTGGTCAGCTGTTTGCTGCTGCTCTCATTATTTGATGTGTTGAGGCTTTATACCCCTCGCATAGAGAGCTACCATCATGATCTCCACCCGCTTTGCGCGCATGGGTGCGCTGGTAAGTGCCTTTGTTTGAACCCGATTCCGTTGTGGAAGGTGAGGGTGGTTCGAGATTCGACCTGTTCGAACTCGAAGATGCCTGCCTTCTTCAATTTGGAGAATAGAAAACAAGGCGATCGATAGCTAACTCGCTTGTGACTATAGGCCCCCAAGTCCCGTCTGGTAAGCCCGTGATGCCTGGCTTCTCGTTCTTTCAATTCTCTGGGAGAAGGAGATTCGAGAGCCGTCAGTATATTCAAACGAACGAATTATTAACGAGCTCTGTAGTTCCTCGGGGCTCGGGGTCTGGCCACCGCCGGTTCCAACCCCCTCGACCGCAAGGTCGAGATGACCAACTTCGAGAAGGTGAGTGGTGGTGATGCCCCGTCGTGACCTCGGGTAGCGGCGGGATTTCCTAAAGCGGAAAGGACAACTTTTGCTAATCAGGTGTCTGCAGGGCAACTACATCAACTACAAGTACGGTTTTACCTTGGGTCCATACCGCGATTGGAATATCCTACGCGAAATATGGAATTGCCATCGCGCATTGGCTGCTTGGACTAGGGCTAATATGCGTTTCACTCGTTTAGGAAGATGTCCGAGAACCTTGACGTCGTTCGCCGTCGTCTGAGCCGCCCTCTCACCTACGCCGAGAAGGTTCTCTACTCTCACTTGGACGACCCGCACGGACAGGACCTCGAGCGTGGTGTCTCCTACCTGAAGCTCCGTCCCGACCGTGTTGCCTGCCAGGATGCCACCGCCCAGATGGCTATCCTGCAGTTCATGTCGGCCAACATGCCCTCCGTTGCCACCCCCTCCACCGTCCACTGCGACCACTTGATTGAGGCCCAGCTTGGCGGTGACAAGGATCTGGCTCGTGCCAACGACATCAACAAGGAGGTCTACGACTTCCTTGCCTCTGCCACTGGCAAGTACAACATCGGTTTCTGGAAGCCCGGTTCCGGTATCATTCACCAGATCATCCTGGAGAACTACGCTTTCCCCGGTGGTCTGATGATCGGTACCGACTCTCACACCCCCAACGCTGGTGGTCTCGCCATGGCCGCCATCGGTGTCGGTGGTGCTGATGCCGTCGATGTCATGGCCGGCCTCCCCTGGGAGCTGAAGGCCCCCAAGGTCATCGGTGTCAAGCTCACTGGTGAGATGTCCGGCTGGACCTCTCCTAAGGGTAAGTTACTCCACTCAGCTGCGCCGCGCCGAGGGACTGTACACTGACTGTTTCTTAGATATCATCCTGAAGGTCGCTGGTCTCCTGACCGTCAAGGGTGGTACTGGTGCCATCATCGAGTACCACGGTCCCGGTGTCAACAACCTGTCTTGCACTGGTATGGGTACCATTTGCAACATGGGTGCTGAGATTGGTGCCACCACCTCCATGTTCCCCTTCAACGACCGCATGTACGACTACCTGAAGGCCACCAAGCGTACCGACATTGGTAACTTCGCCCGCGACTACGCCAAGGAGCTCCGTGAGGACGAGGGTGCCGAGTATGACCAGCTCATCGAGATCAACCTGTCCGAGCTGGAGCCCCACGTCAACGGTCCCTTCACCCCCGATCTGGCCACCCCCATCTCCAAGTTCGCCGAGGCCGTCGATGCCAACGGCTGGCCCGAGGAGCTCAAGGTCGGTCTGATCGGCTCTTGCACCAACTCCTCCTACGAGGATATGTCCCGTGCCGCTTCGATTGCCCGTAACGCTCTGGACCACGGTGTCAAGTCCCGTGCCCTGTTCACCGTTACCCCCGGTTCCGAGCAGATCCGCGCCACCATCGAGCGTGATGGTCAGCTGCAGACCCTGGAGGAGTTCGGCGGTGTCATCCTGGCCAACGCCTGCGGTCCCTGCATCGGTCAGTGGGACCGTAAGGACGTGAAGAAGGGTGAGCCCAACTCCATCATCTCGTCCTACAACCGTAACTTCACGGGCCGTAACGACGCCAACCCCGCCACCCACGCCTTCGTCGCTTCCCCCGACCTGGTCGTCGCCATGTGCGTTGCTGGCACCCTCAAGTTCAACCCCCTCACCGACAAGGTGAAGGACAAGGATGGCAACGAGTTCCTGCTCGCGCCCCCCACCGGTGACGGTCTCCCCAGCCAGGGCTACGACCCCGGCCGTGACACCTACCAGGCTCCCCCCAAGGACCGCGAGTCCATCAACGTCGCTGTCTCCCCCGAGAGTGACCGCCTGCAGATCCTGGCCGGCTTCCCTGCCTGGAGCGGCCAGGATGCCAAGGACCTCCCCATCCTGATCAAGTGCCAGGGCAAGACCACCACTGATCACATCTCCATGGCTGGCCCATGGTTGAAGTACCGTGGCCACTTGGACAACATCTCCAACAACATGCTGATCGGTGCCGTCAACGCCGAGAACGGCGAGGCCAACAAGGTCAAGAACTGCTTCACCGGCAAGTACGACGCCGTGCCCGCCACTGCCCGTGACTACAAGGCCCGTGGCATCCAGTGGGTTGTCGTCGGTGACTGGAACTACGGTGAGGGTAGCTCCCGTGAGCACGCCGCTCTGGAGCCCCGCCACCTGGGTGGTCTGGCCATCATCACCCGCTCCTTCGCCCGTATCCACGAGACCAACCTGAAGAAGCAGGGTATGCTGCCCCTGACCTTCTCCGATCCCGCCGACTACGACAAGATCCAGCCCGAGGACAAGGTTGACCTGCTGGCCACCGAACTCGAGGTTGGCAAGCCCGTGACTCTCCGTGTCCACCCCAAGGATGGCAAGACCTATGACATCTCGCTGAGCCACACCTTCAACGAGTCCCAGCTCGAGTGGTTCCGGGACGGCTCTGCCCTGAACACCATGGCCCGCAAGGCCGCTGGCAACTAAAGTTGTGATTGCTGAACGCAGACGCAGCCGTTGCTGATGGGATTCTTTGTACCATATGCTCACTCTGCTTCGGTCCCTCCAGACCGGGACAGATCCCGGGGGTCGTCGTCTCCACGGCGGTCTCCACAGGGACTGCGGCCTCTGGTCGCAGGTGAGATCTTCCGACGAAGGGAGCTGTGGAGTCAGTTGTGAAAAATTTCTTTACGATATTCTTTTGATGGCACTACCTTTTTTTATTTCCTTGTTTAATCCGTCGAGAGTTTGGGTGGGGCTACCATGGATATAGTCCTTGTGTTTTGTTTAAACTATATCATCTCTTGTATGTTAGGGACTGCATGCATTTTTTTTTTTCGTTCATTACTAGTATTACTTGTGGTAAACTGTAGATTGTAAGACCTAGACAGTAAATAGTATGACTTGTGTACACGCATAACAGACACATCAAGAATTGATGACCATGTGTACATACATTGTACCCCGCCCCAAGTCGACGAGCATGAGTCTTCAGCAGTGGGATATCTAATTTATAGAACAGTTCCTCACAATATACATTAAAATGATTACCATAATATTCTCAAGACTCTCTTCATTCTTCAAGAAGTCAACCGCCGAAGACCAAGACAAATGTGACAGGATTAAAACTCGCTGATTAAGCAGATACCCTGCAGAATCGACTACCGAGGCAGTATCGCATACCCCGGAGTTACTTAGTTTGCATAGACCCCTCACTTGCTTATGAATATTAATACCAATAGATCTACGCGTGCACGTTGACAAGTATACATAACTGGCTTCTACGTGCATAGGTATCTGCAGTCATCAACTGCAGTCAAGTCTACAAGTTACCTGCCTAGGTACTATTGTCGATTTCAACACGCTTTGTTACCGCGCATTGCGCATTGTTTGCTTAGGTAGGTAGCCAGCCTATCTTGATTGATTGTTTTCGAATGTTTGCTCCGTCTGACAGTATGATGTAGTTTTAAGATTATCATGGGCACGCCGCTCGTTCCCCTGCCGGAGGTGGAGAGACTCAGTGCGTCAGTCATTAGGATTTTGGCGGGGAATCCTGGAAAGGTAAATATTGCTTCGTTTCTTTTTCCAAGGATGGTCCTTACTACACTGTCCATGACAGCGTACACAAGCTAATCACTATTACTATCACATAAAAGTTCACACTACAAGGTGCGCAACCAGCCTTCCCCCCCCAAATAACCCTACTAACTAAGTACGACAGGCACAAACACATACCTAGTCGGCAGAGGCCGCCAGCGCATCCTAATCGACACAGGCGAAGGCAAACCCACCTGGGCCTCTAATCTGCAAACAGTGCTCGCCCAAGAAAATGCCACCGTGCACCAGGCACTGCTGACGCACTGGCACGGGGACCATGTCCATGGGGTTCCGGATCTGCTGAAGCTGTGCCCCCAGGCTGCTGTCTACAAACATGACCCCGAGGATGGGCAGACGGGGATTGAGGACGGGCAGATGTTTGGTGTGGAGGGCGCGACGCTGAGAGCTTGCCATACGCCGGGACATACGACCGACCATATTATGTTTCTTTTTGTGGAGGAGGATGCGCTTTTTACGGGGGATAGTATGCTCCATCCCCCCCCATACCCTTCCCTCCTTTTTCTCATGGAAAAAACGAAAGGGAGAAGGGAGAAATAAAAAGAAAACTAACGTTACAATTAGACGTCCTCGGCCACGGCACCGCCGTCTTCGAAGACCTCCGCGACTACCTCTCCAGCCTACACCGCATGCAAAACCGCGTCTCAGGCCGCGGCTACCCCGGCCACGGCCCCGTGATCCCGCACGCAACCTCCAAAATCACCGAATACATCCAGCACCGCCAGCAGCGGGAGGACGAGATCCTGCGGGTCCTGCGGTACGGCAAGCTGGACGTCCGGGACGACGAGCCGTCGCCGGATCGGAAGAAGTCGTGGACGCCGCTAGAGCTCGTGCAGGTGATTTATAAGAATGTGCCGGAGAGTTTGCATTTGCCTGCGTCGCATGGGGTGATTCAGGTGCTGAATAAGCTGGAGGAGGAGGGGAGGGTGGTGCATGATGCGGAGTCGGGGAGGTGGAGGATAAGTGGGAGGCCTTCTTTATAATGTCTGGATTTCTGATTCTTGGTTCTTTTGAGTCTATGGCATGTCATGGCATGTTATGTTGTGCATGATCTACAATATGGAGGTATGGATCACGGGCGGATATCGGATCTGATCCATTATCAGATGATATTATTATACTATTTTCATCCCGTTGTACGGAGTACAGGGAATAGAACCTGCTGAAACAGCCGTGGATGAACCAGGAATTCATCGACCGCTATTCATGGCCAGCCAGCGTCCGCGTCTTGTTTTCAAAAAGAGAATTCAAGAGGATAGATCCTGGTGGGTGTGATCCCACGAATCAGGGTGGACAGAGGACCTTGAAAACAAGGCAATCTGCATTTCGTCGTCAACCTTACGTTGTTTTGAGACTGTAGAGAATAGACCTGTTTAGGGAGAAACCCAATGTTGAACCTACAATAAGTGTATTTCGACTCCGGGGAAGACGTGGGGAAACAAGAGCAAAGTCTAAAGAGTGAGCATCATCGACAATAGGAAAAAAAAAAAAAAGTGGATTGATTGTTTCCAGATCATTGACGATCTGACCTCATCACCGCCTCAGGCTGTTTCCCCTCTAACTTAACCTTACGTCGCTTTCCTTCTTTCTTGACTTTTCCCCGCTTTATCTTTTGATCTTCTTCAACTCTCTTCCTCTTCCCCGCTGAATTGCTGATCAATACAACAACAACCAATTCAATTACAACGATAAAGAAGAGAGGGACAGAAGAAGAAGAACGATCCCCAGTCGATGAACTTGCTAGTGAGGAGCCTGGGTGGATCTTCCGCAACAATCTTCTTGCCCGAACTTGGGTCGCTTGGCCCGCGCGTCGCTGGCTTGTTGAGACTCTGACCTCACTCGGTCTCATTCTGTTCTTTTATCATCTTGTGTCTTTTAAAAAAAAAAGTGATTTCCCTGCTTTGTCCAGTTGGTCCGCTTTTCTTCCGCCGGGTTTCTCTCCGTGAAGTGATCTCTCCCGGAGCTTGGGGCCTTCATCTTGTCATATCTTTTACACTTTTTGATCTTCTATTTCAAAATCCCTCCTAATTAGGGATATCTCTTGTTATCCTATTCTTCTTCTTATTTTACCCTTTTCTTCATCTTTTGATTGATCTCTGATCAAGGTTGACTCCCGCTATCTCACATCTTGGTTCAAAGTGGTGTTTGACGTCAGTCCCACTATTCTCCCCCTCCTGCAACTCTTGCTCTATTTACCCGCTGCTTCTTTTTTCTTCCTTTGTCCTCGTGCTTTTGTCTTTGTACAGCACGCATCTCCCTCCCAATTGATTCCCTTCCTCCCTGCAATTGCCATTCACAGGCCGGCGACTTTGTCCGCTGTGGCTCTCGTCACGTCCGCCTGTCCTTGCGCCCGCGTCTAGACCCCCCGCCGAATTCCCGAACCGCCACCATGCCCTCCTTGGAAAAAGGCCCCTCCAATGAAGCCCGATTGCTTCTAGTCTCCAACCGTTTGCCCATCACCATCAAGCGCTCCGAGGATGGCCGTTATGACTTTTCCATGTCCTCCGGTGGACTGGTCAGTGGCTTGAGTGGCTTGTCCAAATCCACCACCTTCCAGTGGTATGGCTGGCCCGGCCTGGAAGTCCCCGAGGCGGAGATCCCCATCGTGAAGAAGCGTTTGAAGGATGAATACGGTGCCGTGCCGGTGTTTATCGACGATGAACTCGCCGATCGCCACTACAATGGATTTTCCAGTGAGTTCCCATCCCACCGTGCTCGGAGCCCTCAAAGTCAAGGGTCCTCCTACCGCGACATGTACTGACGTGGGCGGCTGATTAGATTCCATCCTGTGGCCCCTCTTCCACTACCACCCCGGCGAAATAACCTTCGATGAATCCGCCTGGGAGGCCTACAAAGAAGCCAACCGGCTGTTCGCCAAAGCCGTCGCGAAGGAGGTGCGGGACGGCGACCTCATCTGGGTCCACGATTACCACCTGATGCTGCTTCCCGAGATGCTTCGGCAAGAGATCGGGGACAGCAAGGTCAACATCAAGATTGGCTTCTTCCTCCATACACCCTTCCCCAGTAGTGAGATCTACCGGATCCTTCCCGTCCGAAACGAATTGTTGTTGGGCGTCCTTCACTGCGACCTCATCGGGTTCCATACCTATGACTACACAAGGCATTTCCTCAGCGCCTGTTCGCGATTACTGTACGACATCTCCTTCCCTCATCTATCCCCTCCATATCTCAACGGTGTTTGTCCACGGGCCGGCTAACATATTCCCAGTGGCTTGCCAACTACCCCGAACGGAATCGAGTTTCAAGGGAAGAATATTGCCTGCGGCGCATTCCCGATCGGCATCGACCCGGAGAAGTTCCAAGAGGGCCTCAAGAAAGAAAAGGTCCAGAAACGCATCGCCATGCTGGAGCAGAAATTCCAAGGCGTAAAGCTCATGGTCGGCGTTGACCGTCTGGACTATATCAAGGGTGTCCCGCAGAAGCTGCATGCCCTCGAGGTGTTCCTCAGCGACCACCCAGAGTGGGTTGGTAAGGTTGTCCTGGTCCAGGTCGCGGTGCCGAGCCGGCAGGACGTGGAGGAATATCAAAATTTGAGGGCCGTGGTGAACGAACTCGTGGGCCGGATCAATGGCAAATTCGGTGAGTACTTTCCAGCCCTCTGGTGACGTATCGCTCACATGAACAGGCACCGTGGAGTTTATGCCCATTCATTTCCTGCACAAGTCCGTCAACTTTGACGAGCTGCTTGCGCTCTACGCCGTCTCCGATGCCTGCATCGTGTCCTCCACCCGAGACGGGATGAACCTCGTCGCCTATGAATATATCGCGGCGCAGCGAAACCGCCATGGCGTTCTAGTCCTCTCCGAATTCGCGGGAGCCGCTCAAAGTCTCAACGGCAGTATCATCATCAACCCGTGGAACACGGAGGAGTTAGCTGCTGCGTACCAGGAGGCAGTGACCATGAGCGATGAGCAGCGGGCTCTTAATTTCTCTAAGCTCGACAAATATGTTAATAAGTACACAAGGTAAGATTTTCTTGTCCCTCGACTCTTGATCTGATTGCAGACTGACCCTCCCAGTGCCTTCTGGGGCCAATCCTTCGTCACCGAGTTGACTCGGATCTCCACGCAAGCGGCGGAGAAATTCCAGTCGAAAAAGGCGGCCTTGTCTAATAATAATACGAATGGCTCCGAGTACGTCCGTGGATTGGAGGTTCCCAGTCAAAGTTGATTTCATTCTTTTTCCACTCCCAAGGAAAAAGACCAAAAAAAAAAAAAAAAAAAAACATTTCCTATCATGCGTGAATGAATGGCTCCATGTCTTTATTTACGCTGTTCATGCTCTGAACATCTGGCGTAACTCTTTTTCTCCCCTCACTCTTTCCCGTTGATTCCTGTTATTTTCTCTGGTTCTTTTCGGTCGCTTGCATGAAACACGAGGCGTACCTGTTAAGCTTCGGTCGGGCATAGGAGATTGATGGTGTTGGTGGCTTCCATGTATATGAAATTCGGGTTAGATATCTATGTCACTTGAAGCATCTCTCCATATTCGTTGGATTTCGTGTATTCTGTAATTTGTGGGGTGTTATAAACTGTCGTGTAGAGTTAGATATCCGGATATCTGGTGGATATAGACAATCCGGATGAGTGGTGGTGGGTGCAAACAATGCAAACTCCGGCACGAACAAATTCTTGGGTTGTTCCGAATCGCTTCGAGGTCTTCTCCGCGAGCACAAACCACAACTCCACAGACCAACGTTTGTGTCCAGTGCATTCTTGCTTCAAGGTGCAGTTGCATACTCTCGAAGTGATCTAGCGATCATCCCCTCAATTGATACCTGTGGATCCGAGACGCCCATCGCGTGACACCCCGGTCAAGCCGCATCTCCGATAAATCTCGACTTCAGCCGACCTCCGGCTTCCCAGACCAACCAAAAAGAAGATACGTGAAGAAAGGCGTTCGAACAGCCAGAGCCTTCATTTTCATATCACCATGTCTCCCCGCTATATCCTCCGGGCCATGCAGCCCGTGCGCGCCTCCGTCTTCTCGCGAGCGACGCCAACGACGACAACCATCCTCCCTCTCCTCCCCTCCACCAGCTCAATTGTCAGCCCCCTCCGGCGTCTGCATTCCACCACCACTACCACAGAAACCCCCGACCAACTCCGCACAACAGCGGCCGAAGCAGCCGCCGCACCATCAACCATCGCGCCCCCCTCCCTCCGCAGCTACCCCTACAGCACCAAGCTGGGCACAGTCGTCTCCGTCGGCAAAATGCAACACACCGTGCGCGTCAGCCACCGCCACACAGAGTGGGACGCGCACCTGCGCAAGCCGTACCCCAAGATCACGAACTACCTGGTGTCGGACCCGCGGGACTCGCTGCGCGAGGGCGACGTTATCGAGTTCACGTCCGGTGCCCCCCGTGGCAGGAACGTGCGACATGTTGTGGAGCGCATTGTGGCGCCGTTTGGGTCGGCCGTTGAGGAGAGGCCGGCTGTCATGACGCGCCAGGAGAGGGAGGCGGAGAGGGCGGCGAAGAGGGTCGCGAAGTGGGAGAGGAGGGAGCAGAGGTTGGTGGAGGCGGGTGTGCCGATTGAGGAGGCGAGGAAGGAGAGGATTGGGAAGGTTAGGAGGCTTGTGCAGGAGAGGGTTGGGGCTTGGGCTTAGGTTATTGAGATGGTGATGTGTGGTTGATATGTGTGTTCACTTTTTTCTCTGTCGCTGATTGTCTCTGAAGGATGTTTCTTGTTCTGTATTTGGATGTATGTTGATTTGGGTCTGTATTATACTTTACTATTGTCAGGCATTTGTTGCTGGCAGTCAATCTAGACTTGATGATGTCTTATTTCTTCCTTTTTCTGTATCAACCAATACTTGTGTTATGTAGGGATTTTAGGATATATTTGTCAATCGACTAGTCTGTCTATACACCTAGTTTTTGTCATCTCGGTGTTGTATTGCATTGCCTCATGATATATTGACGGCTCACTTGACTCCGACAAGGATATATATATATTTATATAGCACCAACTAAATCTCACAATCCACCAATAGACTCTAACTAAACACAAATGCAAGACAATACCATTCTATACTACCACCAACTCCCTCCATTGTCCTCCATATGCTAAGAGTATCATATAAAACCGTTTGTTGAACGAGGGTCAACATGAGCCCGATGCGTCACCGCCAAGCCACACTCACTTTTGGGTCGCCAAAGTCACCCCAGCGACTTGTCCGTTGTTTACTTTTTATCTTCCCCTCCACTCCTCCACTTACTTACTTACAACCACTCTCCACCCCACTCCTTTTGAGCGAACTAGATTTTGCTTATTCTTGTTAATATCTGCCGGCGATTTATCACATCGGTCGGTTTTGCATTTACGAGCCGATCCAATCCAGTGCATCCCGACGTTGCGCTGAATCAACAAGAACCGGTCACCCCTCGTCGCGAATAACCCCTCGACGAGATCGGCACCGCGGTCTGCAAGTGAGGTGTGTGCATACTATCCTAGGATATTAGGTGTTTTTGACGTCTTCCCGACCTCGTCATAATCGCCGGGATACACCCCCCGGTCGGACTCGCTCAACACAGCGATCCCGCGGATCGGACTGCCGCGGTCGATCCATGCAAACATCGACCATGCTAACGATACTCAATATCATCTAGGCCGCTCAACCGCCATCATGGCTGACCCAGGGGAGGATTTTTCCTCCTTGCCCTTACCCGATCGATTCTCGCACAAGGTTCGCTACCCCTGCAATACAACTGCCGATTTCTTCTTCAGACCGCGAGCCCGTGTGCTGACACCATCTGTCTTGTGGTAGAACTGGAAAGTCCGCAAGGAGGGATACGAAGATGCCAAGCAACAATTTGAGAAGTCGCCGGATGAGTCCGACCCTGTTTTTGCGCCGTTCATACAAGACCCGGGCTTGATGAAGGGCGCTGTGGCGGATTCGAATGTCGCGGCTCAGCAGGAGGGGCTTGGGGCTTATTGCTCGTTTTTGAAATTTGCTGGTGTGCAGGCTTGTACTAGGTATGTTGCTGGTTTCCAGTTTCCTGTGTTCATGGTTTGGGGAGGGAAGGATGGATTTCCCGGTTCTAGTCGGGCTACCGTGCAGAGACTAATATTTCCCCTCTGAAGAACCCGCCAGTACACTGTCCCTGTTATCGTCGAAAAAGGCCTTCCCCAGACGAGACCCGCGGCCAAGGCGAGTGCCACCGAAGCACTTCTCCTTCTGGTTGAACTGGAAAAGTCCGACCCCGTCATCGAAGAAATTCTACCGGCGCTGTCACACAAGGTACCCAAGGTCATCGCTGCGACGCTGGCGGGACTGCGGGCGATTTACCACAACTTTGGCTGCAAGATCGTTGACCCCAAGCCGGTCTTGAAGGCTTTGCCCAAGGTCTTTGGCCATGCCGACAAGAATGTCCGCGCGGAAGCACAGGGTCTCACCGTTGAGCTGTACCGGTGGCTGCGAGAAGCCATCAAGCCGCTCTTCTGGGGCGATCTGAAACCGGTCCAGCAAGCAGATCTGGAGAAACTGTTCGAAAATGTGAAACAGGAACCGTCTCCTAAGCAGGAGCGACTGACCAAAGCGCAGCAGGATGCGATGGCGACCGCCAGCGCTGCTCCGGACGGGGGCGAGGCTGAAGACGGCGGAGAAGAATACCCCGAGGAGGAAGAAGGAGAAATCGACGCGTACGATCTCGCGGAGCCCGTGGACGTCTTTTCCAAGATCCCGAATGATTTCCAAGAGCGACTCGCGTCGTCCAAGTGGAAAGACCGGAAAGAGGCCCTAGAGGCCCTATACGCCGCGCTGAACGTCCCCAGAATCAAAGACGGCCCGTTCGACGATCTCGTGCGGCCGCTGGCCAAGTGCATGAAGGATGCGAACATCGCCGTCGTGACACTTGCTGCCAACTGCGTCGACCTCCTCGCCAAGGGGCTCAAGAACGGGTTCATCAAGTATCGATCCACGATCATGTCGCCAATCATGGAGCGGCTGAAGGAGAAGAAACAGAGCGTGGCGGATGCGTTGGGTCAGGCGCTGGATGCGGTTTTCATATCGACGAGTTTGACGGACTGTCTGGAGGAGATCCTGGAGTTCCTCAAGCACAAGAACCCCCAGGTGAAGCAGGAGACTCTGAAATTCCTGATCCGCTGTCTGCGCACGACGAGAGACGTGCCCGCCAAAGCCGAAGTCAAATCCATCGCCGACGCCGCCACGAAGCTCCTGACGGATTCGAACGAGGTCAACCGTGCCGGAGGCGCCGAAGTGCTGGGCACATTGATGAAGATTCTGGGCGAGCGCGCGATGAACCCTTACCTCGATGGCCTCGATGAAATCCGCAAGACGAAGATCAAGGAGTTCTTCGAGACGGCACAGGTGAAGGCGAAGGAACGACCGAAGCCCATCGCCCCCCCACCCAAGGCCGCCCCCAGCGCTGCTGGCAAGAGGGTCGTCGGTGGCAAGAAGCCGCTGGGCGGAACGAAGAAACCCGCCGCGGCGTCGGCTCCGCCCCCCGAAGATCCCCCCGTGCTTTCGTCTCCCAAGCCCGCGACGCGATCGATCCCGTCCAAGCTCGCCGGTCCGCCCAAGGCCGGCGGTCTCCCGACCCCCGGGTCTAACCTCAAGAAGAAGCTGGGAGGTCCCGGAGGCATTGCGTCTCCGCAGCGTCGGGTGGCATCTCCCCCCACTGAAGACCAACCGCCCGCGCCTGCTGGTCCCAAGTTCGGCCTGGGACGGGGTCTTGCCGGGCGTCCGATCACGAAGCCGGCCGCCGCGAGCGAACCGGCCCCGGCGCCAGCAGCACCACAAGTGAGCGGGATGACCGCCGCGGAGCGAGCGGAGCTGGAAGAGCTGCGCGAGGAGAAGGAGCGCTTTACGCGGACAGTGGAAGATCTCAAGTACGAGCGGACCAAATTGAACTCGCAAGTCACGGAACTCCAAAACCAAAACGCGCAGCTCATCGAAGACCACACGCGGGACGTCCTGGGCATCAAAGCCAAGGAGACACAGCTAGTCCGAGCACGCAGCGATGCCGAGACGGCCGAACAATCCGTCCAGAAACAACAGCGGGAAATCGAACGGCTCAAGCGCGAGCTCGCCCGGGCCCTCCGCGCCAGCGCCATGAGCCCACCCACCGTCCTCTCCGACGGCACGAACATGTCCACGCCAGACATGGGCGCCATGCCGCAGGACAACAACGGCCACGGGCCGATGTCACGGACGAGCGCGCACATGGGATCCCGTTTCGACAGCACCCGGCCGCGGAGTTTCGCGTCGGCGAGTCCCAGCGAAGAGAAGGAGAACACGGGGCTGGAATCCCCCGGCCTCGGCAGCAGAGACAGCGGCATTGGCCGGCGGAAGTTCAGCCCGTCGTACGGGGCGGGCACCGGTGCCGGATACTCGGGGCTGGGCAGCCCGACTCGCTCGGCGTTTGGCTCTGGCAGTGCTTCCGGCGAGGAGCAGCAGCCGCGCAGTGGAGAGCCTGCTGAGAATTGGAAGCGGGCGGCTGAGGTGACGAGTCAGCTTAAGGCGCGGATTGAACAGATGAAGGTATTTATTTCCCTTCTACATCCTTTTTTACTTTTTTCTTGGGTTTGGCAGTTGATACTAATGATTATGATAGGCACGACAGGGTCTCTCTCGACCACCACCTTCTCAGCGTTAACATAGCCTCTCCGTTTTATTTCACACTTGGAGCTCTCAATCCCCCCCCTTTCTCTTCCTCATCCTCAGGATATCATCCTATCCTACCTACCTACCTACTTATCACATATCACATCATATCATATCACTACGACTAGCACTCCTACAGGTTAGCGGTGTGATTTTTCCCCTTTTCTCTCCCTTTTTCGATTTTATTATTATCTCGTAGCAAGAAGAGCAGGCTGGCTAGTCCTACTCATTGCTTATCTTTATTTCGTTCCTTGTTTTATCTATCTTATTGTTTGGTTGTTTTTTTCACAGATGGAGTTTGTTTTCTGTTCGTCTTACCTATCAATATCCTGGGAATCGAATTTTATTTATGGGTTTTTACTATCTCTCTTATCTATTGATTTTGACCTATATTGAAAAGAGGAAAGGAAAGAAGTAGGAAGAAATGATTTAGATAATGGATGGGCTCATTTCCTGTATGTATGAATATATATATATCTATATTAGTATTTAAACTGCCATGCATGTTTTATATTAACTTTTAGATTTTTAAATAAGTTTATAGATTCTATCTTAAGAATCTAAACTTATTATAGATCCTACTTTCCTATACTGAACCCATACTACTGCGGATTTGGTGTGGAGTCAGTGCGGGTTTTTCGGTTTTATGATGACACTCTAGTCACCATTTACACTCTTTGATTGTTTATTGAACCTCTGCCAAGATACGCTATATCATGATAGGAACAGACTCGGATTATCGATATTCCAGCAAGATTACCTATACAGTATCTTACTGTCATTCAACCATACCTTGATGTATCATTATCGTCACAGTATGGAGCGACCGCTATAGCTCTCCATAGGGGTACAAACAAGTCAAACATACATGCGGGGTTAGAGTGGGATTGGAGGTCTTCAGTATTGAACATAATTCAGTTCTCCTGGCTCAAAGAGTAACCATGAGAGATTGATTACATGCTCAAACATGGAAGGGGTTTCAGCAGCAGCTAGCGTCTTTGGTGTCATTCAACTCACCGGCAGCATAGTGAAAATATGCGGTGGCTATCTTCAAGAGATAAAGAATGCTCGAGAGGATATCATTGCTTTACAGCGATCGATTACGGGCCTTGAAGGGACTGTTCGGAAACTCTTTGAGTTTCTTCAAGGCCTTCCTGCCACAAAGCTTCCCACTTCCTCGTTGCTAGTCAATAATGTTACCGATTGCCTCTCAGACCTCGAGGCCCTGGAAAATAAGATTGATCCCGGGAATGGAAAGGGTATGATGAGAAGACTCGGATTTCGAGCATTCAAATGGCCTTTGAAACGCACAGAGGTGGATAAAATCATCCATGGTCTCGAGAGATATAAATCTTCTTTCACCTTATCGTTGCAGATTGACCAAACGTAGGTCTCAGTCAAAATCATTGGAAATACTTTGCTTATTTCTATCCAGAGCTCTCCTAGCCGGTGTGGCTTGGAGTGCAGAACTTATCCACCAGGGTTCTGGTCTTGATAAATTGCCGATCGCTGCTGGCGCTGAATTTGACTCATATATGGATCAACATGAGGATGAATGTCTTCCGGGTACCCGAACAGAGCTCCTTCGCCAGATCACAGAATGGGCCATGTCATCGCAAGGTAAATGCATATATTGGCTAAATGGTATGGCAGGGACAGGGAAATCAACTATCTCCCGAACTGTGGCAAAATCCTTGAAAGAGGCAAATCTCTTAGGAGCAAGCTTCTTCTTTAAGAGGGGAGAGGGGAGCCGAGGTAGTGCTACAAAGCTTTTTCCAACAATTGCAAGACAGTTCGCGCTTAGCTTTCCTCAACTCATCCCTGGCATCCAAAAGGCTATCAGTGACGATCCCGACTTTGCAGCGAAGTCGTTAAAGGAGCAATTTGACAAGTTGCTTCTCCAACCACTTTTTGACTTGGGAAAATCCACTAGGCAGTTACCGACCACCGTCATAGTGATTGATGCCTTAGACGAATGTGAAGTTGATAATGACATACGGATCATTCTCCAATTACTACCGCGGTTACGGGAACTAAGCACTGGGCCCGTCCGCGTTTTCTTGACAAGCCGACCCGATCTGCCTATTAAGCTCGGATTCTCGGAAATTCAACATATAGACTATCAGGATCTAGTTCTCCACGACATCCCTGAAGCTGTTATAGCACACGATATATCTTTATTCCTTAATTCGAGACTTTCAAATATCAGGAAACAACGATCTCTACCAGTCGACTGGCCTAGTGGTACTGATGTCCAAGCACTTGTGACATTATCTGTCCCACTCTTCATCTTCGCTGCGACCGTTTGTCGCGTCCTTGAGGATCCCCAGTGGGATCCCGAAGAGAGTCTTACCGAGATACTCACTCATCGGGGCGACAGATCTCAGTTGGACAGGACGTATCTACCTGTGCTCAATCGAGTACTCAACAACCAAAGCGAAAGGCAGAAAATCCAGCTAATTCAGGAGTTCCGAGAAATTCTCGGTATAATAGTAGTGCTTGAAAGCCCGCTCTCTGTCTGCTCACTTTCAACACTCACCGGTCTCTCAGAGAACCTCATCAGCCGAAGGCTGAACTCACTGCATTCAGTTATCCGTGTACCTGAAAAGAAGACAATTCCATTGCGTCCTTTCCATCTCTCATTTCGAGACTTCCTTCTTGATCCGGAGTCGCGTGACAAGACTCCCCTATGGGTGGAAGAGAATGAGGTTCATAAAAATTTAGCCACAAAATGTATTTCTGTTTGTTATAAATTAAAACGAAACATTTGCGGACTCACAAGTGACGGCACCCTGCGTTCGGAGATTGACCCTCAGATTGTTAGCAGCTGTCTTCCTTCAGAATTGCAATACTCCTGTCGCTTTTGGGCACAGCATCTGATGCAAAGTCAAGACCGAAATTGCCTGATTCAAGATGCATTCATATTTCTGCAGAAGCATTTCTTACACTGGATGGAAGCAATGAGCGTTCTAGGACTTGTATCTGGAGTTGTGAGAATTATTGATCTATTGCAAACCATGGCATTTGTGCGTTTCCGTTCGTATCCTGTGCGATATACGTACTGATTGATATAGGACGGAGAAAATCCCGAAATAGCGGAATTTGTGCACGATGCAAAGCGCTTTGCTCTTAAAACCCGACAAATAGCTGATAATGCGCCCCTCCAAATATATTGTGCAGGACTCATATTTGCGCCCCGGATGTCAATCATACGCAAGAAGTTCGAAAGTGAACTCCCGGACTACATATGCAGGCTTCCAGATGTCGAAGATGCATGGAACGCGGAACTGCAGGTTCTCGAGGGCCATTCGGACTGGGTTTTTTCGGTCTCATTCTCCCCTGATGGAAAGAGAATTGCCTCCGGCTCTAGTGATAATACTATCCGACTTTGGGATCCCGTTACTGGTACTTTGCAGCAGACTATAGAGGGTCATTTGGATTGGGTGCGGTCAGTTGCATTCTCCCCAGATGGTCGAGTGTTAGCATCTGGTTCTAGTGACAATACTGTCCGACTCTGGGACTCTGCCACAGGGGCCTTGCAGCAGACGCTCGAGGGCCATTTAGGCTCTGTTTGGTCGGTGGCATTCTCTCCTGACGGCCGGATACTAGCATCCGGATCATTTGATCAGACTATCCGACTCTGGGATCCTATTACAGGCGTTTTACAGCGGACATTCAAGGGCATTTTGGACTCAATCTGGTCATTGGCATTCTCCCCAGATAGCCAAGTATTAGCATCTGCTTCACGTGATAATACTGTCCGGCTCTGGGATCCTATCACAGGGTCCTTGCAGAGAACGCTCGAAGGCCATTCAGGTTCAGTTTGGTCAGTGGCGTTCTCTCCCAATGGTCGCATGCTAGCTTCTGGCTCTAGTGACCAGACTATTCGACTCTGGGATCCTACCTCGGGAATCTTGCAGCAGATACTTGAAGGCCATCAAGAGGGGCTTCGGTCAGTGACGTTCTCCCCTGATAGCCGGATAGTTGCATCTAGCGATAATAAACCAATTATCCGGCTCTGGGATCCTGCTACAGGGACCTTACTGCAGAAACTTAAAGGTCATTCAAATTCAGTGTGGTCATTGGCATTCTCACCAAACGGTAGATTGCTAGCGTCAGGCTCTTATGATCAAACTGTGCGTATTTGGGATTCCACCATGAGTGGCCTAAATCAGACCCTCGAAAGTCATTCCGGGATACTTCGGTCGGTAGTTTTCTCCCCTGACGGCAAGTTGCTTGCATCTGGCTCCGATGATTATACTGTGCGGCTCTGGGATCCTATCACAGGTGACCTTAAATGGAATCTTAAAGGCCACGTAGGCTCTGTTTTATTGGTGTTGTTCTCACCAAATAGCCAGCTACTCGCGTCTGGCTCTACAGACCAGACTGTACGGCTCTGGGATTCCTCCACGGGCAATCTACATCGAATCCTCGAAGGCCAGTTTGATTGGCCTCGGTCAATAGTCTTCTCGCCTGATAGTCAAGTACTTGCCTCTAGCTTTGATGATCAAACTATCCGGCTTTGGGATACTACAACAGGTGCATTATTATATAAACTTGAGGGTCATATAGATTGGCTTCGGTGTTTAGCATTCTCCCCTAATGGCCGGCTACTTGCATCTGGCTCTGATGATTGGAGTGTGCGGCTCTGGGATATCTCAACAGGAGCTTTACAACAGACACTAGAAGGTCATACTGACTGGGTTCGATCGGTATCATTCTCCCCTGACGGCTCGCTGTTAGCTTCCAGCTCTTATGATCAGACTGTGCGTCTCTGGGACATTGCAACTGGCCACTTCCAGCGTGCTATACAGGGTCATTCAGGTCCAGTTCGGTCAGTTACATTCTCATGCGACAGCCGACTACTGGCATCCGGATCTAGCGATCAGACTGTGCGACTTTGGGATCCTACCACGGGTTGTTTGCAGCAAATCATAAGGTCTTTTGGAGTAGTCACGGATTTGGCATTTTTTGGCGATTCAAGACTTGATACCAACCTTGGATGTCTTAACATTCGTTCGTCGAACGGCGACTGTAACTCTAACCTCGATCAGACGAGTCTCGAGATATTTATAAGGGAGAGTCAGTGGATAACGATGAACGGCGAAAAAGTCATATGGCTTCCTCCTGAATTCCGACCCATTTGTTCGGCCATTAGAGGCAATACACTTGCTCTGGGGCACGCATCAGGTAGGGTTTCATTCATAGGATGTGACATACAATAGAGTTCAAGCAACGGTCTTTACCTGTCTTCTGCGTTTCCTAGCCGATTCATGAAGCTCATACAGTTCGTACGGCATTTCGACGCAAACTAATCTTGTTATTGATCTTCTATCGTCAGCCTTGGGGTGCTAAGGCTCAGATTTGCTGGGCAAGGAGATTCCCACTTCTCTAATTTTGGAACCACGCTCACTGTCCACACCAATTACAGAAACGAAATACTCCTATCCTCTCCATTATCTGTGCTTTCAACTTCTGGTACCTTAGAATCATCATTTTATCTGAATTTCTGTTCAAACTGGCTGGCTTGCTTGCTATGTGAGGCCGTATTCCTGTCCCACTTTGATGGAAGGGATCTATTTCACTTGGGCGGTACTTGAATGCCTCCGAACATTCGTATATTTGAAGATATTCTCATGGTAGTACGCTTGCTGTAACCAGCCAGCTGCCTGTGCCACCTGGGATACAAATAGTCAGATAATTTCATGGATACGCTCGTACTTCGAAAGGGCTGGGTTGGGCGCCATACTGTACTACTGTGGCGGCGCGTGTTCAAAGATATGCGCATACCAAGGGGCGTGGGATTTCGGGGCGTGTTGCATCAAGACTCCGTCTATGGATAGTATAGTATACATTGCTATTCAGGAACACTCTGTGGGGCCGATCTTGTTTCTCGTCTGAGACACGACACCGCAGCACATGCAGGAAGTGAACCCTGTCGGTTTCGGGAGGGTAAATACATAGCCTAAATGGTGTCTGGTGGCTAGCATAGATATGAGTCGGCAGTTTTTGGATGCCTTCTGCCGATAGTAGGGTGGAGAATCTGAATAACTCCGGTGGAGTGATGGACTTCGGAAAATATATCGAGAATAAAAATAATAATATGCTTTGTTATTGATTGCTCAGATAGGTACCACACGGTCCGAGCCAACAACTATTGAAAGAGACAGATCACGACAAAACAAACGACCCCAACACCACACTCCCCCCCGTCTCAGCAGTTGCGAAATTAAAGATCCCAAACCGATACCCCATGAAGAACTCCCAATCACTACTCAACTCATACACATCCCCCAACTCCGTAAACGCCTCCCCATCAAGACTATACGAGAACCGACCAGTGCCCGCATGCGGCGCAATGTCCGCCTCCACGCGCAGCCACACCTCACTACCAGCGAACTCGGCCGTCGCGCTCTCCGTTCCCGTGGACACGGTGTTCCAGTCCGCGTCCATTTCCAGGCCTGTGGTGATCCCGATGTGGGAGGTGCCGCCGTCGTTGATCACGCCGATATAGGCGGAGGACTGGCGGAGGAGGGACAGGCCTGCGCGGTCGCCGCTGGCCATGGAGCTCGTGTCGAGGTGGATGGTGGCTGTTGATTTGGGGCCGAGGATGCGGTGCGTGAGGGTGTTTTGGGCTGCGTAGAGGTCGTCGGTTACGGTGGCTGTCGTGAGGGTCACACCCTTGTTGAGCGTCCATTTGTCGTTGTTGGGGTTGTGGTTCCACTCCCATTGCGGGGATAGGGCGTCGCCGGTGAAGTTGTCGGTGTAGGGCTCGAAGGAGGAGATGGGTGTAGACGGGGGTGTGATGTCCGGCGCGTCGTAGGTGGCGCTCCAGCCGCCGTCGACTAGGTCCACTGAGGGCCAGCCGTCGCTTCCCCAGGTCAAGGGGGCAAGCACGGGGATGCGTCCGCCGGGATAGGCATCGATAAAAGCCATGTAGTACCAGTCTCCGTCGGGGGTGTCCACGATACCTCCCTGGTGGGGGAACCCTGTGCCCGCGACGGGGCTGCCGGCGTCTGAAATCAGAAGACGACGCTCGTAGGGGCCGAAGACCCCGGAGGTGGACATGAGAACGTGCTCCTCGTTTGCGGGATGGACGACGAAGATGTAGAAGTTCCCGTCGCGCTGGTAGAATCGCGATCCCTCCAGATAATCGGCATCGTCCTTGGGGAAGACCACCTGCGTGCTCACTTCGCTCAGCCCGTCGTCGGAGAGCTCGGCGACGGAGATCCCGCTGTTGCCGTACGCGACGTACATCTTGTCGTCGTCTGTGACGAGCAGGCCGCAGTCGTAGTAGCATGTGTCGATTTTGGAGGCCTGCGTCCATGGTCCTTCGGCTTTGGGGGCCGTGTAGATGTATGTGGTGCCGTCGATGCAGCCCATCCAGTAGAAGGTCGAGGTGCTGGGTCGGTAGTTCATTGTCGAAGCCCATGTGCCCTTGACGTAGGCCCGCTCGCCACCTTCGAGGTAGTAGTTTGGGCCGAATGTCAGCTCTGGGATCGAATGGCCGGCGAACTCCCAGTTTAGGAGATCGTAGGACCGGAGGATTGGAGCACCGGGGGAGTAGTGCATGTTCGAAGCCGAGTAGTAGAACGTATCATCGGCGCGGATGATATCGAGGTCTGCGAAATCCGCCCAGACGATCGGGTTGGTGAGCTGGGATACTATGGGGGTGGCCATGCTCGTCAATGAGCCCCAGAGAAGAAGATTGCCTTTCATGGTGGCTTGTGAAGATCCTCTGGATCCGTGAAGAAAGATAAGATATGCTCTTCTGCCGATGGGTGTTCAGCATGCTCCCACATCTTGGAAGTACATCTGATTATATACTCGCGCAATCTTAGGGATAAGTGGGTGAATACCAATGAGGAAAATTCCCGCCCTCGCTTGAGCCTTCTAAAGACCAATACAAGTCCTCCGAACCAGTCTTCTGACACTTGACAGCAATCTATCCCAGAGCGATCGGCCGTGCAACAAATCGGTAAAGAGCCGTAGAAGTGTGAGCATGCTGTCCATAATTGGTCGGCGTAAACACATGGGCGTGCGTGGCAACGTTCGCTACCCCACATAAACCCTTCCCATGGCGCAGGCTGAATGCAATTCTCCTTGCAGATATCCAACATGCAATACGGACGAAAGAGGAAAATGTCCGATATAGGCTCCTGTGGGGTGCATATACCGACATACCCAGGTGTCGGGCAGGTAGTATGGATATCATCGAAAGATGAGACGCACTAGCGTCTGTTCTGTTTCGCATTTCGCATTTTAGCCGGCACTACGTTTGATGATTAACTCCTTTCCTCCTTATTCGTGATGCAATACAGAATCGCCCCTGGAACTGCCAAGAAAACTCTTGACCAAGCGCTGTACGGAGTGATGCTTGCTTCGGCGCAAGGTGTCCATCGAACTACAACCGAACCTCGACTGATGTACTTGCACAGCTAAAGTCAGGATAGGTTGCCAAAAAGAAGTCAGGTGGTTCCGAAAGCTGTTATACACGTCACCTGTCGATAGGGCTCTCCATACTCCCTCAAGATACCATGGAATCCATCTTCGAACTGCGAGATACACTCGTTAATAAGACCAGGGGTAAAAGAGTCCAAAGAACCCTCATAGGCGAGAAATGGCTCATGGTCCCCATCAAAAGCCACCCACTGGACAGGATAATTGTATAATATGTCACAATATGCGTCCCACTGCCAGCCGCAGGCTTAGGGGGACTCGTTGCATCACACCCATTTACCTCCACATAGTGATCGCGCGATGCACGGCTCATTCCAATACCCAGAAGAATGACCCAGAGAATCCAGCTCTGACCAGCATGGTAAATCTGGATCAATCTTTTAGAGTGAGAGATAATAGAATGAATCAGAGCAGCTACAGACTCAGGTCATGAAGATATCCAAGACTATGCTCAGAGCCGAGTAGCCTTACACTCCGATCAGCATAGCAAACCTAATATCAATTTTCTAGCATCAGAGATACTCGAATAAAGCTAAGCAGCTACAGATTCAGACCCATGATACTGGTATCAGTATAATCCCGTGGTCGCCAGTTGCGCGCGGTCTTCTCACGCGACCTTTAGAAAAGAGCAATCCTTGCGCGAGGCGACTGATGTTTTCTCGCAATTGATGATGGCTTGACCACAGAGATGGAAATTTCACGATCAATCGCGTGGAAGAAATTGCTACCTGGTGGTGTTTGAAGCAATGTGTCAATCCTGTCCTCGATTTGTCTAGCATCAAGAGGGGTCGATGAGGCCGAGGATGGTGTAGCACCGCACGAAGGTGGCCTACTAAGTGACAAAGATATCAATTATCTGTTGTGCGAGCCTGTCGCGTTTGAACAAAATGTGATCAAACTGAGGGGTGACTGGCAATCCAGTAGATATGTGGAGCCGATACTTCACCACACCAGCTATAATAATCCAGTAAATTTCCAGCATATGCCTCATATTAGGGTAGATCTGTGAATTGGTGTCAACCTCACTAGCCTTTTTCATAAATGTATATTGATGGTGGACCCTGCCGTAGGAGGGTAAAAAAACCATTATCTGAAAGCAGCCATCTCTAGGGCCGAAGTTGTGCGAATGGATACTACCACCAATGGCCATTGGCATAGATAAATTACAATGCACTAAATTCAGCTCGAAAAAAAGATTCGAGGGCTTGTCTTGTTCATACCATTGTAGTCATCGTGGGAGCAATCCCTGTTCCGCGGTTGTTATTCGTACATCCTATACAGATCATCTTCGGCGGACTAGGAGATCGTGTAGTATTTTGTCAAGGGTACTATTGCTAATCAATTTCTACACCTAGGACACCATGAACGCGAAACCTGATCTTCTCGCACTCGGTCCTCCATATCCAATGTTTCGGCCAAGAGAGCCCCAGTCGGAGGACCTACGGACACTTAATCGGAGGATTGCTGATTGTCATGCCTGGAGCCCTCCGAATCCATCGGCAGATCCGAATCCATTGCCAGAGGTCCCCGGGCAGCAAGATGGACCTATACTATGTAGTGTTTTTTGTCCTTTTGTTTACTAACCCCCATTATTGCATATTGATATGAAAGGAGTTTTCCAGTATACGAAGTGAGCCATCATCTAGTGCCATTGTTGTTGCAACCACATTATCGCTTGAGCTTAGGGTGACCAGTTAACCTCATTCTCTTCAGTCACCGATCCAACGTCCAAACTGGTATAACGAGACGTCTACCACACAGCCAAGCATGTCACCAAGCGAGCCCATTGCCATC